GACGCCGCGGGCGGTGCCGCGGCTGGGCGGGGGTGACGACGCGAGCTCGGCCGTGCACGTGGCCGGCGGGAGCCACCACAGCGTCGCGTGCGCGCGCGACGGCAGCGTGCTGTTCTGGGGGAGGTGCGAGGACGGCCAGGCGGGCATGGACGCGGCGGCGCTGCCGGATGGGGACGTCGAGGTGGACGAGAAGGGGGGCGTGAGGAGCGTCAGGGTGCCGAGTGTGGTGCCTGGTAAGTCTTTTTTTTTCCCGTCGCATTTCTTGATCCTCGGCGGACATGCTCCCCGCTAACACGGAGAATTCTAGGCATCAAAGCGGTGCGCGTCGGGGCTGGAACGGACTGTACATTCGCCATCACCGCCAACGGTCAAGTCCACGCCTGGGGGTATTCGGAAGGCTACCGCACCGGCCTGGGCACCGAAAACACAATTAAACAACCCAAACAGATCACCAAAGACGCCAATGCGGCCTCTTTGACCACCAGAGCCTTCGAATCGGTGCAGCCTGGTGGGCAGTTTGGCGTCATTACTGCGCCGTCAGCAGAATAGGTGGCTTTCGCATTGCTTTATCGTTTTCTTGCCTTTTCACACTTTATGTAGTGCTTGTCTCGTCCTTTTACTCAGTAGATAGATTAGGTAGTTTAGTATAACTAAGGGTATCGTATTTTACTATTCCCCGCCGGCGCTCTTGGACACTATGCGTATTAGCCTACGATATTCTGTAATTTTAGAGAGAGGTGCCATTGAGTTTCGGCGGTCCAACGCGACGCGTGACACCACTCATTTCTGTTATATCTTCATCATCATTACAATGGGGCAGACGAAATTCGTAAAAGCAAGATAGAAACACCTAGCCAGTAAGTAAAGCTCAAAGTCACCGCTGCCCTAGTTCTTCACGGCGTCTTTAGCCAGTCTTCATCCTTCTCGTGCGTGCGGAAGGAACAACACGCACAGCGGCGGACCGGGCGGCGCACATCATCTCCTCGATCTTCCGGCGCACCCAGCTCACCGCTCCCTTGATGGTCTCCCAGACGCGACGCAGCAGCCGCTTGAGACCAGCCAAGACCTTCTCCCAGGGGACAAAGTACACCATGCCGCCCGCCGCCAGGCCGACCCCGGCCGCAACCGCACAACCTCCGACGGCGCCGCCCATGCTCAGCCACCGGACCGCGACCTCGAAGCCCATGGGGCCCTTGAGGAAGACGCCCCCGGCGCTGAACCAGATAAAGGCGCCCGCCGCGCTCACCGCGCCCGCCGCGCCGCACACGCAGGCCACGACCACGCGCTTCCACTCGTCCCACCATCTCCGGCCTGGGGTCGGGGTAGACGAAGGAGGCGTGCTCACCGGTGTGTCCGCGGCCGTCGGCGATGCCGCGTTGTCGTTGTTGTGGTGCAACTCCACAAGCATGCTCTTGATGTCGGCCAGCTCCGCGTCGGTCAGGTCGGGCGCCGAGCCCGGCATGTCGACCAACCTCACGGCCTCGTCGAGGTCGTCGCTGAGTTCGAAGAAGCAGCCCTCGGCGTGTTCGATCTTGTAGCGGCTCAGCTTCTCGCTCCGCATGTGCCAGGCGTAGGCCCTCTCCCCGCAGTACGTGGAGCGGGACCCGATGCGGAGCACGTCCCCGCGCGTCGTGGGCTGGCAGGGCGCCACGTGGACGCTCGAGACCACGCTCGAGACCTTGTATGTGATGGTGTCGACGGCGGGCGCGGCGAGTAGGAATAGCTTGTTGTAGGACTTGGTGAGGGTCGAGGTGATGACATTCTGGAGGCTTTCAGGAGTGGTGACGACAACTTTGGCCTCTGAGGAAAAATGTCAAGTCAAGTCAGTCGCTGTCATTCATGCTGTGACCTCGGATAAGTAGTTGGGTTGGAGGTATAAGCTGAGGGTAACGGACTAATCTCTCCGTTCGCTTGCTTCTGCCTGATCATTTGAGACACGGGCTTCGTCTTCTCCGAAGTGACCACCGCGAGGATGATGGACTCGGTCGAACCGCACTCCCGCCTGACTGCTTGCCAGACCACATCCAACTCCTCGTCTTCCGCTTCGGATGCATCAGCACCCTGCGACTTGTCGACCTTGGAAGGCTTTTCTGAGAAGGAAGGGGAGGGGGGTTGAGCTGTGGGCTTTGCGCGCATTCGCTGGCGCTTCCGGCCCGAGTACCGAGCCGAGGACGAGCTGGATCTGGGCACGAGGGTCATTGTCGGTGATTTCTGACTGGACAAGTGGACGTAAATAAGGCAGCGGGCAAGATGTACCGTTATTGCGCCACAGGCAAACAAGGAGGGTGCAGGTGATGCCTTGGCTGGGGATGGCCGTAAAGTCTGCTCAGAGATCCATGTGGGGTGGGAACCTGTCTTTAAATACCAAGGCACCATACGCTTTCTGTGGCTCTGCAAACTTCGGCCATTGCAATGCGTCCAGTTTCACATAAATCGCGTCCTCGGCGCCTGAGAGAGCAGGCGGTCACTGATACTTGTCTCGTGGTGTCCCATTCGTTTGTAGCTAGCCCCCACACCGTCTCCCTTTGACTGCTCAGCACCAGCGGGAGCTCATCCGATAAGACGAGAGTCGCCTGTGTCTCGCACCTTGCCGGAACTACAAGGTCTTATCCGCGGAGCTGCAGCTTTCCCCGCCGGAACCTTGCTCCCCAACCAGTCGGCATCAAGAGGCAATATTAGCGTGCATTATATCGGCACGCCATGTGTCAATGGCTCACAGGCATCTTATCGAGCGCCACTCGTCTCCCACCCGCCTCTCACTTATGCACATCCTGATACGCAAACAAGTCAGTTGATATTTGGAAGCCGCATCAAACTGGCTCAGCCAACGCCCTCGCTTCAACCTATACCTGGACCACAACTGCCTGACTAGGGCGGGAGGTGCGTGTACTTGTGCTGGCCAGGGGCTCCCCGCGCTACCCCATGCTTTCGGTCCTCCCCGGTAGGAAGTGGGCCAGTACTGGGAAAGTTGGCGGGCCGGCCAGCCATCCACGCCGACTGGAGGGCCTCCTGCATCGACTGGAGGGCCTCCCGCACCGCCTAGCTGCAGGCAGCCCGCATGAATTTGATCAACTCTGGCACCTAGAATCTCTGTAGACTTTGTTCTGGTCGTTTGTGTTTGTTTGCAAACAGGTACGCAGGGTTGGCATGCCTTAAATTGGGGCAGCCGCTAGCCCTGACTGGCCGAAGACCACTTTCGATGCTACAGATGGCCAATTCAATGAGGAATGATCCGTTTATTAATTTGCAGGTTTTGTGCTATCCAACCAGCAGTAGCCACCATATCCCTATTGCATCAAGTACACGTCGGCCTCGAGGGCGCGAGTGTTGATCTGTGGCACGCATAATAGTTAGCATCGCAAGCCCAATGCTCGGCGCGCAACAAATCCTCAGGGAAACTCACAGCCTTGGGGTTGATGTGCTTGATATCGGCAATGCCCGCCTGGGCAGCGTCGTGCGCAATCTCGGTCTTGAGGATCTGGATGGCCTTGGTGACACCCGAGAGCTTGTAGCAGTTTGCAAACATGAAACTGTAAAGGCAAACAATGTAGTTAGTATCAGACCACATCAGCAGGCCAGGGCAGGCGCATAGGAGAGAAAATATATCAAAAAAAAAAAAAAAAAAAAAAACAATACGGCCGTCCCAGACCCACGGCCTTGACGCCGAGCGCGAGCAGCTTGATCACGTCGCTGCCGTAGCGGACGCCGCTGTCGGCCAGGACCTCGACCTGGTTAAAGACCTGGGGCGCGTTGCGGCGGATCTCGTAGGCAATCTCGAGCGGCGACGGCGAGTACTCAAGTTGCCGGCCGCCGTGGTTGGACAGGTAGATGGCCTTGACGCCGCGCGCGACCGCCTCGAGCGCGTCCTCGACCGTCGTGATGCCCTTGAGCACGATGGGGAGGCTCGTGTGCTGCTTCATTTCCTCGTAAATGTCCCACTGCGCGCCAGGGTCTGTTAGCTGGGGGGTAAAAGGGTCGGGCGAGGGGAGAGAGTGTGTAGCTTACGGTCAGGGCAGAGGACACCGAGTTGCTTCGGAAAGCAAAATCTGGTCAGCTTGCTGGATTTTGAATACCTAGATGGGCACAAGGGGAAAACATACGCGTTGGTCGTGTCGTATCGCGCAGCGCGGTGCCGGGTCGAGTCGCCGGGCGCGTCGATGGTCCACACGATGGCCTTTGCGCCGGCCGCCTCGGCCCGGCGGATCAGGTCCCAGGTCACGGACAGGTTGGCGTTGGTGTAGATCTGCTGGAACGTGGCCTGGGGCCCGTTCAGGGTGCCGTCGCGGTGCTTGGCCGCGCCGATCTCCTCGATGGACTTGGACGCGTACATGGCCGACTGGCGGGGAGGGAAATGCGTCAGCGGGCCGGGAGTGCTTCTTCCCGGGAGCTTGAGAGGAAGGGGAAAGGGTGCCTTCTTACCACGTAGAGAATGTTCTCGTTGGCCGAGGCGTCGACAAAGTTGAGCTCGGCCCGGTCAGGGTCCCCGTACGCGCCGCGCGTGGCGGGCGCGATGAAGAACGGGGCGCTGAAGTTGTAGCCGAGGATGGTGGTCCTATCAAGCCATAGCTGTAAGCGATGCACTCGGTCTGGACGGGCCGTCCGATGGGCTAACTCACGGAAGCGTCTCGTTCACGCGGGTGACGTCGGTTAGCTGCCGGGGCCGGAACTTGACCTTGCCCCAGACATCGAGATTGTTCCGGTAGCCTGCGGTAGAGCTCCTGCGTCAGTAAAACACAGCCACGACAATATTGCACTGCCCACCCCCGGAATCGCAGACTCACTCCACTCGCCGGCCGCGGCGACCCTGTAAAAGGCGTACTTCTGGTTGGTCAGGGTCTGGCGCGCGGCCCATTCAAAGTCGGGCAGGCCGCGCATGTCCTTGAGCAGCGGCTGGGCGCCCCTGGTGTAGTTGGTGCTGAAGAGGTAGTCCTCGAGGCCCGTGTCGGGCTCGTTGAGGAACGGGCTCTCGGCCAGGACGGCGGCCGCCAGGGAGGCGAGCGCGGCGAGTGACGTCTTCATCGTGACAGGTCGGCTGTGCTTCGGCACTTCAGCAGCTGGGCAAGGACTGGTATACACGCAGGGGCCTGGCGACTGTCCTGGCGAGCAAACGGCAGGAAAAGGAGTGACTGCAGCGGCGTGGGATGACGAGAGAAGCCCTCCATCAGAGCATCGCCCACGCCGGCCGCCCGTGATTTTATACCGCCTTGGACATGGGAAATAAACCCTCACGAGGGTCCACCAGTCCGTGATCGGTTGACACGAGTAATTTGGGCGGCGACGACGACAACCCTGCCCACCAGTTCGGGTCGGCGTTGACGGGGCTGCAACTTTGTTTTGGCGGCGGCGTCATGTCGCAGCGGAGATGGGCTAAGCAAACCTGCCCCTGTCATGGCCAACTTCTCGGCTAGGCATACCCCGGAAATCGCCATCCTAATCAGAAGGTGGCATCTTGCACGGGGCCGCCGTGGGGTTCGTCTCGCCCAGCTTGTTCCCGTGGGGACTTTGGTTCGGGGCGAGAGGATACTTTTGAGAAACATGGGTCTGACTTATGCTTAGTACTGAGAAGCGGATCCTGGTCTGTTTACCAAGCGCCCAGCAACGCTCCGGGATCGGTGGTCGTTCTTTTTGAAGCAATTCGCGAGTCCGGCCGGCTCCTAGATGCATGTGTCAGTAATGGAGTCCTGGCGGGTCATCTGGGAGGCGCCGATACCTGACCACGTGCTCGCAACCTGAGTTGCAGGGTGCCTGCTGGGAATACTTGCGGATCGCTTGATCTCAGGTACCCGCGAGACGGACTTCAGCTCTGGATATAGCCTGATTTGCCCGTTCAGATAACCCAAAGCACTTGCATGGCTGTCCAGGCCGGAACCGGTTCTCGGCAAGGCGTCGTGATTGAAAAACGGGGCGGAAGAATATGGTTCGGACTGGAAGCGTTACATGCAGCAGCAGCGCGTGGTGGCCGAGCCAATGCTAGCGAGACATGCCGTCCAGCCAATATAAATCAGATTGAACCTTGCAGTTTGTACCGTTCGGTTGGGTGCCTTCAATTTGCCGGCTCGCTTGCGTCATAGCCGCACCAGAGAATCGATGACAGCTTCTATTTTTACATCCTATACAATGCGCGTCTAGCCGCAATCCAAGCCCCGCCGCCTTGATACCAGGCTGCGTGTCTCGATCGGACCGCATCACGGGCGATAAGTACTTGGAAGACGAGGCGATCCAATTTACCAGCCACCAATAGACAGGCGGCTCGATATTGGCGAGTATAGTGTTGGGACCACTTACAAAGATTGACACATGGCCCAGACAATTCAGCGCTATTGTCTGCAGCCGAACTCCGATCCGTCCTACCCTGCCATGCGTCGAACCCCTGGTCTGGACTGCGATCCAGGTCGGTCCGCCTCTCTGCAACTGGCTATATCTAGATCCCTTGCACATTTCTTGCTCCCATATCCACTTACCTCTTTCTCTCGTCTCGCGGTTGCCTCGTCGTCATCGCCGAACCCAGAACCTGTAACATTAAGCGCCATCTCGATACCGACAGGATGCGTGTGGCCACGCACCTCCAAGCCCTGGCCGTGCTAGGCTCAGCGGTGTCGGCCCAGTGGCAGTCCACATGGGGTCAATGTGAGAAAGCCCCGAGTCCGGCTGTTGGGGAACTTGAGCTGACCAAGACGTCTGTAGGTGGCGGCCAGACCTACACTGGCATTACGCGATGCCCGCCAGGCACCACCTGCTTCGTTGGAAAGTAATGTCTCACCGGCCCCTGAACTCCCTTGAAGTATCCACCCCCAAGATGCAACCACTCTGACCAGCCGTCCACATCATCCACCAGCCCCTGGTACTCGCAATGCCAGCCACCCGAGCAGCCGCAGCCTCAGCCGCAGCCGCAGCCGCAGCCGGGCGTGCCCGACACGCCCATCATCACCGAGAGGGTCACGACCATCTTCACCGTCATCCCGGACCCGGTGCTGGTGACGACCTTCTACAGCTTCCTGACGCCCAAGCCCACGACGACGGCCCGGCAGAGCTACACCGTCATCGACGGCACCACCTGGATCATCCTCCCCGGCCGGCGCAGGCGGAGCCCCGCGACCGGGCAGCTGCTGGCGCGCGCCCCGGCGCCCACGGCCGCCGCGCGGCTCTCCCCGGCGGAGGAGGTGAGGCGCGACGTGGACCGCCCGCCCTTGTACGACGTGCCACTGGACCCGGGGTTTGCGCGGAGCGTCGAGGGTGCCAAGAAGCGCGACGTTGATAGGCCGCCCGTGCCGGACGCTCCGCTTGCGCCTGGATTTGTGCGAGCGGCGGCGGTGGCGGAGAAGCCAGAGGTGGAAAGACGGGACGTTGACAGACCGCTAGTGCCCGACTCCCCGCTCGCCGACGGATTTGTCCGGACGGCGGCGGCGGCGGCGGCGCGGCTCAGGATGGCGAGGCGCGACGTCGACCGCCCTCCCGTGCCCGATGCGCCTCTCGCTCCCGGCTTTGTCCGGACCGAGGGGGTTAGCGGCGCGGCCAAGGACAGACGCGACGTCGATCGCGCGCCCGTCATTGATGCACCCCTCGCGCCCGGCTTCGTCAGGGCTGCCGAGATTGCCGAGAAGCGCGATGTCGACCGCCCGCCCGTCTTCGACCCCCCGCTTGGGGCAGGGTTCGTCCGGACCGCTCCCGAGGCCGTCGAGAAGCGTGATGTGGATCGGCCGACCGTGTACGACTCGCCGCTTGCCGCCGGCTTCGTCCGTACCGCCGCTGTCCCGAAGGACCAGAGACGCGACGTCGACCGGCCCCCTGTCTACGACGCTCCCCTTGCGCAGGGCTTTGAGCGGGAGGTTGGCCTTGTGCGGAGTTGATTGGTTTTCAACGGTGGGGGAAGGCTTGACTTTCAAGAATAGGGAAGGGATATATGGAGGATCTGACAAGGTGCAGAGGCTGTTCTACAAGAACTTGTCAACAGAGCACAGTGGATTTACTCAAGATATTTGCAGACAGAGCATATTGAAGTTGTAACTGCTACCCATCAGCCATTCGAGGATGGATAGGGAATACCCGACCCGAGCGAATGGCTCCCGTACCTCTCTCATTATAGAGTGTACCTAAAGCTGGGGTGCCGGTGGCCCAGGCGATGCGCGTCAGGCTGCAGGAGCCGGTCGTTCCTGTCCCCATTCTCCCTCTTTTTGTTCTCCCAGCGGAGATAGCCCATGGTGATGATGGCGAGTATGAAGGTGAGGACGAGGGCGCCCAGGCTGACCGAGTGGCCAAGGCGGTAGTGGGGCCTGCGCAAACTGTTAGCTGTAGTCCCCAGAAGAATAAGGAACGGGTCAGGTGGCCAGCTCACATGTCCCGGGCGAGGTAGACAAAGGTGCCGATAAAGGCAGAGCAGTTGGCCAGCGAGATGATGACGCCCACACCCGTGGCCCTCACATAATGCGGCGCTAGGTTGTTGGACGCCCAGCCCTGGAGGTTCTTGTTAGCAGTGTGGCCAGCGGCAGGATGCGCCTGACATGGCCATGGTTAATGTGTGGAATCTCACCATCATGAGGGCGGAGCACTGAAAGACGCCCAGCCCGATAAAAAAGGTCCCGGCGTACTTGACCGGGTTCTTGTCCGAGACCAGAAGCATGACGTAGCCAAAGATGCCCAGCAGGGATCCGGCCGCGATGAAGGGGCCGCGGACCTTTGCCCTGTCGGACAGGTACGAGCAGACGATGACTGACACGAAGCCCGCGACGTTGGGCGGGGCGGTGAGCAGCTGCGCGTGCGTGGCCTGGTAGCCCATGCCCGAGATGATGGACGGGAGGAACAGCGAGAAGCTGTAGAGGGGCACGAGCAGGAAGAACCACAGGAGCGACAGCAGGTAGGTCTGGGGCGCCAGGAGGGCCATCCGGACCCAGTGCCAGTTGAACTTCTCGTCGTCGACGTCGACGGTGCTGGAGCCGCTGGCGTCCATGCGCATGCGGCGCAGCGCGTGGTCGCGCTCCTCCTCGGTCAGGAAGCGCGACTCGGCCGGCGTGTTTGGCATGAAGAGGAAGCAGAGGAGGCCAAAGACGACCGTCATGGCGCCCTCAACTAGAAGGATGGGGTGGGGAAGGGCTTGTCAGTTGCCTGCCTGCGTGTCTGCCTGCCCGCCTGCCTGCCTGCCTAATAGGACGCCAAATAGCACGGCCACGCCAACGTACTGAAAAAGATCCACGGCCAGCGGTTGTAGCCGCCATACGAGATGCGGCCGAGCCCCGAGGCCAGCAGGCCACCAAAGGCGCCCGACAGCGGGGCGGCCGAGTAGAAGAGGCCGCAGCGCAGCACCATCTGGTGGCGGCGGTAGAACATGGCCAGGTAGACGATGACGCCGCCGAGGATGCCGCCCTCGAACAGACCGAGCAGGACGCGGCAGGCGACGAGGGCCGGGAAGGTCTTGACGAAGCCGGTGCAGGTGCACACGACGCCCCAGGCGGTGATGAGGGCCGGCAGGTAGACGCCGGCCCGGACGCGCTTGATGACCCAGTTGCTGGGCACGTCGACGGCGATGTAGGGCGCGTAGAAGACGAGCAGCGCGACGTTGAAGCCCGTGCCCGTCTCGATGCCCAGGTCCGTGGCCAGGCCATCGATCTTGGCGTTGCCGATGTTGCTGCGGTCGATGAAGGAGAAGAGCCTGGGCGGAGGTGCGTGTTGCTGTTTAGGTGGCTGGCTCCTTTTTAGGGGAGCTAGAAGGGGGAACTCACCAGATGCCGAACAAGAATGGGAGAATGTGCAAATCGAATTTGCGGTCCAGCCTCTTGTCGACGGCCGGGTCAAATTCCCCGTGCTCGTTACCGGTCTTGTCGAGAGCCGCATCTTTGGCTGAGGCTCGGTCGGCCTCGGCTGCCTGGGGAGATTCCTCCGCCTTCATGACAGGCTGTCGGAGCTGCTTTCTGGGCCACCTGGTGACTCGGCCTCTCTGCGCACGTTTTCCTCTCCCGTCGAACCACAATCTACCAGGCTCTATCGTGGACAGTCGAGGGAAACAAGGATGAAAGGCAGCAAGCGGCACAGCACCGAGACCGGAAGAGAGCAGCGTTCCCATGGCCTTTTTGTGGCCGACCAACGGGTTATCACGCAATAAAAAGCCCTACTTGACCGTAACTGCTATCCACTTTCGGGGATGCAACGTCGGCATGCATCCTCAGGGGAGCTGGGGCCGCACTCTGGGGCCGCTCAAGGCGCAAAGGAAGGCCACGGGGGAACGCATGCGGGGTAGGCCGACTATTGACTTGGAAGATGGGGGTCTACATGCAGCTGTCGAGGCCGAGCCACGCGCCCAACCAGAGCCCGTTCTGGTCCTGATCACGCACCGTCGCTGTAGCTGCCGAACGCCATCCTTGTCGCGACTATGGAGGCGGTGGCTGTTTGTCAGCATTTGCTGACGAGGGGTTTGCAGGAGGAGGAGAGGAGGAGGAGGCAGGGTCCATCAAAGGAGAAATCCAACTGCCGGAAACCAACCGAGGTCCAGTTGGCCGCATTTCCGGCCCCACCCGCTGTCCCCACCAGCACACCTCCATGTGGGCTTCATTGTGAAGAGCAGATATTATTGATTCTGGCCATCTAGAATGGGCCAAGGGTTCCTCAACCTTCTCAATCCCTTTCCATCACCCTCGGCCTATCCCAATTCCCATCCAAGCTGTTTACCTAGTCGCCCAGGGGATATGCGTGCAGGATCTGCCCGTGGTACAGCGTCGCGTCCTTGGACGCCAGGAACACAAAGCTCGGCGCGATCTCGCTCGGCTGCCCGACGCGGCCGAGGCCCGACTGCTTGCCGAAGCCCTCCATCTGCTCGGCCGGCCTCGACGCCGGCTGCAGCGGCGTGTGCACGGGGCCCGGCGCGACCGCGTTGACCCGGATGCCGCGTGGCATGAGCTGCTTGGACAGCGCGTACGTGAAGGACGCGATGGCGCCCTTTGTCGCCGCGTAGTCCACCATGGACCCCGTGCCGCGGAACGCCACCGTCGACGTCGTGTTGATGATGGAGCCGCCCTTCTCCATGTGCGGCACCGCGAACTTGGTGATGGCGAACATCTGGATGATGTTGCTCTGGAACGTGCTCTGGACGTCGTCCAGGTCAATCTCCTCGATCTTGTCGCACATGACCTGCTTGGACGCGTTGTTGACCAGCACGTGGATTTTGCCGAACTTGTCCACGTGCGCCTGCACCGCCTTCTGGCACGTCGAGTTGTCCATCAGGTTGCCCGCGAACAGGAGGCACTGGCGGTCCTCCTTCTCGACCAGCCTCTTAGTCTCGCGTGCGTCCTCCTCCTCCTCGGGCAGGTACACTATGGTGACGTCGGCGCCCTCGCGCGCAAACAAGACGGCCGTCGACCGACCAATTCCAGAGCTGGGAGTGCCGTGCCATGTTAGCTGCCCAGGCTGGCTCAGATACAAGAGCTGCGACACAGCCCCCGGTGGACCAGTTGGGTGCTTACTCTCCGCCCGTGATGAAGGCCTTGACGCCACTCAGCTTGTTGGCCGCGCGATACTCTTGGAACTCGTTTTTGCCCTCGAGCTTTGTGGGCTCGCTGGTGGGCTTCATGTCCTTCTCGAGCCTGTCTCGTTGGCGTCAGCTGATAGATCCATAATGGCGAGGACAGTCGCCTGCTGGCGCCAACAAAATACCCTGGCAGATTCTGGGCCTGAGACTCCTTGACGGGCTGGAAGGTGCCATCTTTTCCGCCCTTGGCCGACATTTTTCTCGCTACTAGGCTTGTCGATAGGGACCTCGCTGCTGTCGAGAGCGCAGTGGCGGTTCGGTGCTTCAGCAGGTTCGATGCCTGATACAGTCTTGCTGCAGATGTTGGACCTCGAAGAACAGACAGAGAAGCAGATTTGAGCCACATTTTGTACTCTTTGGAAGGTGCAAACGGAACCGGACCTTCTTCTCCCTCGCAGAACACTGATTGGACTCAAGGGGAACCAACGTGATGTCATTTTTGCGTGGTCGCGCCTTCCTCCCGTTGCGCGCTGGAGCACAAATCGGCGTGGCCTCGAGATCCATGACGTCTTACGAGTCTGATCCCCACCCTTCCACAATCGACGCGGTCGCACCCGCGTCAGAATGATAAAACGCTCAGATTAAGGCGGCCTGCTTAGCAAACGAGAGGCACTGAGCCCCTGTTTTCTCGTCCGCGATGGCCAACCTAAGGAACAAAATGGGACAGGAGCACAGGAGGTATTCTGTTGGAATTGATGCCTTGGTGTACCCAGGCTTGGCTGCTTGCCCTGTCTCTCTCTATCTACCCCACCACAAAACAGCAAACTAGCCATTGCTTGATGATCGCATTCTGATCTTGGTCTGACCTTTTCCCTCGGCCATGAATGCAGATGTGCAAAGTCCTAGCCATCCTCATGCTTCTAGGCGCATGGCTAGCTGATCTCCTTTTCCCATTTCAGCACGGATACTTCTCCGGGATTAGTTGGCTATTCCATGATTGCCGTGGCAAGCCAGCTTGTCAGCAGCAGCATCCCCATCAACGATGTACTCGTTCCCCGCCGATCGGGGCCGCTGGGCAGGGCTGAAAACTCACCGCCAAGCTGCTCACAGGCATCAGCAGCATGTACGTCCTGCCGTTCTCTTCCACGAAGCTGACGTTCCTCCGCTGCGGGCGCTGTTTCCACGACGGGTCCAGCGACACGTCGATGGCCGTGGTCAGCTGCAGCTGCTCGCCCAGGTACGCGGCGGTCCAGCGACCGCAGTACGAGACAAAGGGCCGCGCGATCTCGGCAATGTCGTGGTCCGCCCCGTTGCGCCACCGCGTCTCGTTGGGCAGCGGCACTGCGGACTCGGGCGTCGTGATGTGGAAGCTGATGTACTGGGGCATGATGACCGCCTTGCCTAGCGGGTTCGGTCCGTTGGGCTGCCGGACCGAGGTGCCGTTGACGTAAATGTTGAACGAGACGAGGTTCCAGATGCCCGTGATGTTGACCATCGTGCTTTTCCTTTCCTTTTCCCTATTTATTATGCCTTTCGTTTGTTGCAAAGGGTAGCGCGGCCCACGTATTTTCTGATGAGACAGCACAGACAGCAAAAAACGTGAAAAGGGGCATTGGGAGTGTGAAAATGGACCATATAAATATGCTGGCTCCCTGGTTCGGCGCTTGAAGCATCTGGGTAACATCGTGGCATGCATGAGGCTTTTGTGTCAGCAGAGCTCATCTTACCGCTGAGAAGGAACCGCAGCGGTTTGGCAGAGGCAAGCAGCCACGCTGGTTTAAACGGCCAACTGCAACATTACCACACCATCTTTCTGGCGTCGAGGCTGGCTGGTGTAAACACTCACAGTATGCCAGAAGCGAAAGACAGGTGCGCGTAAGTAAAGCTCACCTCTCTACAGCTCGGCGGGTCATAACCCGCGGCTGCTCAAGTTGTTAGTAAATAATCAAAACATGCAAGCGGTGTCGAAATAATTAGTTAGCTTTGCACTGGGGAACCGGAAACGCGGGAGAAATGGAGAAGTGAATGTTTTCTTCTAATCATTTTGCTATCCTTTAACCATATACATTCCAAAACGATCCCCAACCATGCCATACCCTGTGCCTAGCCAAAAAAAAAAAAGAGACAAGCAAAGAAAACGCCAAAACGCCTGGAAACGCAAACAAAAAGTCCGCTCCCAACTCAACCCGGCTAGACAACCGTCCGGTGATGCCAACCCACTCACGGCTTCCCGCTGCTTCCGTCATTGCTCTTGTTCTTCTTGCTTCTGGCGCTGTCCGCGGGACGGTTAGTCGGCGGAGGATTGGGACTTCCTCGGGCGCTCTGGCCTTTTCCATCGCCCTTGCCGCCGCCCTTACCGCCGCCCCCTGTGCTTCCGCTGCTGCCACCCTTGTCGCCCTTGAGGTTGGGCTGGCTAGGCATATCCGTGGCACCGCCCCCTCCACCACCTCCAGGGCCGTCGCCGCCAGAACCACCCTTGTACGGTGGCGTCCAGCCATAAGGCTTGCTTGTTCCCATCCACGTCTCGCATCGGCCGACTATCCATTTGGAAGTGAGATATTTCCTGAGTACGTCAGAAAATTCCTCCAACTCTGCAGTGCCGAAGGATTGCTTTTAGTCGATCGGGATTGCGGCTGGCGGTGGCTTGCTTGGCGTGTTGTCAATGTTCATATTTTTGAGCTTTGAATCAATATCGTCCACGCTTGACTCCTTCGGTGCCGGTGGCGCGCCCCTTGCTCCTTGGCAGGATGTCTTCGATATCTGCCTTAGAAGAAAGTTAGCTTGCGTTAATACGTAAGTGGTCATTAATGAAGCAGAGGTTTAAAACTTACATATACTTTGCTTCTCTCAAAACTTGTTTGATGTACTCCCGATAAATGTCCTCAGTAGTCATCTAAAAGTTAAAACAAGGTTAAAAACGAGCACATAATGCCAGTACCACCGCGGAGCGAGCTTGACAATTGCAATGGCTTGTGGCACTGGTTGGCGGGGGTGACTTACATATTCCATGGCGAACATCATGTGTTTAAGAACGAAAAACGCCTTCGCTGCGATATTCGGGTTGTTTATGTATCGATTTATAGTCTCATCTGTCCTCGGTGCCTTCTTCCCTGGTGACATTATCCTAAGAAAATGTTGTGAGCGATATCGTGGCGAAAGGGTGAGCAAGTATGGGCGGAGCCAGTGGGCTGTAAAAGTGTACTTACGTTTCCTTGAGTCCATTTGTAGGCTGGTCCAGCAACACAAGGCCGCTGCGGTGGTACTTGCTGTTAGGGTAGCCGTAGGAAAGGATTTGCATGGGGCGGCCTTTGATCCCATCGACCGTCATCTCGTCTAAACCCGGTCCATACTCGTCTATCACCATTTTCTTGAACTCTTTCTTGTTGCCGTTCATCAAGATCGTCTTCTTCGCAAACTTGAGACGACGGTTTGTTGGGTCAGGCATGGTTAGAACTATCCCCCAGAAGCCACGACTGGAGAACATTGCCTGGTACTCCAGGATGTGCTCGGTAGCGAAGTACTTGGTGAGTCCCTGACCATGTACAACACTCCTAGTATCGATCCTGCCAAATTGGGTGTGTCCAGCCAGGCGCATGGCCCTTGGTCCATATGCCCTGACTGTGACCCCAAGTTCGCTGGAGCTGGGGTATGTGAAGGATGGGGTGGGGAATACGCCGCAGACCTTGAATTTCGGGCTCTTGGTGCCGCGGGCAAGAAGGCGCGAGACCGAGTACCGATCGTTTGGGCTAGCGATAGGAAGGCATTGAGCGACGATCGTGAGGAGTGATAAGAGAACAAAAGGAGGCGATGACGTTTTGCCATCTTGGCCAGGAGGGTGAAAGTAGTAGGGTGAAGAGGAGGGAAGTTTTCAGGGGGGTATTGCCGTTTGGCTGACAAGATCGGGTTGGAGCTCAAATATCTGTGTGTAAGAACAGACATCGCAAAAGGGGACAAGAGGAGGCAGTCCAAGCGGTTGCTATAATATCTACTAAAATACCACAAGAGGGTGTAGAATCAAGAACCTGCCCATGTAGTGTGTTGACACCAACCCGGCATGGTGTCGCCGAGAAGCTGTTGAGCTCCAACCACAGCTTGAGAGGCACAGGAGGCCCACGCGTGTCGTTCCTAGTAAGCAAGACTGCCAGCCTTCGCGTGTTGGTTTCTTTCTCTAAAAAAGGGCGCAAGACGCTATCTGTAGCTCGGGGCGCAGCTCTGATGTTGGCGCTATTGAGTGCTGTAGTGCCGCCATCTGCTCCGCTTGCGATGTGAGTTCCAGTGGCTGTGAAATGCGCAATGCAACTTGAATGCGTTTGTGAGGCACAGGTTTGACTAGGCTGTCTACTGTGGTACCACATTCTTGCTCAACGCATGCCCTAACAGCTAACATCCATTTAGTTCGTCTTAGCCCCCGACAGATGCGGCGAGGCTGTAAGCGCCGGACTAGAGCACATTGATGCTGCCCGATAGGCATACATCGGTGGCGGCAGCACATTTGTGGATCCTCACCTAGCGCACCGCCTTAACTGTGCACCCTTGGTCGCCCAGTAAGTGCCCACGCCAGGAACTAATGCATTCGATTTTTTTTTTCGCGCCCATCGATTCTCAACGTTGCATCAAACCCAGCCCACAAACCCGCCGCCCCGCGAGATTCCTCAGCTCTAGTCTCCGACCTCAACAGCAGCGCAAATGCAGCAACCCATCGACTTGCTAGCTGATTTTTGGGAGGTCGATGCCCAAGCCGGCTCTCCCCTCTTTGACGGCACAATCCCGGCCGAGATCCGCCTCGAAATCTTTCGCTATGCCTTGGCGCCCACTACTGTCATTTACGGGAGGGAAAACGGCTACGTCAAAGAAACTATAGACGGACGTGCGTTCTACATGGACACTTACTGGGATCATGACTTCCGTGAACAGACCGGCCACGACGACAATGTGGATTCAGACCTTCTCGACAACCTCGACGAAATGCCACAGATGGCTAACATGACTTTCTTTGGGGATGACGAGCTGTCGTGGTGCCGGACCGGGTGGCGTGGGCGCCCTGTCCTCTCCATCAATCTACTCGCGTCGTGCCGCCGCGCCTTTCTCGAGGCGCGCGTTATGCTTCCAAATCGAGCGCTGCTGGTGGTGGTGGACGGGGCCGTGGCATCCGTTCAACCTCGAGGGGAGCAGCATTCCTGGTTCTAAGGTGCCATATGATCCGGAACGTTGGTACCCCCCGGGTATTGCTAGCAGGCCCTTGGATTCGTGGTCGCGAGAAAAGGTCGAGTGGGAGCAGAGATTCCGCAGCGCGCGCATTTTTGGCCATCCGGGCTTTCCGAGCGACGACTACCTGCTCGGTCACCGCCACCCGCCCCCGTTTTTGAGACTTCATCATCTCCGCATCACCATTCCCAAGTCTGGGATGGACGGCTGCTTCGTCCCGGAGAAGATGGTGATCAACCCTTTCGGCGCGCAAAGCGGCATGGAGGCGGCCATGCGGATCTCCAAAGATTTCACACTGGAGCGGGCGCTGAAGCGAGGCGGCGATGGGCTGCCGGCCGGGCGCCCTGCTTGGATGCCGCCGGGTCTGGGATTTGAGCTTCTGGAGAGCGATGCCGAGCTCCAGGGGCCCTGGGGTCGCAAGTTCGTTAACCTTCCGGAGCTAAGGACGCTTATTATCGACTTCGACATCGACCAGCACCACAGGGAAGAGATGGGTACCATTGTGGAGTGGGCTGCTCGTGTCTGGCAGCTGCCGCTCAACCCCAAAACCAACGGCGGCTACCACTACCTATCCGCAGACGGGAACCCGATCGAGAAAATAACATGGCGCGGGTCCTTTATACACAGCGTCTGCTGTCCTCGCGGCTGCAAGTTTGCGGATTGTAGTACTCTTGAATGGAAAGACAAACAGAAGATCGTAGATCGGCAAATGAGGGGCCTTGGGGCTCGTATGTATACATGGACGGTCAAATGCACTCGGAGGCGCTATGACGGGCCCGGGATCTATCCCTACAGCGGGGCGATTGGGGTTCGCGAGGACGACCTGCAGGGCGCCGTGCACGATGAGGGGAACAGCGACGATCCATCCGCAGTCTCTTGCTCGCATTGAGTTGGCGGGTGAAGGTCTTGTATGCTCCATAGAAGGAGGGCTTTGGGACTGCAGGATGGCAAACTCGGCTACGCCTTGGCATCGTCGCTCATCAGCTCGATCTGTCGCTACTACCGCTTGCCTTGCTAGCACGCAAACTGGAGGTGATTTGACGTCGGCTGGACTATTAGCCTAACACTGAGCATAGGAAACGCATGAGCACAAAGTATTAAACCAGCAGATGGAGCGAGCACCTCCTGGGCAGCCTCTACTGCCTGCCTGCTTCGCCAGGGGTGATGACGTGAAGTACAGACGTGTGAGAACAAAGGTCTCCATCGGCGGTTTCGACGCTGGAAGCTCATTCACTTTGGTTGGCCACTAACGAGCGCAAGGCGAGACCACTCCGTGCTCCCCAAGCCTCAAACTAGTGCGCCAGTACGAACCCCGCACTGAATATCAACTTCCCAGCCCTGATCCCACCAGGCATGCGCAAGGATGCAACGCCGCTCAAATGGTCGTCCTAGGTATAGGAAACGCTCCATTCCCCAGTTTGGAGTGGTCGCATGAAGTTTGACAGAGTTCGCGTTTGTGGAAGCTTTTGGGCGCACATCCTTTCCTCGGCACCCGCAAGCGCCATCCAAAGAGCTGCCGGCGCACGCCACACTGTGAACCCCGCGATGTGGTGTGACGAGCAAGGTTGCACCTCTGCCGATCCGCTCCGCGTCAAGGTTGGGCGCTATCCCCTTTCGCTCCAAATGCGAGGAGGGGGGACAAAGGGTCAGGAGATCCGTCGCATCTCTGACGTCTGCCCACCATCATCCCTCGAGCGAAGGGAATGAGGAGACGACGGGACGCATTGATCGGACAGGGAAGCGCGGAAAGGTTGCATGCACTGGCCTTCCCGAGAGTTATAATCGAGGGCTGCCGCCCCTCTCCTGCTTCACCTCGACGCATGTGCTCTCTTCCTCATCGTACTCAGGCCAAAACTCTCACACAGTGATAGGCACAGGACAGCACAAGCAAACCACCACCTTCGGACCATTCCAAGCTCTGCGAACACCCAATACCTACCGACCAACATGACCAAGCAACACTTGCCCAAGCCGCACGACCCGTCTGGCGTCACCGACAAGGCCGTCGACAACGCCCACGACTTCATCGAGACGACCGAGGCCCAGGAGCACAAGGTAAGTAAGTCGGCGGAGGCCAGGGGCAGGGATTCAAATGCCAGACTGGATGGACAGTAAGGACCAGACCGCATGCGCCCGCGCGGCTTGCTGACAAAGGTCTCCCTTTTCTGGCAGCTCCACCCCGATGCCCAGCTCGACCGCGGCGAGGCCAACTCCGACGCCGGCAAGGGCCTCGGAACCCAAGGCGAGGGCGGCGGCCAACAAAAGTCCAAGATGGACACAATCAAGGAGGCGCTGCATCTAAAGAAGTAAAAGCGGTCCCCGGTGGTGCCAACGCGGGGACCTTTGCCCAACTTTTCTGTAGCTGCACATGAGGGCCCGACTGTAGCAAAAGAGATTGTATACTTAATTAGCTAAGCCCTTTATCCATTCTATATAATTCCCAGGCTCGAAAGCCTTCTGTTTCGTCCAGCTCGCAAGGTTTCATTTCCTCAAAATATCAGTGTACCATGTTATTATTGGTACACGTGTCGCTTGCAATAATTCCCTGGGCGATGCTCTGCCAAACAAACATCTCCCACCAAGCCTGAGGAACATGTGGCCCGTGTCATTAATGAGGGCCTTGATTGCTAGGCCGTGGCCGCCGAGATGGAGACGGATGCGAGGAGTCGGCGGGATATGTCCCAGGCGCGCTCCGACCCCCGAGCTGATGACGGCCAGTCCGCTCGTCAGAAAAAGGAGCATGGAAGAGCGGGACCTTTCATCAAGGGTGTTGTCACAATGTCCTTTCGATAGCGTAATTCCGCTGCGACTCCCGCTCATCAAGACATACAACGACCACACATAGGAAAGCAGTCTTGTATGTCGACAAGGCCAAAATTTGCGTGGCCTGCCACCTTGCCAACCTCGCTCGGCAGGTCCGGCGCCCCCACCCCCGCAGTGCCGTCGCCATCTACGGAGCGAATCCCCCCTGCCGGATCCGCCATGAGATGTGCTCCGCCAAGGCTGAGGGGCCTGATAACGCGGGGAAACCCCGGCTACTACCCTCGACCCCTCTATGGCCAGCCAATGGCTGGCCCTTGCTAGGCTAGCGGAAGCCGGATCCGGCGCATGTAGCAAGGCCACGCGAGTGGGAACATACACGGTAGCATCTTGGGATGCTATGCCATACAGAAATCCCCAACCCCAGCGATTCTAATTGGCGAGGCCCGAGGATACCGTCGTGGTGAGGTGATATCAGGCAGAGACCCCACCGACCGCTCTTGAGCAGTCACCAAAGAATATGGATTATAAAAGGAGCAAGAACCCAGAGGCCCTTGCCCGAGGTCTCGGCGGCTTGTCCTCGCCCCTTTATTTCTTGTCACAGCTCACCATCAACTTGACTTGGCTGCCAGACAACAATTTGAGCCCGCCACACGTGCGCTTTGCCCCGAATCAACAAGATGGGTTCTGCGGCCACAGGGCGGTCGTGGGCGTGGGAGGAAAAGTCAGCCAGGTGCAGGGGCATCCTCGCGCGGTCCCTGAACCAGGACCGGCTGCCGCCGCCGACCCAGCGCAACGTCCTCGGCTTCATCGAGTCCTGCGGCGCGCTGTCGGCGCGCGAGCTCGAGATCACGGCGAGGGACGGTCGCGGCCTGGTGGCCGAGATGGCCGCCGGGCGCCTGAGCGCGGTCGAGACGACGACGGCCTTCCTCAAGCGCGCCCACGTCGCGCACCAGCTCGTCAACTTGGCCACCGAGTTCCTGGTCGAGGACGCGCTGCGGGCGGCCCGGGAGCTCGACGCGCACTTTGCGGCCACGGGCAGGCTCAAGGGCCCGCTGCACGGCCTGCCCGTCTCGGTCAAGGAGCACATCGCGCTCAAGGGGCGCATCGTCCACTCGAGCTACGTGGCGTTGGCCGACAACGTCATGGAGGAGGACGCGCTGATCATCACGCTCGCCAGGAATGCCGGCGCAGTTATCCACGTCCGGACCAACATTCCGCAGACGGTCATGGTGAGTGTCATGGCAGACCACCATTCTGTTTGGATGTAGTAACAGACGGTTCCGAATCGAGTTTCCCAACGCACCTCGCGCAACAACAACCAGATGATCGACTGCGCCAACCCGATATACGGAGAGACGGTCAACCCGCACAACCGCGACCTGACGCCCGGCGGCTCGAGCGGGGCCGAGGGCGCGTCCCTGGGGCTGCGGTGCGCCGCCCTGGGCTTGGGCACCGACACCGGCGGCTCGGTGCGCGTACCGGCCGCGTTTTGCGGCGCGTACGGCATCAAGACCACGTCGCTCCGCAACCCCTACGGCGGCATCACGCTCCCGGGGCTGGCCAGGAGAGCATCCGCTGCGTCGTGTCGCCGCTTGCCAACAGCGTGCACGACCTCGAGCTGTTCGAGTGGACCATCCTCGAGCAGGAGCCGTGGGAGCTGGAGACGGCGTGCCCACCGATCCCGTGGAGAAAAGCCGAACCCGTGGTGCCGTCCAGGGTCACGATGGGTTGGTGATGACGGCACATACCCCGCTCCCCGGTTGGCATGAACGCAGTGCTAATGACAACAGCGGTTGCTGCACAACATCGCCCACCCCCCACCCGCCGGTGACGCGCGCGCTGAAGAAGGCGGTGGCGGCCGCCAAAGCCGCCGGCTTCGACATGGTCGACTGGGAGCCGCACGAGCACGAGCGTTGCCTCGACATCCTCAAGGATCTGTACTTCCCCGACGCCGCGGCCACGCAGCGGGACCTGCTGGCCGAGGGCGGCGAGCCCATCCCAGCGATAACCAGGTGGACGCTCGAGACGGCGCCGGCCAAGCCCCTGTCGCTGGCCGAAACCTGGGCGCTCAACCTCCGGCGCGACGGGTACAGGGACGCCCACTACAGGCTCATGCGCGAGCGCGGCGTCGACGCGATCTTGTGCCCGGCATACGTCGGCGCCGCGGCCGTGTGCGGCACGGGCCAGCACATCATGTACACGGCGATGTGGAATATCCTCGACTACCCGTCCGTCACGTTCCAGACGGGCGTCAGCGTCGACCCGGCCGTGGACGTGGTGGATGCCGCGTACAAGCCGCGGTCGGCACACGACGAAGCCGAGCAGCGCAAGTGTATGTATACCGATCGATCGCCTCGTCTGATTTGAGTGTGTGTGCTAGAGCTAATCAGCGTTGATGCCATTAGACGTGCCCGAAACCTTTGCTAAAGCGCCCATCGCGCTGCAGTTAGATAGGAAGCGATACCAAGATGAGACGGTACTAGCGATCGCGGCGGTATTAGCGGATCTGATGAAGAGTTGAGGGGCAGCAGCAGCGGCGTCCTGGAGAATGAGAAAGATGGAACAGATTTCGCAGCCCGTCTTTGGACCCATGGTTTTCTCAATCAATCCAACCAATGATGTCACGCCCTCCACCGCACCTACCATACGAACCTCAATGGACAAAACAATTCCTCGACCTCATCCAAGGCCTGACTGCGTACCAGGTCTGGATGCCTGATGTGTAGGAAACGCCTCACCAACTACGGCGAGGAAGCAGCATGCTGCAACTTCACCACCGCAGCCCGTGACTGCGTCTGGTCAGGCCCCGAGCTAGCCCCGTCGACCGCTAGAACCCCCAAACCCGAGTGCTGCGCCACGATAACAGAACACGCGGAAGACGCCTCAGCCTCCAGGCAGGCTTCAGGCCCTCGCCGAAAGCATTGGCCCAGCCCGTCCTGCTGCCGCCCCCTCGGAGGACCGTAACTGCCCGAGATCGCCCGGCGGTCGCACAGAGCAGGCGAGTATTCATAACGCCCACACAAATACATGCCCACCCGAGAGGTTGGGCTGGCAACGGGGAGCCGGAGTCGCAGCAACATGACTGTGGCACGTACCACCGCATAGCAGCCACGGCGACTGACAAGGTGGGCATGAGCTGCAGCCACTCGCGCGCGTCTTCCTGCCTAATCTCAACCTTCCTTGATTTTTCTTGTCTGCTCTTTCGCCCCGTTCCAATCAGTTTGCCGCCACCCACCACACACACAATCCACCCCCCGATGCTGTGCACCCACACAATGGATGAGCATCAGCGGTCAGGCGGCAGCCACTGAAGAGCCTCATCGTACGTTTATTTTACTGTTTATTTCCTTGCCTCGACTTCCTGCCATTCCTCGCCCCTGTACTATTTACGTGTCATCCCATCTCGCTCCAGTCGTGGAGAGGTGCCGGAGTCCTCCCCCTGGACGAGCAGTGCAAAGGAGTTGGCCCGCGGGAGCTTGCAGGGCCCGCCCCGTTCAACAGACTTTATTTCGTTTTAACCTTCCGACCGACACCCTAAAAGGCAAGGACAGCCGGTTCGTTTAGGCAATCAAATCTGCAGTGGCATGTTTGGTCCTGGGCCCTGCAGTGCATGCCGGCCGGGAACAAAGGGAGCTGGGGGGGTATTCAGCTGCCCCGTTGGCTACTATTTTTAGCGCCATGCTTGTTAGTTGCATTTTGGCGGCGTGAGCCGATTCGTCATCATCCAGCCGCGGATTAGGCGAAGTCCCCCTGCCCTATCGGAAGAAGCGAGAATGCTCCACCAATCAGGGTTGAGGATTCTGACGACTTCCGATACATCAGCAGATCGAGGCATGTATCCGCTGCTGCTATCAAACCACAGCTACGATCCCGTCGCTTGGACTGCGAAGTTCCTTTTACTGTTTTCAAAGACGACTTTTTTCTTCCTTTTTTGTTTTTCTTTTTTCTCCCCAAGTCCCAGAAAATGCAGACGCACCACACATACAAAGTAGTTGATATCATGACTAAGAGCATCGTGTTGACGCGAGTGTGAGGTGAGAAACAAGGAATCAGTATCAGATGTGTAATTTCTTGCACTAATCGCAACGTCCCTTTTGTCCGTACAAGCATCAGGAAGCGTTATGTGAACAGGCTAACAATGGAAGTGATCTCCATTGTCCGGACGAATGCAAACGGGCCGTGGCGGGTGAAGAGTCAAAGAAGGCCATCATCACGTGTAGGAAGGCAGCTTCCGTGCCTGCCACTTGATGTCTAGCGGCGATCTTTGGTTCTGGGAGGCACTAGTTAGGAACGCATGATCCCATCCATCCCTCTTTACATCTCCAAGTGCCTGCCGGGAAGTGGTGACTGTGTTGCTCCATCAAAAAGCCCTCCCACACTTTGTAACGAGCAAAAGAACGGCCGTGCTTCGCCTGAGCGCGCCGAGTGATGACGAGGTGGCTTCTTTATTCGGAAATGATGCCCACAAGCCTGGCGTCCCCTCAGTTCCTCATTACCTCCACTCCAACTGGGCAACGGCTCCCTGGCCCTCTGGTGACCTTCAGTGGTGCCACGTCAGGGGGCTGCCCGAGGCGCCTTGAAAGCCTGCCCGAGGTGTTCCAAAGTCCTCAATATCTCTTCCAAGGCTTCGGTCTTGGCGCTTTCGGGTGATATTGTGTGAGTGGATGGTCTCCGTCTGGTAGTCCTGAAGCGGCAGTGATCGGCCAAGATATGGTTGTCCCTGACCAAGAACAGGTTTCGGCGGCCGCCCCCAGGGGAGAGAAGATGCATGCAGGAGAAATATTCTGCCAGGTCGACGTCCGATGACGATCTTTATCTATCTCGGGAAGGAACAGGCGGCAGCACTAATTATTAGCCTGGCCAAAAACATGGCGATGGGGCCGCGCGAGACGGGAGGCGAAATCAACGCCCGGTCTTCTCAGCCAGTGCTTTAGGTGGAGCCCGAGGAACCCGAGGAGGGGGCCAGTTGGATCTCACCGGTCCAGTCTCGCCTCCCCCATCTCTCGCTTGGGCGCCCGCATGGAGCCGAGGGTGGCGGCGCGGATAAGGCGGCTGACCAGCGACACCCGACCAGCCACTGGATCGAAGATGGGGAAGATGAGAACGGCTGAGATGGCCCCCAACACTGTATGGGACGCTGCGAGGGTTGGGCTGTTTGCGTTGCAGTGCAGCACTGCCCAACACATGCGCAGAGCCATTCCATAATGGGAGACAAACCAGGAGCCATTGCGGGATACCCTCAGGTGCATGTACTGCTGCCCTAGATGTCGAGAGGCCCTCGACACGAGACCACGCCGGCGTCATCTCCGTGTTCTTCTGCCACTGTAGCCGAATGTGGAGTGCGATGGTCACGGCACGCTAGAGTATCTTGCCTGCCGGGAAGCGGCTTCCAGGAGCCAGCGTGGGCTTCTTCTTCGGTCTCCGGAGGGTGTCCCGTCTGCCTGGTTCCGTCGGGCACCTACATTGGCCATGACGTCGTCCAAATCGCCGAGGCGGATGTCTATGGCTGATATTGGGCAAAACACGGGAAACGCACAGTCAATATTACGTGCCTGCCCGTATTCCTAATTTTCCGGTGCGGCTGGCGACGTGTGTGGTGGTGTGGTCTGCTTTTCCCGAAGGAGGGCCGGAAAGGGCACGGCGGAGGCAAAGGATGGATTCTGTGGGAGATAATACTCTGGTCCAGGCGATTCAGGCTTGCTTTCGGCGCCCGCCCCGGTAGTGGTCTAGGTAACCTTGCTATTGGACGAAAATACGGCCATGTCGGCGGCATTTACCATGACAAAGACCAGATGCGTCGGGGGCGAGGATCGGCGACGGTTGTGGCTAGACACATCGGCTGTCGGTGGAGTGACCGGGGGAAAAGCACTCGAGAAGCAGGTGGCTAGCACTGGTACGCTGTCGTGTGCAGTGCCGGCAAGGGATTCTCCGTCCGAGTAGGACATGCGATCGATCTAGTCGTTAAAGGAGGGCGCGGGCCAGGGATGGGCGAAGCGAGCTGGGATGGACGCAGGTTTGCGGGGGAAAAATCAGCAATTCATTCCAGACCGCAAGTGAGCCCCCCTCGATAGCTCGCAGCCTTAGATGAGGGCACCCACTCCCCGTCCTGGGAAGGATCGACATCTACAGAGGTCTAGCCCAGGGGGGTGGGGTTTGGACGTCGGGGACTTAACCGGGCCGCTGGCCACGTCGTCTTGCAGGGGTCCCCACTGAACGGCAAGTGTGGGACACTGGCCGCCGCCGAGTGGTCCATATACAACCTACCCTCCTCGAGGACCAGGGGAGAACAAAAAGCAGAGGTCTTGCATGCAGGGAACCTGGAGGAGTGGGAGGGCGGAGGGCCAGCCAAATTACCAGCGGGGAAGGTCACAGCCATCAGGGCTGGCAGCGGGAGATCATAGGTGGCAGGGAGGGCCAATGAGCACCCCAGGAGGGCGCCTACACAGGCTGCAGACCTACCTGCCTCATATGCAGGTTCATCTACTCGGCCAAATAGATGCCCCAGGGCGCCGAGGGTTCTAGTAGTCATCGTTTGTGCGTCGAAGGCCGCGTTTCGCAGACAAGCCTGGGGCTTGGGGTCAGCCACCGCTCAACGGCCCGCTGCTGGCTCACGTCGCTCGTCCTTGGCCAGGGCCGGGCCCGAGTCCAGCCCTGACAGCGGCAGTACCCGCAGCCTAGGGAAGCGAGTGATGGTTATTTTTCTCCCCTAGCGTGCCTAGCCTGGTACTTCGCAGCGGGCGGGTCTTGCTGGGTCTGGAAGCCTGGAAGGTCCTGTCAAAATCATGCCCGGCTGTCGTGCCTTTCGTCAATATGGCCCAAGGCGACGAGCAAAGTGTGATCGGCGTCGAGCCGTGTCCGGGGCAAGGATCCTATTCTTAGCCACTTTATTTTCCCCTTCTTTTTACGTAGCCATTCTCGGCTGCCCAATCATTTTCTCGGACCGAAGGCAGACAGACTCCCCTGCCCTGCCCTTGCTTGACCTCGATGGAGCCGCCACGAGGCGGAAGCCTGTGTCCCGGCGGAGCCACACGCACGCCCACGACAAGCCGGCCAGTGCGTGCCGCCGTCATCGCTCCCGTCCGCCGCCTCCGCACTCACAGGCAGTCATGAGCGGCCCTCGGCAATATCTCTTGCCTGCCTCGTTCGGTAGAGATCGTCATCGTGCGTCGCCCGCAGCCGCCACTCGGCCGGGCGCGAGACCTCCTCCTGCCAAGGTTCCAAGTGGGAATTCATGGCCCCAGGTCTCTGACTGGTCGGCCTCGACGTCGGAATAGAGTGCCACAGTTGTACAGCGAAGCGTGGACGATGTCATTGACTTTCTTGGCGCGGCTGTCTCCCTCTGGACATGGATGGGCGTCGTGCCAAGTCTTGTAGATGGTTACTGCGCTCGCGAGCCAGAGGAGGTTGTTTTGGGCGGCAACCACACTGATGACGATCATTGCCCTTGTTGTCGATGGAGTCCATTATTCTACCAGTATCACGATCATGCCTCGCCGTTCTCCTAGTCCTGCCTCTCCGAACGAGTATCCACAGCGTCTGCGAGGGAATTTTGCTGTGAATCTCTGTGTATAAATATGGCCCTGACTCCCTCGTTCTCTTCAACCTTTTTCTTGCTCCTCACCAGCACCCTCACCCAGCTCCTCAAGTCTCCAGCCCACAGTACCAGCCTCCCAAAGCGCGACCGGTCCTCCTTTGAGCATTAGCTCCCCAAGCCCCATCACCAAAATGCAGTTCAAGACCATCATCATTGCCCTCTTTGCCGGTGCTGCCGTTGCCGTCCCCACTGGTGGCGGCTCCGGCGGTGGCGGCTCCGGCGGTGGCGGCTCCGGCGGTGGCGGCTCCGGCGGTGGCGGCTCCGGCGGCGGCGCCTACGACGCCTGCTCCGGCCTCTACGACTCCCTTCAGTGCTGTGCCACCGACGTCCTCGGGCTGGCGAATCTCGACTGCTCGCCTCGTATGATGGCCCCTCGATATCCCTTGCTGCCTACCTACCCCTCTGCGCATCCCATCGACATGAAGCTGACCACTCCTGTGCTCAAATTGATAGCCACGAAGGCGCCTACCTCAGCCGCTGACTTTAAGGCCACCTGCGCCAAGGGTGGCCAGCGCGCCCGCTGCTGCGTCCTCCCTATTGTGAGTAGCCGTTCACAGCGGCCATTGCCGAAAAAACAGTCCCTGGCGGCAGCAGTCACTAACAAAGGTATTCATTTCCACCCCCATAGCTTGGGCAGGCTGTCCTTTGCCAGTCGCCCCTTGGCGTTACTTATTAAGCATCCCGAGACCTTGCCGCTTCGTCGCCGAAGTCCGAGGACAAACGCTGCCGCTTGCTGGATGACTTGAACGGGCTGATGGAATCTTGTCGGCCCCACTGTCTCGACAAGCGAGGTGATGGTCTCCGTTGGCGGGGCTGCCAGCGAGGCCGCCGCGACTCTTTTCTTTTTTACTCTGATGACTTTATCCTTTCTTTGCTCTTCCTGATGCCGGCCGCTCAATGACTATCCTTTCCACTGTTTTCGCTGCTCCTCTTCTTTACGGAGGTGTTTGATGGACTGCGCAGTACTGTTTTCTCCTTATAAAAACGAGGTGGATACCCACTCTGCACGCCCTTATGGGCCACGACTAATAGTTCCCGATTCCACGGCTGATGTGGTTAGGCACTTGAGATCAATGCGAAGATTAAGTTGAAACCTCACAACATAATTTCATTTTGACATCTGCTATGGACGAACTTGGTTAGAAATTTGCCCAACTTTCGACAACCCCACTCGAGGCAGTGGTTGCCAGATGATAGCCACTTTATCAGAGCCAGATTGGCGCAAGCCACTGCTGTTGGTAAAAGGGACTCACTGGCTCTCTTCTTTGCTTGTATTTGCCTGCATCTGCTTGCTTCTTCCAGAAGAGTTACACAAGACTCTTTTGCCTATATCCTTTGTTTGACCTGTAGGGTGTCCCCTATATAGACACCTCGGACCACAGATCTGTCAGGTAGTTCTTTTCTTCTTCATAGCTTTCCAGCCATAAGAGATTAACTTACAACTACTGTGCTAAAGTCATTAGTAAGGTCCAATAACCCCTCAAGTCCCGGAAATCAACCACCATGGCAGATCATTCGGTGCCACATTGCCACAAGTTACATTATCCCATCATACCCTCCATCCCCTAGGCTTGCATTGAGCACTTGCACCCCGGTATGTACCACGCTCCGGCGCTCCCCAGCCCCCACCGCACTTTCGAAGATCATAATTCGTCGCCACACGTCGCCAGTAAAGGCCGAAGTGGTAGCGTTTTGTGAGATGGAGAGAAGCAGGAGAGGGGTATCATTGTAGATAAAAGGGCACGAGGCCCCCGGCCTCGTCCCCTCTTCTTCCTTTCTCTTCGGAGATCTAGATAAGGCTAAAATAGACCTATCTTACACCGTTTTCCCGTCACAGCCTCCAAAAAATGGCCAAGAACATCTCCCAAGCGCGCACCCCATGCCCCCAGTCCGGAGCCATGACCCCATTGACCATCAGCGGCAACACAAGAATCTACTCGACATCGGCCATTTGTACATCGGCCTGTCCCGCCGCCGCCGCCTCCGCCTCCAGCTTCCGCACGTCCACCAGGGCGCATCCCGATCCGATGTGATAGTGGATCGGAATGACCTCGGGCTCAAGGTCCACGTGGGGGTTCTTCCGGGGCCGGCGCCCCGCGGGTGTGAATCTGCACGTGATGACAATCGACGCCTTCTCTATGGCGTCCATGCCCTCCTGCTCGGCGCGCTCGATGCGAATTTTGTACACGTATGCGCCCGCCCTCGAGACACCGCGGAGCCTGCACACGTCGTAGCAGGTGGTGTAGGCCATCTGCCTTCCCTGATCCGGAACGTCCCCGAAGAATGCGTCGCACACCAGCCACATGGGCATGGTGGCCTCGTCTGCCTTGTCCAACTGCGACCGCTCGACGTCAAAACGCATGTTGGCGCCCTCGGCCGCCCCCAACCCGGCGAGCGGCATAATGAGTTCGCACTTCTTACCAGCTCCGTCGCCGGTCTGGATTCCAAAGGTCGCGCCGCGACCAAGGAACTGGCCAAGAGATATCGCGTGCTTCATTGCGTAGGCATTCCCTCGGGCAACCATGCCAATTCTTCCCAAACCATGTGTCAGAAGCAACGTCTCAAGTTTGGGTGGCTGGAGAAAGGGCCTTTTTTCCTGTTCGAACTCACCTGTTCGGATTACTCTTGCCCAAGCCCTTGGTACCATGAATCAATGCATCGACTCCCGTGGCCTTGGCACATTCCACCAGAAGATTTATTATGTGAACGCCGAGGCAGCCGCCTCCACTGAAGATCACGATAAATTTCTCCGGTCCCCCGAGTGCCGTGATCGTCGTTGCAATCTCGGCTTGGATCAGCGTGGTGATCTTCTCGAAGGCGAGATTGTAGCATTCCCCGCTCTCGCTGTCGGACACACTATAGGCTGCGCCGTTGACATCGGAAAAGTCGATGTTATCGTCGTATGGGTTGGCAATCCTGCCCTTCTGCGCGCGGAAGTTCTGCATGAACTTGGTGAGCTGATCATTCGTTGGGCGTGGGAACATGTTCTCCGTGATCTTTTCAACAATCGCCCACTCCCAGACTTCGCTTCCCCCAAAGCAGCCTGGCCGATGGGTATGGAAATGTATGTTAGTCATGAATAGATTCAAGCAAGTGTTCGTTCCATTTTCGCTGGCACATACCGGACTCCCGAATCTCGAGCATGGCCGCCGGCTCATTCTCGTTCCTCATCTGATTCCCATCCCGGTGTAGCAGAATGAGTGAGCTACCCTTGAAAAGGAGTAGTCAAAGGTTAGCCATCGGTTAAAGTCCGCAAAGATCTGCGTATTGAAACTTACAAGAGAGCTCCCACCAGGGTCGAAGAACAGGAAGGTCCTTCTGTCGCCAGCAATCTTGGACAACTTGGAATTTGGCAACTTCAGATCCTCCTCAATCAAACAGCGAGCGGCGCTGTTGGCCTCCCCGGTGTAGTGGAAGGCAGATTCAGGCAGGTCGGTGAATACACGGCGGAGGAGATCATGGTACACTCTCTGCATCCCCTCGGTGTGACACCAATGAGCCACCGAGAATGTGACGTGGGCCACCTCGTATCCCATTAGTTCGCAATACCCGTCCACCTCCTTCTTGACCCTCCTGAAGTGATCGATCCATATCTTCTCGAGTTGCGCAAACTTGGCAGGGTCGCTCATGGCCTCATCTTGAAGGCTGAGGATAGTTTGGCCTCCAGGCAGGCGCTTCAGCTGCTCCAATGTTTCCGCATCTATGCCGTCTGCAAGCATCAAGAGGATCCACTTGACAGGAATTCTCATTGGGGCCAGGCTGGCGAGCAACGGGCTGACGCCTTGGTTTGCGTCGGCTTCAGGTTCCCAAACAAAAGAGCCCGCGAACTGGTAATTGTCTTGGAATGCCCCGGGTCCAACTTGCCGGTCAACCTCCAAGATCAAATCGCTGTCTCAACAATGGGAACCGGTGGGATTCTATTATTCCCTGCAAGCAGGACGCACGCCCTCGTTGCCGTGGTACCGTGATCGACGCCCGAGTAACTAAAGCACCGCATAAGTTCAGTCAATCAAGTGTTAGTTACCTAAGTGGACGCAGAGTTTTGTGATTCTGCCGGAAATCAGGATGGAATGGGGAAGAAGGTTTATGAAGAAAGAGAATCGTGGGCGAACTTACGCAGGTTTCCGCGTGCCGGGGCCTCCCCAGGCTGCGTATGTGCCATCGGCTCGTTCACTGAATGGGGATGTTGAAGTGTTCTCAAAGGATGAAGTGCTTGACGAAACAGCCACGCTCGTGGGATGGTTGTGGGTGGAGTGAAAGAATATTTTTGTTGACGCGTCTTTGTGTGTGACTGGCTGCTGGCGGCTGCTTGCGTCCGAGACTCGGGTTCGCCCCCCCCCCCTTTTTTTTTTTAGTGACGCCCTCCTCGCCGCCCCCAAGCGTCCCGTTGCTTTCCTACTTTTACGGAGACCAGAAGATGTCATTTAACCATTTTTTTTTCGAGCCACAGTTGTGCCCAGCAACGCAGTAGAGAAGACCCTATCGAAGCTCATCTTCCAAGGCTGGGCCGTGAACGAATACAACAGAAGCCTCAAAAAGGCCTCTACCAGCGCGGCCAGCGCCAAGGGGAAGCACAACGAGGAGCGAGGCGATTCCGAGCACGACGAGGACGCAGACTCCGAAGAGGGTGAAGGCAACTTGGATAATTTCTTCGTTCATGATCGCTGAACACCGCGAGGCCTCTGTTCTCAGCGGACGCTTGTGGAGTGTCACAGCCAAGAGGTCGAGCGACGCCGTAGCATGGCCACAGAGAAGACGAGGGACGAGGATCCGTTGGCGATGGAGGATTGATGGGAGGACAAGGGACGAGAGTGAGTTTGCAGTTTAGGTCAAGGGTCGTTTGGTGTGGGTTCAGTTTGATGTTTGCGTTTGCGTTTGTCCGCAGAGGAAGGAGGTCGCCAATTTCTTGCTTGCCTAGGTAGATGTGTCGAGATGGCCGAGCCACGAGTAACAGTTGGGGAGATAAGACGTTGCGTGGGTGGAGAATCAGGTATGTCGTCATGTTCATAATCTAAGCTAGTTGATGCAAGTGTCAAAAAGAGAAGAAAAAACAAGAGTTGAAATGTATGTATGCATCTGTATATGCCCAAAGAACCCTTCCGAATGGTGGGTATCCAGTAGATGTATGCCAAAACGGTGACAACCCAGAAAAGGCCAAAACAGAGATTATAAAACCCAGATCCAGATACACAAGCGAAGAAGAGAAAAACAAAGGAACGCCTATAACTATGCATATCTCGCACTCGTGGTGCGCTGGGGTCTCCACCCGGGCTGCTGCGCCATCGGGGGAGAAGACGAGGCCCAGTAGCTTGGCGGCGGCGGCAGAGGGCCCGAGCCGGGAGTGCCGTTGGCGAATCCCGGCTGGGACGCAGCCTGGGCGTTGCGGGCGGCGATCATCTGCTGGCGCTGGCGGCGGATGGCGCGCTTGCGGCGGCAGCTGCTGATGCAGCAGCAGACGGTCAGGAGCGCGATGAGGCCGCCGATGCCGGCGATGAGGCCGATGGCGAGCGGCTTGTTCTGCTCGAACCAGTTGCTGGCCGTGGCGCCAATGTCGCCGACGATGCCGCCGCCATTGCTGGTGCAGCCGCGGCCGTTGGGGTTGGTGTTGTCGACGTTGAGCGGGCACTGGGCGGCCTTGCCGTCGCACTTCTCCTCGGGGTCGCACGTGCCGGTCGAAGGGCGGCAGACGCGCTCGGCTGGGGCGACGCCGCACTGCGCGGTGCAGCAGCCGTCGCTCGAGGGGTCGCACGTGGCGCCGGCGCGGTACCTACAGGTGGCGCTGTCGCAGCAGGGGTTCTTGCTGTCGCACTGCTCGCTGGCCTCGACGATGCCGTTGCCGCACACGGGGTCGACGGCCGTCTCCACGCCGCGATTGTCGACCAGGCAGCGCATGCTGACGGTTCCGGCGCCCAGCTGGGAGCAGACGGAACCGATGGTGCATTGGCTGAAGTTATCTATTCCGCGGTTGGCCGAGGGGTTCATGATGAACTGAGAGCGGGCGTCGCACGTGGTGCTGCTGAGAGGACAGCAGCTCCCGTCAGAGGTGGCGCAGAGGTCGCTATTGCAGTCGTGGTCAGCGCCAAAGGTGTGGCCGACCTCGTGCGCAAAGACCTGCCACTCGCTCTGGCCGCCATTGGTGCGGGCCACGTAGTTGGCGCCCGCCACGGCAGTGCCCGTGCGGTCGCGCGTGGAGCCCTTCATGCAGGCGGCACCGAGCCAGGCGATGCCGACGGCCGTGTTGGTGGTACACGTGCTGAAGAGGGTCCAGAAGGCGGCGTTGTCGTTGAGGCGGCCGCGCCAGTTGGAGAACTGACTCAATCGGGTCGAGATGCTCGTCGAGGGGCTGCAGGCGGTATTCCAGGCGTTGTCGTCGTTGGTCTGGGTGGGACACTCGCGGGCCGAGATGGTCAGGTTCCGGATGGCGAAGGTGATGTTGAAGGTGCGCTCGTACAGGGCCGAGGCCGTGTTGACGAGGTTGACGATGTTGGCGCGCACGTCCTGGTCGGACGAGAAGGCGCCCCGGTAGTTGCAGTCGGTAGCGATACCGATGAGGGCGACACGACGTGTCGTCGGGCAGCCTCGCGTGGAGCCAATATTGGCCACGTCGTTGCGGTTCTGACGCGCCATCAGCCGGTCGAGCGGCGACGAGGCCAGGTTTGGCGAAACGTCGCGGATCTTGTGCCGCATAGGGCTGTCCTCGTTGCCGCCTTCAGCATCGACGCGGACGTGGTTGTCATCCACACCGCAGCCGGACGCTTTCCTGGGAACAAGACTGCCATCCCGCCTCCTCAGCTCCGACCAGTCCCCCTCGTCGCCCTGTCCTCGGATGTCCGAATCCCTCCACGCAACCATGTACTCGCCCTTTCCAGCCTTGTCCGCCCGCTGCGGCGTCGGGTCCTCGTCGTGCCTCGTCCTGGCAAAGTTGGTCGCGGTTTCAACGTGGTGATTGTCGCCGTCGATGCTGAATGCGCCCTCGAACAACGGCGTCCGGCCGTCTGCCACAACCATGACGCGCGCCCAGCCTGCGTTCCTCCATTGGTCGTGCTCGCTCGCGCGCACAAAGGCGCTACCCTTGAAGACGCGGTGCTCGGCCCGGTCGATGGTCCTGCCGTACTTGGGTTGGCCGTCGGGACCAATCACCTGGACGTATGCGTCCTTCGAGATGACGTCTTCGTTGGGGGAAAGCTCGAGTCGTATCCTCCGCTCCTTGCTGCCGTCGACGAGCTTGAAGGTTGTGGCGAAGGTGGACCAGGCGTGGACCAGCTGCCAGTCGGTCGTGAAATGGACATCTTCGATCTGTGTCGTCTTTCGTAGGGGGTTCCGGCCGACGCTCAATGCTGTTGGTTGAGGCGGGGTTAGTGCTGTGCTCCAGTGCGAGAAATTGGGTTTGGTGAGCCGCAACTCGTGCCTCTGGCTCGTGCCGACGGGACGACCCAGCCGAGGCACGAGGAAGGCACCATGGCGACACAACGACATGACACATACCGTTTGCTATATCTGTGTAGCCCGTCACTGCCAACAATGTGGTCAGGAGGGATGCTAGTAACTTCATGGCCTCTTAAAAATGTGGTGGTTTCGGCGCAAGAGTCGCCGTAGGGTCGTCGTCGCCGTCGAGTCAATCGGGTCGGGACGTCGACAGGAGGACGTCAAGTAGAGACAAACGAGGGGCAAATAGGAAACGCTTGAAAGAGCAAGTGAGCAACTTGAAAGAAAAAGGAAGAAGTAAGAAAATGTGGCAAAATGGTCACGGAGGCTGCACTAATAATATGAGCCTAACAACTGCCGCCGCTAACAGACACCGAACAAATCAAGCAGCTGGACGGGCTGGGAGACGCAGTAAAAGCCAGTGAGCCTGATGTCCAGGGAACGCTTGCAGCTGAGCCCGGGAAGCAGCAAAAACAAAACAGAACCACGCGCCCATATATCAGCCCAATCCAACGTCCCAGCCTGCAGGAAGTGCCTCCTTTGGAATCCCTTCTCGATGCGGGGGGATGGATTCCAAGGGGGCGCAGTTGGTCGTGCGGGGGATAGGCCACGCCAGCGCCTGAGCCTTCGTGAATCGCCGTGCAGGAGGAGCGACGGGGATTCGGGTGGCTTCAAGTCGCCAGGCCAGATGTTGTCTTTGTGGAAGGGCTGGACAATCGAACAAAAACGGTACAAACGGAAAGAAAATGCAGATCGGGAAATGCAACGAACCAGGAGGAGAAGGGAAATGACGAGCGAGCAATGAACGAAACAGGAAAAGGGTCAATGGAGGCGGAAAAAAAGAAAAGAAAAAAAGGACCAGGAGGAAGGGAAGGGCGAGGGCGCGGCTGATGATTCACCCTGCTGACCCGCCGCCCTTTTCTCTTTACGACACGCTGTTTAGGAGGGCTTGGTATTCGCTTGGGTCACACATCAACAGTTGCACTTGGCAGGCTGGGGATCCCTGACGCGGCCCTTTTTTGGTCCCTTGAAAGGGAGCAGAGCCCGCCACCCCTGCCCTATTCTGCCCAAGACCGCGCTGGGATCCGAGCTACTTCGTTCGGGTGCTGCATCATCTCGCTGTGTTCTTGCGACAGCAGGGCCCTGTCTCTGCTGCCTTGTATTTTTGTCAGGGACAAAGACGCTAAAACCGTGCTCGTGTGCCCGCAAGTGGTGGTATCGTCGGACAAAAATAACATCAAATGGCCATGTGGGACAGACACATAAATGGCCACAGGTCGCGCCCAAAATACATAAAGCAACAAAGAAATCAGCCCTTAATGAGCACCTACCCACTTGGCGAAACCCAAAGACAGGTCTGCTTCCTACAAATCGTGGCGGCCGTTTGAGCGACATTCAGCACCTTGACATTTCTTGTTAGGCTGGCCGCCCTCTCTCGCTCTGCAACGCGCAACAGCACACCAAAAGTTTCTTTGATCGGACGGGCTGCACCAAAGAATGGCCAGCGAAACCGGCAGCCGCGGATCCTCCGCTTGCTGACGACGACAAGGGCTGGGCGCTGCCCACCAAGGGGAGCAGGGAAAGGGAGCAGGGGCCACCCACACCCACTTCTGGCGGCGGGGGCTGTGCTAGGCGCCCACGCGCCTTGTGTTTGGGCGGCCTGTCGGCACCAGGGAGGATGCGGGGCCGCGCCAAGCCCTGCGTCTCTGCGTCGGGCTTTGCACCACTCCATGCCGCGTGCCAGGGGCTCGGCTTCTGTCGATTGGCCCAGAAGGCTCTGCAAACAAAACATGCCGCAGGACTGCATCCCGTCCCCTTTTTTTTTCTTATCTTTTTTCCCTTTCCTGTACTTTTGGTCGACTCTATGGGCACCATCCAAAGTGGGAAATGCCAGCAGAGATAAAGCTGCAAAACCATTCAACCATCCCTCTACCTGAAATCCCTCCTTTTATCCTGCCCGATCCAGGGCCAGTTACCCAGTCCGGCCTGGTGAATGACAAAACACACGTGGCTGGGACTAAGCCACCCACAGGCGCGTCTTAGCCGCTTGGCGGCCGGGAGTCCGGCACTCACTGTGTGTCTGTCTGGGTCGCTGTCTGCTCGCCCTACTCGGCGCCGTGCCACATCGGAATTAGCAGATCTCGGATCTGGGGAGGCCCGAGTCTGTGGTGAGTGAAGGATGGGCATGCAGCCTACAAGCGCGCGAACAGTGCCCAGCTCCACATCCTACATTACCGCCGGCCGACACTTGCGAACTGCCTAGTCGGCCGGGGTGCCGGGCGTGCTGTAGCTTTGCGCCACCATGAACGGTTCATCTGGTCTCGGGACGTGCTCTCCTCCCTACTCATGGCGCCCGTATAATGACATCTTCCCCATCCTTTGTTGATGTAAGCATAAGCAGCACATCCGCGGTGGTGGTGCACATGCGACGATCATGGACCAAACAACGTTCCCCCTTGTCATCCATCCTCCGTCCTGATCCCAACGCCCGCACTGCTTCCTAACCCATCGACAGATGTCACATCGCCAAGCAAACAGCCGCATTTGCTCCGACCAGACCGTTGCCAGGTCGATGGGGAAGATTCGTGCGCCTGCAGTGATGACGACGACTTGAGGGTGGGTGTCTGGTTTTTACCGTTTCAATCGGCACATGGGCGCCGCCGAGCGCCCCAGTCCTGACCCTGGACTGCCAACATTCGAGGTGGATTCCTTTTCTAGGACCCGGCACAACCACCATGTTTTTTCTTTGGCTGGCCGAGGTTTGCTGGGAACAAAAGAGACTGGGGTCACATACAGAATTTTAATTACGTGCGAACGCCATGGGAAACAGGGACACACATGCGAATATTTTCCTCTTCGAGCATCGCTCGCCGCGCACCGTAGCTGCCTGACAAACTCCCCAGTGCTTCGCCAAGATGCACCCCTTAGCGGATCCCCGCCGAATGCCAACCATCACAGCAGCCAAGCAGGCTGGCCAGGCTTGCCAGCAAGTGATAATTGCGTGGCGCCGGGGCGGTGATGCGTGCTGTCCTCGCAAGCCACAGTCCGGGCACGCGTCCTTCGGGAATGCCCGATTCCAGCGCAGCAAGGCTGCGAACCCATGGGGACCAGAGACCGCAAGTCCGTTCCTGTTGATTCTTGTCCGTACCGTGCAGGTATTGCAGGCTTGGGCTTTGAGCTTTGAGCAAAACCGCGACTGTGCCAAGACTTGATATCACGTGCCCACGCTGCAAAAGCGAGGCACATGTCGTGGTTGTCTGACAAAGCTATCAGATGGTTGGCGCTGAAGCGGTGGGTTCGGGAATATTAATTATGGCATGTCATTGTAATTCATAAAGAAACCAGCGCCGATATAAGTGCAGTAACTAGGACAGCGAGAGAATACAGTTCTCATTTTCATTTCCCTCTCATTTTTCGGGCTTTCCATAGTTAAATTTGATAGCCCTCACTTTAGCTTTAACGTTATTAAAATCTAGCTAGCAAAAGGTTTGAAAACACCTCAGAGCCCCGGAATCCATTGGTTTGTATGATCCCAAATGCTCCTCGCAAAGTTTGCGAGTATTAATTCAGCATGTCAACTCTCCCCGTTGGGAAACCAGAGTCGTGCGCCTTTCTAAACGACTCGTGCAGCCGAAGTTTCCATCCAATCATATAGGTCCAGTGGCCAAATGGCAAGGCGCTTGACTACGAATCAAGAGATTGCAGGTTCGATCCCTGCCTGGATCGAATATGGGGAGCATCTCCAACATGACCTCCTACTTTTTGTTTTGTTCTTGCTGTAGCTGGAATAAAATTTCTACTCGCTAGGAAGGATCGAGCTCATGGGAGTTCCTTCGGAAGCTCCCCAGCATGCATCTCGTGCGTGTTACTGTTTGTCACCAACTCCGACCTGACCGAGTCAGACAGCTGGTACGGCGGCGTCGGTTGTCGAGCTCCGTTTCTCGGCAGAGGGCACTCCTTGGCCATTCATCTCCGCCTGCGCACGCGCCGTATCGTCCAGTTGTGCCGCCGGCGGATGAAGGCCATCCCAGCCCCCCTCTACCGGCCCGCCGCCGTAGACGTGGCCTTGGCCGCTTGAGTCATCAGCATTCCCGTACCGCATATACTGCTCTCCCGCCTCGCCTCCCGCCCCGTCCAGCCCCTCGTTTCGTCCTTGCCATCGCCGGCCGCCGCCCTGCGCCTTGACCAAAACACCGCCACGCCCATCACCGCAACCAGCACGGTGACGCCCACGGCGGCGCCAATGCCGGCCCTGCCGCCCACGCTCAGCCCCACGTCCAGCGACGTCGTCCCGCTCCCGGCCGCGCTGTCGCCGCCCTCTCGGGAGGTCTGCGCGGGCGGCGTCCCCGACGTCGACGTGGCCGACCGCGACTGCGGGAAGCGGATGTAGATGGGCGTGGCGCGCACCTCGATCAGCACGTCGGTCGGCGTGGTCTGGATGCTGCGCGCGTTCTCGACGTCAGGCACGCGCAGCGTCACCGTCGTGGGCCACTGCGCGCTCGAGTAGCAGGCCGGGCTCGACAGCAGGGATTCCGAGCCCGTGGCTGGGCTGTATCTGTACTCGCTGTGGAATGGGGGACGACTTGTCGGAAGGTGCTCATGCCTAAGACTCACGCTGTCTGAGGGTGGATGGGGACGTACCTTGGGCAGCACACGGCGCGAGACTCGGTCAGCGTCTGCACCATCTCGGCCGTGCTGGACGCCATGCTCCAGCCGGAGGGGCACACGGCGGGCGAGTAGTAGGCCGTGGGGCCTGGGACAAAGTTTTGAGGGTAGCAGTCGCCCGCAGACGTGCCGCCGAGTATATGCCATTTGTATCCCGTGCTGGCGGTCCCGCGTATTTCCGTGGTGGCGGTCCCATAGATCTGTTGGAGGCAACCTGCTGGAGGCGTGAAGGTCGCCGTCAACGGCCCAATGTTGGTGGCCATGGTGATGCAGGGTATGCAGGGTACTGCGTCTTTGCGTATTGACAGCGGATATTACAAGATATATTAGGGAATATATAGGGAAAGAGAAGCGTGTTGTATTAGGAAATGTTGGGGTGAGCAGGGTATACCTGCTAAACCAGGGTCGAAGGGTTCACTCCGCCTGGGAACATGAATAAATACCCTCGAGGTGTATCCATACATATTTGTTGAGGGAGCATGGAAGCCCATCATCACTGAGAAAAGACGGAGAGAGTAGACGACGGGTCGCTCCTCCTGCTGTGATGGTGGCATATCATATGGTAACTCCAAAAATATCCCGGCGGCCGTTGAAGGATCGTCAATCGAAGGATTATCCCGGGCGGATGTCGCGCGGAAGTGGCGCTCTCTCCCCTTGGCACTATAAGAAAAGGATTGACGATACAAATCAGGGGCACCAAGCTGCAGGCCAGAGGGCGGGGGGTCGACTGCTATTGTCAGAGTTGCTTCGTTGGGCGCGGTGTAATATCATATCTCGCTGCAGATCAAGGAGGCGATTGGCCCGGCGGATGAGGGTGCGGTTGCTTCCTGCTGTGGCTGGATAGGCACAAGCCCAATTCTCGGTCCCGAGATGGGTGGCGGGGCTAGGCTTGGGCACGCTCGCGTGGTGGCACTTGGCTCATTGCTGCCGTCTTCGCCATCTAGAGCTAAGCAGCAATAGGGCCGAACCTCGCTCGCTAAGTCAGTAAAGGGGCGGTCCGTCGGTTTCAAGAGCAGGCCTGGCGACTTGCCGTTTCGCTGCTGCTGTCGTCCCGCCGATCTCCGTCACTGGCACCAAACTCACGCATCTCGACCACAATATCGCCAGAGCCGCGCCTGCTTTGGGGGCCGTACGACACCGGCTTGTGGCTGGGCGCAGGATCATGCTGCAGTGAGAGGTGCAGCTCGACTGGGTTGGGCTGGGCATGCCGGCCGTAGAATGCCGTGACAGTCTCGATGGCTGCGGCAATGCCGTTTCTGGAGCTTCTGCTGCCCCTTACCCGTCGAAGTGTGTCCAAGACGCGCGCGCGGAAGCTCGACTTTTCTGTCTGCCGCTTCGCGTGGCTGGCGGTGATGTCGCACACCAGCGTCCGCAGCATGGGCACCGATGCCGCCACCATGGTCTGGGCTATCTCGGTCGAGGCCAGGATGACGAGGTCGACGCCGTCCACTGTCTGGGTGTTAGGACCCGCGTGTAGCTGGGCATCTCCCGCACTCGACTGAGCAGTCAGTCCGTCGTGGTGGCGAGCTCACATGTGAAGTCGGTGCTTGCGAGGACCTGCAGCTTCGGCACTTTGGCAAACGCCGTCGCGGCGGCTCTGGCTGGCTTGGTTAGCATGCCAACGTGGATGGAGAAGGGGGGTTGGTTGTCTCACAGTACGCCCATGCTCATGGCTAGACAGACTCCTATCTTCTCTTTGTCAATGCCAGGCCTAAGTCGACCAGCCTAGAAAAGGCTGATGGGACCTCGTCAGCCACATTCTCTGCTCGCCAACTTTCTTTGTGCAAAGCCAAGGCCGGCCATGGTTCAGAAAGAAACACGTACCAGCGCTGCCCATAGACAACCCCAGGTTGACCCCGATTGGCAAGCAGCTGCCCTCGACAACGAGGTCCCACGATTTCTCAAGGGGAGTGCACTGGGCCCACTGCACGACGAGGTTCGCGGCGTGGAAGGCGTTCATCGAGACGGTGGCGCACCAGAGCGCGGCGGTGAGCTTGGGACCCGAGATCCTGCCCAGCGTGATGACAAAGGACGTTTTGCTGCCTGGAGTTGCCAACAGAAGCCCCGTCCCGACCACGAGGCCGTCGAGCCCTACCCGGTCTAAGCTGTCCGGGTCTAGGGTGCTGCCGGATCTGCCGAAGCCATTCCTGACGTTGATGCTGAGCTGCGCACAAGCAACAAGGAAGAAAATCTTGACGTGTAGGAGGAACGAGATGTGCGTCAGGTCAGCGAATGCCCCTCCAGGGGGTGGGGGGATTGGTCTCGGGCTTCCCGCGCCTACCCAAGACGCCAACAAGACATAGTCGTCCCACCACAGCGCGTTGTTCCTCCGGGCCTTGCTGTACAGTCGGAGGAGGATGAAAACGGTGGCGAAGACGAACAGTGACCAGACCGCCTTCATTGCCCTGGGGTCATAGTCCACAGCTTCCGGGTCCCCGGCCTCATAGCCGCTTGTGCCGATTGCCGCCGCCACATCCCGAAGGTACATGGTAACAGTCGCAAGACGTGGATTATGTGGCGATGGCGTGGCGAACGTCCCGACATTGCGAGCCAGATCGTAAGGGAGATTTGTGATAGAGAACAGGGTAGACCAGTCGCCAGAGAGCAGTCGAAGCACTGAACAATCTCCTGGCTTCGTCTGAGCCCTGGCATCACCCACGATCTCCAAAATTGCAACCCCCCTGGTACCTACCTACTTATACAACCTAAAAAAAACCCCGAGATTTACCGGGATTCGACAAACACATCTGCATGCGCTCGGCTGCAGGCATGGACGTGGGAGTGGAGGAGCTTCTCCGATAAGGTTGTGCGCTGCATGCTTTGGAGTTTGGTTTGGCAATCGTTAGCCCTTGATATGTCAGACAAGGCTGACCCCGCATCCTCGATTCCCTCTCTCGGTCTGCTAGATCGAGATGGGCTGGCTGGAGGTTCGGGGCTCCCCCGACGGAATATAGAAAGTTTCGGGGTGCTGGAGAATTGGCCGCTCTGGCCAAAGCGCGTCACAGAAGATACACCCCCAAAAAGATCCAATGGTTTAGGTTTTCCGAGTGTTTCCGGGTAGAACACTGGAGGGAAATTACCCTGCTGTCTGTTCCCACGTGCGCGGATCTGTTTCGGTCGGTTCCAGACCCTCCTCGTTTGCTGCATGGTCGATTTCCTTGCCGGGTAGTGACTAGCCTGTGAATCGGTCATCTGCGGGACAGGAACATCTTGTTGTTTGGATGGTATGCGCGATCAAATGGCAGAGACATGAAGTGAAAGCTGGATGCCTTGACATGACGGACGCCCTGAGCAACTTTACCGCGGCCCTGGGACGCCCTGGATCACTGGACATGACGGTGACGAAGCATAATGGACGAGAAGGCTTGACGGAGGTGAAATTGAAAGACCGGTGATGAGGTCCCAACGTCTGAGTGGTGATGACCCTATATAGATTCGGCGGCCAGGACGTATGCCGTCCAAGAACTCCCACTTCTTCACTCGCCCCTTTTCTCCCTGCCCTTCGCTGGGACAGATGAAGCGTATAGGGCTCGAAAGGCCGAATCCGATTGGAGGAGCTTCCCTGGCTCGTCGTAATCAACGAGCTTTCCTTGATCTAACACGAGCACTCTATTGTAGTCGAGGATCGCGCTGAGCTTGTGCGCGATTGCAATGATTGTCCAGTCAGCAAACCACGCGTCCAGGAGTTTTTTGACCATGGAAGCGGACTCTTCATCAAGGCTAGGGAAAATATTGATATGGTTAGAGATAGGTTCTGCGTAAATATCAAGCAAAAGTGCTGTAAATTCTGCTTGGGGGATTTTCAGAATACTTGCTACTCGTGACCTCATCGAGGATCAACAACCCTCCTGCCTCTTTCTCCACGCTGCTCTTCAGCCCCCTTTTTGCTCCTCTGACTAAGGCCCGGGTGATGGTCGGGAGCTGCTTTTCGCCTTGCGAGAAGAACTTTTCGTCGATTACGGTGTCAAGCCCGCCCCTCTCTGGATTTCCTCCCACAGTTCGACGGCTTCGAGCGCTTTGACAATACCACCACCCCCGCTACTGTCGGCATTGGAGTCCCTTTGTCCGCTTGAGCCGTCACCGGCTTCCACGGTTGTCGGATCGACATTCACGCGAACCGTAGCATCGAAGATGTAGGCCTCCTGCGAGACCGCGACGATGCCAGACCGCACGTATTCGCCAGGCAGAGTTGAGATGTCGACTCCGTCGATGGCAATGGCTCCGGAGACCTCATCCACCATACGCAGCATGGCGAGGGCCAACGAGCTTTTACCACTGTACCATTTAGGAACAGGGCCGTCAGCATATGAACAACAGTTGCTAGGACACGAGGTGGAGGGGGACAGCCGTACCTTCCAGTTCTTCCGCATACGGCGACTCTTTGCCCCGGTGTGAGGGAGAACGTAGCGTTTTCGAGAACGGGCCCGGAAAAGCTAAAAAGAATGGCCCAGATCAGCACTATCCACAACGTAATGGATCAGTGAATTTGACCTACGTGTAGGAGGCCGTCACGCCAAGAAATTCGGCAGCCCCGCGACTAGGCCAGCTCCCCACGGGCCCCAGGCGTCTGCTCTCGTCAAGACGGCGCAACTCCTCGTCGGCCTCGCAGTCCCCACCGCCCCGCGGGGCCGCAAAGTTCTTGACCCTCGCGACGGCCCCCAGCGCGACCTCGAGCATGACCCAGCCCGTGACGAGGCCCCTGACGGTCGCGCCGAGCGCCAGCACGTTTGCGAGCCCGACGCCGACGTACGCGCGGGGCCGATCTGGTCCCGCAGCGCCGTCGCGACGACGACCAGCACGACGGCGAAGCCCGCGACCAGCACATCGACGAGGTGCGTCAGCCAGCACCGCAGGCACAGCAGCAGGTACGCCGGCCGCTGCGAGGCGTCGACGAGGGGCGCATTGCGGCGCGCGGCCCGGCCCTGCCAGCCCAGAGTGCGGATGGACTCGAGCCCGTCGAGCGTCTCGAGGAGGGTCGTGTGGAGCGGCGCCCTGTGCTCGATGTCGAGGAGGCGCATCTGGAGCGACGTGCGCAGGTAGAAGTGCTGCACCGCCCAGAAGGCGAGGGCTATGACGGGCAGGGCGGCGGCTCGGTAGCGCGAGCTCACGGCCACGAGGACCACCTCCCTGATGGCGAAGAAGGTTGCTGTTGGTGATGTTGGCATGAGTTGGGTGGGGGAGCAAGGGTAAACTATTGGCTGCGGAACTTACAAACTGCTACCGCCAGAGCGGCGGCGGGAAGCTCCATGTCTATCAACTGAAGATGTGGCTGAACCTGTTGACTGTCACCCCACTGTCGACGCTCGAATGGAACGTCATTGGAGCTCTGTCGCGGAATAACTGGTCAGGCTCTTTCTCGGGAAGCTTCGGGAAGTGTTCTAGCATGGGAGGTTCTTGACGTGCCTCGACACCCTCTTTAGTAGAACATCGTGGAAGTAAGCTCCTGAGTTGTTGATCACGTCAACAAAAAGCTGTCTAAAATAGCCCTAGTTTCAGTGCATGCCAGTAAAATAAGTAATGCGACACAACTTACCATGCGCCAATAAGAACCGCAATGATTGCGCCGACCCCGAGAGCCGTGTACACGCCAAGCCATTTCCCCAGGTGCTGTGCATTGGCCTCTGCCCACCAGCCAAGCCATATGTCTGAAGAGTAAGACCGACATGTCAATCTCCGATACGGGCAGGCTGATGAGGGGAAACTTCAAGTCTTACATGGAAACGAGTTGCAAAAGGCAAATACAATCATGGCGACAAGAAAAGCCGCGACAGTGTACCAACCGGCGCCCTCTCCATAGAACAGATACATCGTGGAGTCGCCTAGGTGGTGTGTCGAGTCTGTCTGATCAGGGGAATCCAAGGGGCCGGCAATAGCTGTCGGGATCGCCTGCTGCTGCGCTCCCGGTTTCTCGTCATTGGCAACTCCGGTGTCGCGGCCGTCTTTCAGGTCGGCAGTGGCCGCGCCAAGTCCGCCAAAGACATCGTCAAGCACGACGAACTCCTTCTTTGCGTACAGAGTTCGAGCAAGGGCCTAGGAAGCGCTTTAGGTTAGCTGCCACGGGTCTTTTGGCATTTAATCGTTGGCAAAAATGGCTCACTAGGCGATGCTTTTGGCCTCCACTCATGGAAATTCCCATTGTCCCAGCGAGGGTGTCCTCTCCGCTGGGCCAGGCACGAATGTCAGGCTTAAGGGCGCATGCTTGTATGGCTGCACGATACTAGTCTTCGTCGAACTCGTGGTCACCGTCGTAAGTGCTGCTGCCCGTCACAACTCGTCGGACAGTTTCGTTCGGGATCCAGGCCGACTGGCTGCAGTAGGCCACGCCCGAGACGAGGTGCGGGTTTTCCCGTCAAAGCCCGACAGCTCTCCTAGCAGGGCTCGGAGGAGCGTCGTCTTCCTACGGCCGACAGGGCCAAATAGGAGGGTGAACGTGCCTCTTCGTATTCTCTACTCCGGGTCGATATCGATGACAGGTTTGCTGTCTTTCTTCCATGAGAATCTCCTCTGGATGGAAGCAATAAAGTCCTGGGGTAACGGAGCCGAGGTGACGCCATTGCCGCTGGTGTCGACGATGCAATCCGCAGGGGATCGAGGCGGAGCGCCGACATCAGAGGCTATGCAGGCATTCAGACGACTGTCCTCTGTTTCCTCCCCGGTGAGAAAGTCCTGGATGCGCCCAAAAGAAGTGACGGAGTCCGCAAGGACTGGGACCGCAACGATAATGCCCGAGAGCGGTGCGCTGATGGGGACAAGCAAGGACTTGGAAGTGAAGGCGGTCACGACGTCCAGGGTCCCGCCGTCACCCCGGGTGGCGAGGCCTGCAAAGATGCCGAAGGCAAGGATCGGGGAGATGATCAGGGTAGCGATCACTATAGGTTATCCCGTCTCACCCGTTAGTCTTCCTCCGAAATTCAGATGGTGAGAGTTGTCGGGCAAAAGCAAGGCACAAGAAGTCAGGACAGATAGACAAGAAGAAAAACACCGACATATGACAAGCGAAAGTCCCACCAGGGCCCTAAACCGCATCGGCACCCCCAGCTCGACAGCCCGCAGTCGCGCCAGCATGCCGAACGCGACGTCGTTGAGCCCCGACGCGCGCAGCCACTTGACGCCGCCGAGCGTCCTGGACGTGGCGCTGACGCGGTCCTGGGACGCCGCGATCCAGGCCGCCTGGGCACGCCCAGCGGCGACGCCGAGGAAGCCGATGGCGACCAGGACCAGGACGGCGAGGCCGACGGGCACCGCGCAGGCGGCGCCCCCCACAGCTCGCGGGCCAGCAGGTACGTGCCGACGCAGATCTCGAGCGCGCCGGCCCACAGCTCGTGCAGCTGGCGCGCGCCCGCGGCCGCCTGCGCCGTGTCGGTCGCCACCAGCGTCAGCGAGCCGGCGCCGCTGACGGACGGCGAGGCCAGGTCCAGCCGCGTCGCCTTATCGTAGACGGGGGCGGAGAGGCTGCCGCGCATCATGGTCTCGGCGCGGGCGACGCTTCGCTCGTACTGGCCTGTGCATATCTGGATTGTGGTTTGGGGGTGATTAGGGGGTGAGGATGGTGTGAAGACGGGTAAGAGATTTAGTTGAGATGATGGCTCCAGAAACCTACAGCCATGCCAACAATTACGATGTCGTATGAGCCCACTAAACCCCATCCTGCATTGTCGTACTGCTCGGTCCGTGGCTTGTAGGCGGGTTCTATGGCCGCAGTAATGAGGAAAGGCTGGACATAGGTACATCCGATCAGGAACAGCCTGGGGGGAACGGCAGCCAGCATGGGCCGGGCAAAAGCTGCCTGCCAGGTGCTGATGATGGCAGCAGTTGCCGTTTTGTCGGGAACCAGTACGGACCAAAGCCCAGTTGTTAATTAACACAGTGGCTCTACTTTGCTCAAAGCCTGCTTGCGACTTTTCTTACCCATATTCCACCTCTCCTCAAGACGCCGGCGGAGTTTCTCTGATCCCATCTTGGTCTCGGGGGTGTCCAGGTCGTCCAGCCCAAGGTTTCTCCGGTAGCCGAGACGCATCAGCGGCATCAGCCAGGAGAAGAGGACTCGGCTCAAAGTGCTGCTCGTCACCTCCCCGTTGAGATTACGGAATTTGGACAGCAGAATGGACCGCTTCTCGTGGGACTCCAGGGCGAATATGATAGCATGTAGCGAGGTCAGAACACACAGAAGACACGCACGGCATATATAGGAACTTGCGGGAATCATGACTTTCATTGCTACCGGTCTTGTGTCGTCGTATAGTCGTATTCGTACATTGTATTGTAGATGGTACATCGCACCGCCATATCTGCAAGACAAGGACGTAACGCAACCCCCCAAGCTTGGCGGAAGCCTCATCTTAACACAACACATCGAAAACGACGGAAGAGTCACAGGCGACGGACTCAGGGCTAATAAGCCCCTAAAGGTATACGCAGGGGTGTGAAAAGGTGGTAAGACATACTCCAAGCCGCGGCGGCGTATGCGGGTCGAGCGACGCCAGCCTATGTCGGGTTCATCCCCGGAATCCGGCGTGCTTGACATGCCGGGCTGACAACTGGAGGGCATGCGCATTCCCCAAGCTCGCTGCATCGCGTAATAGCCCTCATTCAGGCGCCGTTATACAGCTTGGGCACGGCGCTTCAAGCTTCTCAGTTCGTACCTCTCGGGCTTGTTTGTTGGTGGCTTCGGCAAGTAACAGTCTTCTCGGGCGCGCTGCCTTGAGCTTCTCGAATCGTGTTTCTCCGGTTCGTACTTCTCGGGCTTGTTCCTCGATGGCTTCGACCAGCCGCAGGTGCCTCGAAGCCGCTTCCGCTCCTGCCCATGTTGGCCTGGAAGGACGATGTTAGCGGACTGAGCCGAGTTGAGCGACCATGAATTCGCGGGGTAGAAGGGAGTCAAGGCGAAAAAAAAATAGAAAAAAAAATAGACAAAGACCAATCACTCACAGCGCCTGCCGAACCTCTTTGCCCATGGCCGCTTGGTGAACTTGCGACATGTGATGCAGAACTTGCGGCTGCCCATCCAGCCCTGCAGGCGGGCGAACAGCGGATAACCGGTAGACAGGCAATTGACACACCAGGCGTCCCCGTCGGCGGGGTTGCATACCATCCTCGGATGCACCTCGCGGTTGTCGGGCGATAGCGTGTTGCGGCGCTGTGGTGCTGTCGGGCCGCGAACGACGAATTGCTGGTATCGCGCTGTGCCGCGGCCCGTGATGTGAAGTCCGATCCAGTTACAGGTCTTGTGCTTCCACCTGCAGTCCAGTAGCTTTGGCTTGGCAGGCAGGAGAGGCAGTGTAATCCACCGAAAGAAGCGCGATACCAAGGACAGGCAGACGAGATCGTGAGAGTGGCACCGCTCCAGGATTTCAAGTTGCAGCTCAGCGGGGAGTCGGGCAAACAGCGTCCAGGAGAATTGGTCCAGCACCAGCGGCGTTCGGCCCATTGTGAGATCGGCCCTCGTGCTTGTGGGATGGGCTCCCGTTCTTGTCGGATTGGCTCGCATTTGCTAGACCAACTTGGGCTCTGTTGATTGTCGTGCGGTGTTGGTAGTCCTTGATATGGAGTGATGGTGCTTTGGCTCCTGGGGATGAATTCAGGCAAGGGATCCTGGCGCCTCGCGCCGGGCTGCGCTACTAGGAGCAGGCGAAAACACCCGGAAGATATCAAACTTTCTTGGTTTGTCTCAAGATGTGCGCTTGGAGTAGGCCAGCTTCGCCTTTTCCAGTGGTGATTCATTACTGTAGCTTAGTTTCTGGCTATTACATGCACTCGACTCCATAACCTGTGGGTTTGATCTGGTGCGAGAACTCCACGCTATGGCCACCCAAGGGGGCACGGGCGTTTGGAAACTTCCCTACTTCTCTGTAACCTCCAGTCCTACACCAGCGGAGAGGTAACCTGACAGCTCGGCGATGCACAACCAACAGCATATCACCGGAATTGCCGTCAACAGCACCCACCACAGCTCAAAGGTGAGGCGGGTTCTCATCCAGCGGCGGAAACGCTCGGCGGCCGTGCGTCGGTGCGTGCAAGTCTGGGTGCCGTACACAAGACAGCCCAAACCCGGACGGCGGTCGCATTCCATATGCTCGCGGCGCCGCTGCATCAGCAACCTGCAGGTGAGAGAAAGTGTAAGCTCCAAGTCAAGCATAACGGGGCACAGAAAGGGAACTTACGCCACACTTCCCCGGCAGAACCTCAAGTCACTCCCGAGGTCGCAACGCGTGTCGTTGGGGCATTCAAGGTGCAGCTGTCGACGCTCCATCAGCCATGCAACCTTGAGGCGGACACCGGTGTAGACCATATCGTAGAAGTGGCGCGACGTGTGCTTCAGGGAGAGAGCATCGGGGTAGATGAGCTCTTTGCTGATCATGACGTGGATTTCCGTTGGTAGGTCCATCAAGGTCAGCGCCCGGACCCCTTGCGTTGGCGCCTGCGCTGGCGAGCTTGGCGCTGGCTCCTCCTCCAGCTTTCCAGCGGGCGCGGGAGCCCTGGGACGTCGCAAGACTGTAGCCATGATGAAATATAGAAGGGGGTACTAAAATGGAGAATATAATGGCAGCGATACAAAAAAAAAAAAGATGGTGTGGTATGCAAGAGCTATCAGCCGTTGATATGGATTCAAATCAGACAGCCCATCCTCGGCTGATCAATCCCGTCAAGGGTGGAGGGACAAGCCAGATTTGTATCTGTCAGGGCATCCGTCACTGGCGCATTGCTGCAGCCATTCGGACGGCTGATTGAACTCGTGTCCTTGGCTGGCGAACAGCCTTGCTAGGCGTGGGCGACCTCGTATTCAGCCCATGGCAGGCCACCTGGCAGTGCACTAACTGATCCCTGGGGCCAACCTGGAGTCGGTGCTGTGCGCTGTGGCTGAGGGGTTGTGACAAAGGTGCAGACAGAAGGATTCACATTGCACATTTCAGGCAGGCCATTGGTCCCAGGCCTGCCGGGGTCTTAGACACCAATGAAAGAAAATCGGCTTGCTGGCTTGATGCAAGTGGTCGCAGCCTCTACCTAGAGCCACATCTCGAGAGTAAAGAGTCAATATCTTGGGCGGTTGCTGGATCGCCAGTATTTTAGGCAGCTTCAAGAGTCACAATGCACGCTAGCGCTAGCCAATCTCGATGAGGTAGGTGCACGTACCAACTTACCACGTGACAGCGCGAGAGGGCATCCTCGCTGCTGGCGCGTCGATCTGCCCTGTGTCTGCCTGGCGGGGGCGGGGCGAAGCTGAGCCCAGAATGGCCGAGGCCCTACATTAAATGTGGCCAGCAGCCGCCACAGCCTTCGGGCAAGCAGTCTAATTGCTGGCATACTCCTTGCTCGACATGCCCTTGGCTTTGGAGCGACATGGCTTTGGCTTCAGCAACTCATAGCAACGACGAGTACGGGTGGGACCTTTCGCGCGAGGAAGAGGAGGAGCTTTTTGCAACCATCGAAGAAACCACCTTTGCGCCCACCAACGTCATCGCGACGCCGAGGAACCCTGTCCACAGAGCTGCCGACTCCCCCGGAAGTGGAGGCTCTAGCTCCACCGCCAGGACCGCCCTGCGACGCCCGATTGCGAGACTGCCGAGCACCGCGCCTGCCGAAGCCTATGCCTTGAGAGCCGACATCCACGCCGCCTTCCCGAGGAGCCCCCGGACGGTGACAATCACCGACAACGATAGCGTCTCCGAAATCGAGTCTCTGGGGCGTCGGTCCCCACATGGCCATGGAGAGGATACTCCTGCCCACTCGAGGAGTGTTGTCTATAGGGGCTCAAGGCAGGCCCGGGAGAGCCCCGAGGACGATGAGCCCTTGTCTCCAGGGAGCTATGTGGCTGAGGATGTCAGCTATCCCGACTGTATGTTGGCGCGTCTCTAATGGCACAATCTCTCTTGATCTATCGAGACGGCAGATTCACCAACTGATGCCCCAGCGGTATGCGCCAGTAACCCGCGCTCTATCTGCCTTCGACTCAGCGTCGAACAGAAAGGCGGGGCCAGCAGCTGGACCAGATGCCGACGGAGGCCCGCCGAACGAGAAGAAACGGTCACCCCTGGCGCTTTTGCGCACGTTCCCACGTAAGCCATTCAGCGTGTCCGACTTCTCATCGGCTGCGTGGTGCGAACAGCAGTACGCCTACACGCTCTTCCGCATGGGCGGGCGCAAGCCCCGGACGGAGGCCATGAAGCGCGGCACGCGTGTGCACGAGAAGCTCGAGCGCGAGGTGCACACGACCGTCCGCGTCGAGATCCTCTCGCGCGAGGACGCCTTCGGCCTCAAGATATGGAACCTCGTCCAGGGCCTGCGCACACTGCGCGACACAGGCCTAACTCGGGAGCTCGAGGTCTGGGGCCTGGTAGACGGCCACGTCGTCAACGGCATCATCGACGGCCTGAGCGAGGGGAACCCGGATCCCGAGTTCGAGGAGGAGATTTACAGCAGCCAGGGGAGCAGCAGCCAGGCCTCACAGACCGCCCGCAAGGTCTGGGTCTTTGAAGTCAAGACCAGGGCCCGCCGGTCGGTACCGAGCATGAGCCACATGCGCCCGTCCATGATCCAGCTGTTCCTCTACCACCGCTTTCTTTCGCAAATGGTCGACGGCAAGGTAGACTTTCTGCACGTTTACCGGCGGTATGGCCTCGACCCCGACAAGCCGTTTTCCGACACTTTCCTGGCCGAGATCGGTAGCCTCCATGACGAGGTGTTTTTTGACGCTAGTCCAGTGCCCCTATCTCCAGGCTCCGAAACGGACAGCATAGGGACGGCCGGGAACGGATCGACCAAATCTAGCAACCAGCTTCGCTACAGTACCCTCCGCCAACTCACAGCGCTGCTCAAAGACGAGCTTCGGCAAACCTTCCCCGACGGTTCCCACACCCTGGGGCCTTTTGTCACGATCGAGTATCGATATCACGGCAAGGAGCCCGTAGTACCAACTGTGGAGGCTGAAGATCTCATCGACAAGGGTCTCCGGAAGAAACACCGGAAGAAACGAGTCGCCGACGAGGAGCAAGACGCAGAACACTGGATAGAGCACCGAAGATTTCACATGAACAACGAAAAGCTAGACAACTGGCTGGAGGGGCACATGCAGTGGTGGCGCGGCGAGCGGGACGCCGTGGGCGTGAGCATCGAAGACGCGGACAAGTGCCGGTCCTGCCAGTTCTCTGAAGACTGCGGCTGGGTCGCCGACATGCACAAAAAGGCCGTTACTCAGGCAAAGGAGAACAAGAAGACGGCAGAAGCCGGAAAGGAGAGGTTGGCAAGGCGTGGCTAACCGCGCCATCTCGCTGCGTGCCGGCCGCGCAAAAACATGCACCACGCCATTGCTGGGAACGAACACATTTTGCTACGACTTCTTTCAAATTGCATTACGGCCAAGACGAGGATATACCTAGTTACCTCTTTCTTTTCGTGTTGTTGCCTTTACGTCCCCTATGCTTATTCCTTGCGCAAATCTCTCTCCTACTGAATTTATTCCCCGAGAGCTTGACAAGCAGACACCAGCGACCAGCCGTGTGTCGCCCTGTTGCTCCGCACACGTGTCTTCGATCTAAATCTACCCCCCTATTTCCTAGCATGCTGCACCTGGCTGCGTCACAATCTAGCGCTCCCAAATTCGATGCAGCCATCCCCCTTCCCGGATACCCTTCCGACACGTCTGGACCCGGCACTTGATCACCCAAGACGGAAGCCAATGCGACCCTCTCCCCTGAACCTTAATCAAGTCAATCATGGGATGGCGGGTGCTGGCGCTGCTCCGCGCGGGGTTTCTTGTAATCTCCAGGCCTGCCCTGGGCGAATTCGTGCCCGCCCAATCTTTGACGTGGGATGTGCAATGCTGCGGGCAGGAAGTCAATCAGGAGAAATGAAAACAGGCGCAATAAAAGCGGGCAAACACCATCTTGAAGCATTCCATCTTCTGTTCAATCTTCGCGGCGTTTGATTGATGCGACGTTGCAACTCGGCCGGAGGGCTGGCTGCAACTCGCACTATGTTTGGCTTCCTGGACGGTTCAGCGGTGCCTATATAGTCTGGCCTTCATGGAATTCGTCAAAGCTGTCGAGGCCCCTCCACCTGCCTTTGGTCTCTAGTGCCTTTGCGCTCTGGCCAGAATTCTCTGTCGGCCAGATAATCCATAATGTCTTTATCCTTCGGTGCCCTCGCGGGGCTCGTGTTAGCCGCAGTATCGGTGGACGCGCAGGCAACGCTGGTGGTCGATCCCATCACATTTGTCGACCCCCTGATCGGCTCCGCCAACGGGGGTAATGTCTTCGCCGGCGCCTGCGTGCCCTACGGCATGGCCAAGCCCGTTGCCGACACCAACTCGAGTTCCAACCAGGGCGGGTTCGCTCAAGACTCGGGCGCCTTCGTGACGGGCTTCAGCTCCATGCACGACTCCGGTACCGGCGTCAGCCCCTCGCTCGGCAACTTTGCCATGTTCCCCTACGCCGGCTGCCCAGACGGCGACGTCAACCGCTGCGCCTTCCCCAAGAAGAGCCGCGTCGACTTTGGCGCCTTCGAGAGCAAGTCGGTCAGCGCGCTGCCAGGGTACTTTGGCCTCCAGTTGGCCAGCGGCATCAAGGTCGACATGACGGCGACAGCGCGGGCGTCGCTCTACCGTTTCCCAGTTCCCCGCCACGACCATCGATGGGAAGCCGTCGCAGCCACTGATCCTACAGGATCTGACCGATCTTTCCGACTCGCGCCAGGATAACGGCACTGTCACCATGGACGGGTCCAGCGGGCGCATCACGGGGAGCGGTATGTCTGGCGGCTGCCAACACAAGAAGGCTATACTTGAACCTCGCTGACAAAATGTCTTGACCGAAACCAGTGAGATTTAACCCCAGCTTTGGCGTGGGGAACTACGTTCTACACTTTTGTACCGACTTCAGGGGCGCCGACATGCTGGGCAACGGCATCTGGGCCAACAGCAGGGCCAACGCGACCGTCAAGACACTCACCATCTCGCGCAGCATCAACGGCTTCCCCTTGCCGGGCGGGGCGTTTGTCCGCTTCAAGTCGGCGGACAAGCCGATCCTGGCACGCACCGCAAACAGCTTCATCAGCGTCGACCAGGCGTGCGGCAACGCCGAGCGTGAGATACCGGACTTTGACTTTGCCAAGGCCCAGGACGCGGCGACGGCGGCGTGGCGCGAGAAGCTGGCGCCAATCAAGATCGATGCCACTGGGGTAGACCAGTCGCTCGTCAAGACCTTCTACAGCGGCATCTACCGCACCATGATCAACCCGCAAAACTACACGGGCGAGAACCCCCTCTGGGCGAGCGGGGAGCCGTACTTTGACTCCTTCTATTGTCTCTGGGACTCGTTCCGCTCGCAGATCCCGTTCCTCGTCATTTTGGACCCGTCCGCCGTCGCGCAGATGGTGCGGTCACTGATCGACACGTACTCCAACCTCGGCTGGCTGCCCGACTGCCGCATGAGCCTATGCAAGGGCTTCACCCAGGGCGGGTCTAACGCCGACAACGTCCTGGCCGACGCATATATGAAGGGCACCGCCGAGGGCATTGACTGGAACAAGGGATATGAGGCCGTGGTCAAGGACGCCGAGGTCGAGCCATTCGACTGGTCCGTCAACGGCCGCGGCGGGCTGAACAGCTGGAAGGCGCTGGGCTACATCCCCGTGCAGGACTTTGACTACAAGGGCTTCGGGACCATGACCCGCACCATCTCGCGCACGCTCGAGTACAGCTACAACGACTTTTGCATCTCGCAGATGGCCGGCAAGCTTGGCAAGCAAGCGGACAGGGAGAAGTATACGGCCTCGAGCGGCAACTGGGCCAACCTATTCAAGGCGGGCCAGGCCTCGAACTTCTTCAACGGCACGTCTACGGGCTTCAACGGTTTCTTCCAGGGAGGTACATGAACGACACCTGGGACAACCAAAACCCGCTCGCCTGCAGCAGCCTCGACGCCAACCCGGCCTGCTCGCTGCAGGTGACGGGCAGGGAGACGTTCGAGAGCAGCCTGTGGGAGTACGGCTACTTTGTGCCGCACGACCGGGCCAGGCTCATGACGCTGTACGGCGGGCCCGAGAACGATGCCCGCCGGCTCGACTACATGCACGACCAGAGGATCTCGGGCATCGGCAACGAGCCCTCCTTCCTGACCGTGTTTCAGTACCACTACGCCGGCCGGCCGGCGCTGTCGGCCAAGCGCTCGCACTACTACACGCCCGGCTCGTTCGGCGCCGCGCCCGACGGCCTGCCGGGCAACGACGACGGCGGCGCCATGGGCTCATTCGTGGCCTTTTCGATGCTGGGGCTATTCCCGAACCCGGGCCAGGACGTCTACTTCATCACGCCGCCCTTCTTCCCCGCCGCCAACGTGACGAGCCCCGCGACGGGCAAGGTGGCGAGGATCAGGACGGTCAACTTTGACGCGGCCTACAAGAACATCCTTATCCAAAGCGCGACGCTGGATGGGCGGTTGTATACGAAAAACTGGCTCGACCACAGCTTTTTTGCCGATGGCAAGGAGCTGGTTCTGACGCTGGGCCCGACGGAGAGCGGCTGGGGCACCAGGGTCGAGGACGTGCCGCCGAGTTTGAGTCTGTACCCTGGGCTTAATAGCAGCGTCTGGGGGACCGTTTAGCTGGACAATCTCCCATAGTGTAATTCTTTCCGTGACTCCTTCTCGGTAATCTAATGATAGGAGACAAAAAAAGCATCGAGGAGAAAGGAAAGAAACGGAAACAAAAAGTAGAAAATAGGGAAAGAAACAAGGCCGTACGCAGCTTCCCATTAGATCAATGCCCATCGCTCTAAAGAGACCTCCCCTTCCTCGGTGTCCGCCATTGCCTCACCGTGCATAATGCCGTAAACATAGGAGTCGCCGACCAACTTGAATGCGCGGACAGTTCTGTTATCGGGAAGCACCGCCTCCCCCGCCTGGCGAAGGATATAGGGCACCTGGCCGCCGGCGAGGATGCACACCCGATCCCCAAGCTGAGTTGTTGATGGAGCAAGCCCAAAATAGCCCTTTTCCGAGATAAAGAATGCGCGGCCGATCGAGCATGACCTGGTCAGTTCATCGCACATGATCCGTATCGTATATCTCTTCCCAGACTTATCTCTGTCCTCTAGGGCACCCTTCAAGACACATATTTGGTCAAACCACCAGATGTCATGTGCTACTTCATCACCTGCGCCATAGGCCTTTTCTTCATCACAAATGCTGCTGTTCATGCACAGTGTCCTTTTGTACGCGTCGAGTCGGTTTCCACCCCCGGGTATGGCGACATTGGGTCCTTATCGACGCCAGAGACAAGCCTCCAGACGTAAAAGACCTCGTGGCAGCCAGGCTCCGGATTAAGATGAGGCACTCCGAGCACCACCACGGTGTCGAAACAACGACCGGAGATGCCGAGGAGTCCGGGCGGGTCCTGTTGGCCGATGACAGCCTCGCAGGCCGCGGCCCCACTCGCCAGCCAGCGTCCAGGCATGTCAGTCATCGTCCAAATGTCCATAATTTCTTCTCTCCGAAGGACAGCGGTTTCCCCGGCTGCCTCGTATCGCAGCGTCCAGTTGGGAACCCATGACGGTAACGAAAGCTCAACAATGTCTTCGGAAGGGACGACCTGGCTGAAACTAGTGTTGTGGTACACTTCCGGGGGGTAGTGACAAAAGGACAGAACGTCGAGCCGCTTTACTGACAAGATGCACTGGTGGGCGGCGGATTCGTAGGTGGATTCCACACTTAAACCGTAATCGATCCAGGTCGTCGAAAATCCCGGCAGGAGCCCGGTGATCGCATAGACCTTGTCGCGGGGATTCGTTGCCCGCCTTCCCCGACACATGGCTGCGACTGATGAGAGCGATAGAGCTGGCCCGCCTCTTTTCTGTCGCTTGAGCCTCTCATCAAGCTTCTTCACAGCGCGTACTCTCGACAAGCTCAGGGTGATTGTTTTACCGAGCTGCAAGTCGTGGCCCCGCCCTAAATTATCGACGTTACAGCACTGGCGGCGGAGGTGGTGATCGTTGAAGCTGTATAGCAATTTTTGGAGGCTTTCGGGTGGAAGCTTGGCCTTGCCCACCATGTACACCAGCGACTGGGCTACCGCGGCCTCCTGAACGGTCCAGGCACGAAGCCACCAGTCGGAGAGAAGCCAGTCGGTCAGATGTAGCATATCTGTGCTGTCGAGCCTTTCGTCGTCCCAATGTACACCATCATTGCTTGTCAAAAGTTCGATCGTGGCAATGCCCGAGTCAGAGACAGAGCTGCCTTGGGGGCCTTTTATGATGCGGCGCTGGAGTCCATCGGACAGGCGGGTGCCACCAAGCTGGTCTCTCAAGTGTGCAATGTCGTCCCCGTCTGCCAGACGGCTGCTTGGTAGTCGCACTGCAGCGATGTACGATGCGGAGTCCAGGTCGCTTGGGCAGAATTCTATGCGCTCCCCGCTTTTGCGTTCATCAGGCTGGCGGGTGGCGTCGGGCGTGACTAGAAGCCAAACGAGGTCATGGGGGTTATCGGGGGCGTCTCCAAGCCAAGCGATAGCACAGGTGGCGACGGCATAAAGCTGACGCATCATGCGGACCTGGTGATTTTGCTCGAGGATGTCTTCCTGGTTGATACAGATGGCAAGCCGCCATAGACGCTGCCATCCACGGTGGAATAGATCCGCTGTGTGGTACCAAAAGCAAAGGCATAACACCGCTGTGTCTGGCCAAAAGCTAGTGCCATGATGGGATGGTAAAGCTGTTGACAGGCGCAGGTGCAGGTCAAGCTATCCTCAAGCGATTGCGCGTCATGACGACGGATAGCGGGAAGAAGATCCCGTATCTCGTCTCGCCCGACGACGAAGAGCGTCCTGGGCTCCATGATAATCAAGGGGCATAAGGCAGGAGGAAGACGGTACTGTTCTTTCCTTAGGGGGATTGGTAGATAACCAGGTCATACGTCATCATATTTAAACCATGCTTAGCTAGAATGTCATCAACTCGAGACAAGGAAGGAAACGTCACTGTTTTTACAAGCACGCCCGCATCTCCAACCAGCCGTTCCAGTCCTCAACCCGACGCCGGCGCCAGGATTAGCACCACCCAGCGCACGCTTCCCTCGGCGTTCCTCAACGGCGTCCAATGACACACGATATCCTGCTCTTTCTGGTGGTGGTGCTGCTGCTGCTGTGCGCTTGACACAGCAACCCCGCTCCCACTCCCTGAGCCACCGCCACCCAGCCCCTTCCACGCAGCAAACCCCTCAAAAACATCCCCCATTCGCGCAGACGGACTGGGCGTAGCCGCCCCCGCATCTTCGACCGCCTGCTGCTGCTGCTGCGATTCGCTGCGCCCTGTAAGGATGCTCGGCATCATGCGTTGTTTCTTCTTGCCCGCCACCGCCGTCGCCGACCGCCGCCTGGCGGCTGAGAACGGGAATCCCCCACCTCCACTTCCACTCCCCTCAGCTTCGCCCTCGAGCGAAGCGCCGCCGATAGTAATGCGGTTGCTGGTGCTCTTCCCGTCCGCCACGCTGGCCAGCAGGGCGCGCGCAAAGGCCTTGGTGACGGACGTCATGGCGCCCGCGCCCTCGGCCAGCACGGCCAGCACGTCCTGGTGTAGCACGCGCGGCGCGTCGGCGGGCGGGATCCCGAGCAGCTCGAGCGCCGCGGCCGAGCAGAACTCGACGCGCAGCCGAGCCGGGGACCCGCCGCCGCCGTCGCCGCCGCCGCTCTGGGCCGGCGCGTACTCGAGGACCATGTGCCGGATGTACGCGCCGGAAAACTCGGGCGGGCCTGCCGCTGTGTCGCTGGCTGACTCGGGCGGCGGCGTCGGGATGGGGTAGCGGAGCGGCGCGCACGTGGGCGACGGGGTGAGGCAGGTGGGCGAGCCGCCGAAGCCGCCGTAGCCGTAGCCGTAGCCGCTGGCGGTGCTTGGCGACGGCAGCGACAGCGGGATCGTGAGCGGGGGCGTCGGGCTGGCGGCGCCGTCTCTGGCCATGGCCGTCGGGGTGCGCGTGGCGGTGCGGGAGGGTGCCCGGGGCGGCGCGCCGGTGCTGTTCTCGAACGACTGCTGTCTGCGAAACGTCTTGAAGCTAAACCCTCGTGGCATGGACCGCCGCCTGGCCCGCTCGTCCTCCTGCTGCTGCTGGTTGTCGCCGTTGCTGCCGGGCGCCGGCGCGTCTCCCCGGCCCCGCTTGTCGCCTTCGGCATCGGCCTTGCCAGCTTCCTTCTTTTGCTTGTTCTTGGTCCTTTTCCGACGGAGATGCCTGTACCGCCCCGTCTTGCCCGAGGGCAGCTCCGTATCCTCGCCGCCGCTGCTGCTTCCGTCGCCGTCCACGGGCGTTGCCGTGACGTCGGTCCTGGGGGTCCGAAAGGCCACCAACGGCGAGCTCGTAGGTCCAACCTCGCTCGACCCGCGGCCCGTCGACGACGTCGTCGGGCGGGGCGGGCCGGCGCAGCCCAGGATGTCGAGCAGCTCCTTGTGGGTGCCGACTGCCTCGGTGATGTTGACCTGGCCGCCCAGGTAGTAGGCGACACGGCCCGTGGCTGTGGTGAGCGGGCAGACGAAGATCAGGTTCCAGAAGGGCTGCGGGGTGCCGTCGGCGTCGCGGCGGTAGTTGAGCACCAACTCCAGGATGCCGCTGCTGCTGTCGGCCACAGGCGCCCCGGCGGGGTACGCCATGGCTACGGCCTGCATGGCGGCGCGCAGTCGGGCTGTGGAGGGGTGCAGCTGCTGACCGGCCGTCGCCGAGCCGCCGCGAGACTGGAGGAAGCGGCAGTTGCGCCCGACGATCTCGTCGGTGGCGCAGCCGGCCAGGTCGGCCATGCCGTCCGAGGCGAAGGCGACGGGGCAGTCGAACTGGAGCGGGTCGGCCAGGCAGAAGGCGTCAGCCAGCCCCGGGAAGCGCGGGTCGAAATGGCGCGCCGAGTGGCGGACCTCGGTGGCCAGGGCGACCGACGTGGCAAGGGCCAGCTGGGTGCGGACGAAGGCCGGGTACAACTCGCGGGCGATGCGGTGCTCGACGTGCGCGCGGGCGTCGGCGAACAGCGTCTCGAGCGTCGGCAGGATGGAGATGGCGACGTGTTTGACATCCGCGTTGAGTACGCGCGAGGTCTGGTGCGGCAGCCGCAGCGGCGACGGGGCCGCCACCGACATGAATGTGCTCGATATTGCTGCCATGCTGGAGGTGACGGCGTTTACGCAGTGGGCATACTCCTTGAGCTAGAAGGGCGGTTTCTATCAGCGACTCTCCGGCATTATATGGTTAGACGCCCCTCCAGCCCAGTCTCACCTTCATCAGAAACTCCATACCCTCGGCCGACTTCCTGGTCTCGGCGAACTGCAGTAGCTGGTCCGAGGCTTCGGGGTTCTTCAACACCATCTGCATGACCTCCTTGCCGAATATGTCAGGCCCAGGGCATGGCGAGGCCGAGCCGTCGGCGCCATTCCTCCCCGTTAGAGGTGGCATGCTTGCGACGCTCATGCGACTTCCAGGAGTGCTGCCGGGCGGACTGCCCGACACGGAATCGATAGCTCCCCACTCGACCGCGAACTCGGATCTGACCGGGGTGCCGTCTGAACCGTAGTCTGTGTATTGGCGCAGCGCGGCCGGGTTGGTGTGCAGCGACAGACCAGAGTTGCTCCTGAGTCGCCTGGCCAGACTGTCTCTTGTTGGCGGCCGCACCGCCCGCGGCGTTGGCGGCGGCGACGAAGTCCCCATCATCGTGGCCCGGTATGCGGTTGCCTTAGACTTCACCTCGTTCTGGTCTCGGGCAATCGCTGTACATGAATCTGCAGGTCAGGCCGGTGAGGTTGGGGGTTGTCACCGTGATCGTCTTGGTTTTCTGATAGGCGCTGACCATCCCCTCATGAATGGAGAGATGAAGGTTCTGCAGTCGAGGCGGGGGCAAACATGCAGGTTTTAGTGGCAAGTTGACAAAGTGCCGCTCACACTGAACGACAAATAGTTCCTGCTCAAGATGGACTACGACGGCCCCAAGGAAGCCAGCGAAAGGCTGGCGTTGGGGTGGCTGCAGGCCTCAATTTGGCCCAAGGTGTCGCGCGCTGCCATCCGCATCTTGACGGCGCTCTGACCGGCGCTGGACCAGACTGCCCGAGGAGGTCGAAGCCCGGGACTAGCGCCGAGGGCGGGGTGTGTGATTGACAGGGCAGACCACAGAACCCTCATATCAATGGGGTCAAGGGCGGGCGAGAGTGACGAACTAGCACTGCGGTTAGCGCCCCGTGGCCGCACTGGGCTGCCAGGCTAACGCGCCAGGTGGTGTCGAGCCGGGCGCCCAAGTTCAGGCCTTTCCGCAGCGAGCCCAGATGTAAAAGGGGAGGGGATACGAACTAGACCTCGAAGGTTTGCACGCATGGCGGTTGGGCGGATCAGACTCTCCGGACAGCCCCGTTGCTGACCCGGCGAGTTGCCATATCAAGACTGTTCTTTGCTTCTGAATCTGCGGATAGATAAAGCTTGTGCAGCCATCGACGGCACTGCAATCGATCGGCATGCCGGCATGGCAAAAGATCACCAATAGGCCAAACCATTAGATGTTTACATGGTGTCGAGTAGATCATGCCCTTTCTTCGCCCATGACCGTCCATTCCAGGACTCACAAAGAGCTAGGGGTCGCAGGATCGAGACTAGAACGACAACACGAGTCAGAGCGAGGGCTGGAAATCGACAGCAAGCAGCGTCGATCACGAACTAGCTCCGCTACCCGTCCCCAAACTTTGGGTCCATGCCCCGTGCCATCCTATTTCCCACAAAGGTGGCGTCGCGAGGCCAGGGGTAATAAAGTCAACCCTTGTCTGGCCCAGCGGCAGCGTTTGCCCCAGGAGCTCGGCATCTGTGGATTGCGTGCTAGACGCACCGGTAACACACCGTTTGGTTTCATCCTGTGCGTACGAAATGACGAAGGTACTGTTCGCGTCTCCCGTGCCGGCCTGCTGCTGCCACGCCATTCAACGCCTCTCCGTCGTCGCCCCAAAGTTAGCTTCTCTGGACCGCGCTCCGGTCCGCCGTAAGTTTGTTCCTAGGAACACTAGGTGTGGCCAAGGGGTAGCGCTGCGGTTGGATTCCAACTTTTAGGTGGTTGGGGCGAGGCGGAGATCTGGATCATCGATGGTCGCGGGGCATGCCGGCTATGTTGAACCCACTGGCAGACGAGAAGGGCCGTCGCGGTGGCAATCGCCAGATCCGTGGCGCAGCGTTCCTCTAGTAACCATGAGCTTGCCTGGAGCTCGAGGTGCTTTGTGCGTGTATCACTGTCGCTTCGACAGGTTCCTTGTCCATGCCCGATGAATCCTATCGAACGGCGTCTTCAAGCTAGCGCGGCACCATAGGCCGCGTTGGCTGTTGGCGGTGCCTATGCGAATATTACAGGCGAGCATCCTCTTGGTTTGCACGGCCGGGCACCACCTCATCACCACGGTTTCGAGCTTTGTTGAAACAGCTGTCTACTTGTTGACAGGCATTCGATGGATACAAACGGCCCGAGCAAGCCAACGTCCCGGATCTCGCGCAGAAGCCGCCTCTTGATGTGACGGCTGTCCTATGGGAGCCGGGCCGACCGAATAGATGGAATCCTGCTGCAGAACTTCGCCTGGAATAGAATATCGATATGTTTCTAGGGGTGGCGGCGACACTGGCTCAAGGCATTAGATCAGGATAAGTCTTGTGGGGAGCGAGGATAGCTCCTCGAGGGATAGGACAGGAGAATTGTCAATTCGCGAGTTGGGGGCACATATGGGGATGACCGTGTTCTTTTTCATTGCTATGGATGCCATCAGCGGGTCGGCATGCAAGTTGGCTCGTTTTCAGGGATGCCGGGGAGGATGGCGGGATAGACGCCCTCAAGGGAAGCTTTGAAATGAGCAAAGCTGGATCCGAGCTCATCGGCCACACATAGGTGTTTGACAACGGGCCCGAACGTAGCCGTCTCACAGGAAGGTTCTGAAGCCATGCCCTTGAGGCTCGCGCCTGCGACGAGGACTTTCCCTCCCCGCATGACCAGTTCCAGGTCCTCGGCCCCAGTGAATATCGCCCGCGCAAAAGGGTCATCTTGGTCAGTTCCCTGATGGCCGCCGCCAAAAACGACGATATCAGCTACCTTACCAGGCTCGAGCGACCCGATGTGGGTCTCGAAGCCAACGGCCTTTGCGGCATTGACCGTCATCATTTCCCACAGAGTCTTTGGCTGCAGCTTTTGACCAAAACTGTGCCATGTTGCGTCTCGGGCGCACACAGCCTCGCGGCCCATGGTAGCAGATCCTGAAGGCAACCAGTCGGTGCCCAGTGCAACATTGACGCCAGTCTCAAGCAGATGACTCACGTTGAGCGTCTTTCCGTACAGAAATACGTTGCTCCGCGGCGACCAAATCACGCTCGCGCCACGCGAGGCGACGAGCTCAAAGTCCGCGTCGGAGAGGCCGAGAGCGTGAACCAAAGCCAAATTAGGGCCTATAATATCGGTACTGACCCCTCCTCCTCCGCCAGGGAGCGAGATATTGTCAAACCGCGAGTCGGAGAGGCAGCGGAACTCGTTGGTGGCCTCGGCATCAACGCCTTCGGCGATGTGCGCCATGTATCGATGCAGTTTTCCGGACGCTTCGGAGGTTATGGGTGCCATTCCGTAGTCGCAGTCGCCATGACGCAGGATGCCAGCCGAGTCGTCGAGCGGGAAAACGTCCCACGTGGCAACGGCGGAACGGATGCCTTGTCCTAATCCGGCCACGAAGTCGAGGTTGCGGGCAAGACCTGGTGCCATGGCACCGCCGACGATAGAGGTCGTCCCGGAGAAGAGGTGGCGTAGTTCTCCCCAGGTGGTGGCGGCGACAGCCGAGCCATTGATTGGGGCCTCGCGCTTGGTATGGCCTCGTAGACCGCGGCGCCAGTCATGGCGGTGACCGCATCTTTCGCCGATATCGGCGAGAGGGTTGATGGTCGAATATTCGATATGTTCGTGAGCGTTGATAAAACCAGGCGAGATGACCGAAGGCTCGGTGCACTCAACATAGGTCGCGTTACGGATTGCGTCAGGGCTGAGAGGAGATCGTGGGCCGGCATGTACAATCCGGTCGGACCGTACCAGGAGGGTGCCGTTGGAGAGAGGACCTCTGGACGTCAGGAGAGTGCCAGTGAAGACAATATCGCCCGATGTACCAGTGGAAGTAATGTTACACGCTGCATCAGCGTGCGAGAAAAGACTCGCCGCGGCCAGAGGCAACAGCTTTTTCATCGTGTCAGGTATGTCGAATGTTAAGCGGACCAGGAGGCAAAAACATGGCCAGTCGGCTATCTGGCGGGCGGAGATCCATGGCCTCGAGGAGAAATCGACAAGTGACAGTGCCAAGCTGGCACTGGGGAAGCCCCCTGTCCCTGGCCGAGCTGGCTGACTGAATCACTGTCGATTCCCATCTCGGGACATGCGGCAGCATGCTTATTCGACGGCGGCGGGGCATCTGCGGCAGACATGGATGGGACCGATGGAACCGATGGTGCACAGGCACAGGCCAGGGCATGGGACTGAACGAACTGCTGGTCATGCGGCTTAACGCGGGACAGCCGAGATTGTGCGAGCGAGGGACAAAGAAGGGAGCGGCTTGAATCAGAGAAAAGTCTTCCGTTGCTGCTTCGTCAGATGAGATGGAAAGATGTTGGCGAGTCGATTGATAAAAGTGATGGGACTCGGAGTCGCGGTCATGATCGTGGACTACGTACCAAAATTGTTGAAATTGTTCGCACCCACCTCTCCTCTCATTCTGACAGGTGACTTGGGGCGCTCCATGGCTCATGCCAGGTGACGTGATCGGGTGTTGAAGGGGGTGAAGGGCTACAGGTCCCAGGGATCACACCTTAGTACGGTGGATCCTGGTGGTACATCAGTTTGGCTCGGTTTTCTAAGGAAAAGAATGTATCTTGCTCCACCGCACTAGTGATAGATCTAGGTGGGCTTGGCAGGGACGTTCCTGTGGCAATGACAAAGAGTGGACCTGATTGGGCCGAATCGCATCAACACTGGCTGCCCTGCTGCCTTTCAGAGGGCGGTCGGCAAAGGCAAGAAGCAGGGCGATTGGAAGGCAGCGCCAATCCTGCGCCTTTGTTTGAATTCAGAAATGGAATTCTAACGCCAGCATCAACAAAGTCATCGCATTTCGCGACAGACCTCATACCACAACGCAGCGATCATAAAATCGGCCCTTGCTCCCACTCCGCAGTCGCTTCAGTCTCCTGAGCTACCACACCAACCAGCTTGGCCCATTTTTCGCACTCCACTCCACACCAGAAAACAAGTGACTCCGACGACAAGCGCACCGTCGACGGCCTCTCCCGACACCAACGACCGGCTCCCGTCGCGATCCCCTGCCACCGCCCGAGCCAACTGCCGCCCACGCTATCTCCCGTTTCTACCAGACACCACCGTCCATCCCCTCTCGCGTTTGGTGATTAAGCTTTGTTTGATCGCCCAGCTCACGAGGCCGCGACTCTACGCCACAGCGTGTCCATCGCTTGACCGCTACGTCGGGAAGGATTACATCCACGCCGAACCACCGCTTCTACCGACCGATAGCCTACCCAGTTTAACCATCAGCTTGACAAGATGGCGGAGGCAGAGCCCGACTGGAACACGGTGCCGCTCACAGACCGGTGGGTGCACAAGTCCTGGAAGGCGCGCAAGCACGCATACGAGGCCGCCGCAGCCCAGTTTGAAAAGACTGCCGACGAGTACGACCCCGCATTCAAGCCGTTTCTTCTCGACACAAGCCTTCTCAAGGCAGCAGTACTCGACTCGAACGTGGCTGCCCAGCAGGATGGTGTCGCTGCCCTGTGCGCATTTTTGAAATACGGCGGCCGGGAAAACTGCCTGCGCACACGAGCCCATACCGTCACCCCTATTTTGGAGAAAGGCCTTGTCTCGACAAGGCCACAGACCAAGGCATTCTCGCTAGAGGCCCTGCTGCTCTACATCGAGCTCGATGTTCCCGGGCCTGTCATCGAGGAGATACTGCCCATCTTGTCGGCCAAGCAACCCAAGGTCATCGCGGCCGCCCTCGCCACCCTCACTCAGATCTTCCACAACTATGGCTGCAAGCTGGCCGATCCGAAGCCTGTCCTGAAGGCTCTGCTCAAGGTATTCGGCCACGCGGACAAGAATGTGCGCGCAGAGGCAACAAACCTCACGGTCGAGCTGTTTAGGTGGCTGCGGGACGCCATCAAGCCGATGCTCTGGAGCGAGCTGAAGCCGGCACAACAGACGGACCTCGAAACCCAGTTCGAAAAGGTTCGCGAAGAGGCGACCCCCAAGCAAGAGAGACTGCTTAGGACACAACAAGAAGCCAAGGCCAGGGCACCCGCTGGCGGTGATGAGGAGTATGACGATGCCGATGACGGACCAGAAGAACCTGTCGAAGTCGATGTTTTCGACCTAGCCGAGCCGCAGGATATTCTCAAGTCCGTCCCGGCCTCGTTTTATGACCGCATGGCATCGCCCAAGTGGAGTGACAGAAAGGAGGCGGTTGAGGAGCTGTACGGCTTGCTGAAAGTGCCCCGCATCAAAGACGGCGACTTCCACGAGATAAACCGGGTGCTGGCCAAGTGCATGAAGGATGCAAACATTGCTGTCGTCACGCAGGCCGCCATATGCATCGAGGCTCTTGCCCAGGGACTACGAAAGGGGTACGGCAAGTACAGGGCGACTATCATGCAGCCCATCCTAGAGAGGCTCAAGGAGAAGAAGGTCACCGTGACGGACGCTCTCGGCAAAGCACTTGATCAGGTCTTTTTGGCCACCAGCCTGACGGACTGCCTCGAGGACATCACGGCATATCTGGTGCACAAGAACCCGCAGGTGAAGGAGAACACCACCAAATTCCTCGTTCGCTGCCTCAGAAACACAAGGGAGGTGCCCAGCAAGGCCGAGATTCAGAGCATGGTCCAGCTGGCCAAGAAGCTCCTCGCCGAGTCGACCGAGGGCCTGCGAGCCGGAGGTGCCGAGATTTTGGGGACCATCATGAAGATCATTGGCGAGCGAGGTATGAACCCCCACCTCGACGGTCTTGACGAGATTCGCAAAACCAAGATCAAGGAGTTCTTCGACAGTGCCGAGGTCAAGGCCAAGGAGCGGCCGAAGCCCATAATCGCCCCTCCGAAACCGGCCGCGGCCCCGCCAAGGAAGGTAATGGGCGGAGCCAAGAAAGCTCCCGCGAAGAAGGCGGCGGCGGCGCCTCCCCCTCCTCCCAAAGAAGAGCCTCTGGCCCCCCAGCCAACACCCAGGGCTGCTGCCGGCAAGCTCGGGATGCCCAAGGCGTCGGGGCTCGGTGGCCTGAAGGCACCCGGCAAGCGGGCGCTGGGAGGGCCCCCAGGAGCAGCATCTCCCCGCCGACCCCCATCCGCTGCGCCCCCGCCTACTTTCGACGACGAGCCCGAGTTCGAGCCCACCCCAATCCAACAACCCAAGCTGGGTATGGGTCGAGGTGGCCTAGCTGGTCGCTCTCTGGCCAAGCCAGGGACGCCTGCCCCGATGGCGGCTCCCCCCTCTCCTGCGCCATCGTCGGGTCTGATGATCCTGGAGCGTGCCGAGCTGGAAGAGCTGCGCGACGCCAACGAGAGGCTAACGCGATTGGTTGAGGAGTCGAGGCACGAGCGCAGCAAGCTTCTGTCGGAGATCCAAGAGCTCAAGAACCAGAACGCAGGGCTGATCGAGGACCACACACGCGACGTTCTCAGCATCAAGGCAAAGGAGACGCAGCTTGTGCGAGCGCGGAGCGATGCCGAGGCGGCCGAGGGCACCAACGAGCGCCTGCGGCGGGAGCTGGAGCGTCTTAAGAAGGCGCTAAACAAGGCAGAGTCGCATATGCAGGCCCAGAACCACCACATGGCTGAACTGCGGTCCAACATGGGTAGCCCAGTTGGTAGTGTCTCTTCGCCCACACATGACGAAGCCGGAATCTACCGCGACGGCGGCGGCGGCAGCTTCTCCAACGGGAGTGCAAATGTGAGTTACTGATCGCTACCCAGTCGTTTCGTACATCTACTTACCATGAAATATCAAAAGGGCCGTAACCGTATCAGTTATTCCAGTACGTTGAGTGAAGAAAAGGAGAATGGCAGCGTTGGAGACATGGCGCCACCGGCGCCCTACGGCGCTGGTGCTCGCAACAGCAAGTTGAGCCCCGACATGAGGTACGGCAACGGGGGAGCGTCGAGCCCGGCTCGCGGCTTCCGCAGAGATCCGGGGCCGCCCCCGGAGGAAGCCATTCCCATGCGTCCAACCTACTCGAGTGGCCACAGCAGCTATTCAGCGGGAGGCGGCGGTGGATCCGGCCCTGCCCCAGCCAACGGCGTCGAGAGCTGGAAGCGAGCGGCCGAGGTGACAAGCCAGCTCAAGGCCCGAATTGAACAGATGAAGGTTAGTCTTTCGACTGATGATTGATCTCGTTTCAAGCCAACGCTCGCATACTGACCTTTTCTCCTTCCTCGCACATAGGCAAAGCAAGGCTTCTCAAGACCATAGGTCGACACGCTGTGCCGTATGTAGACATTGTATCCTGGTGCTGGGATTGAGGATTAAGGGTACGGAAAGGGGGTCATTAGAGGGAACGTTAGGGCAAACAGCGGCTTCAGGCTTCGTCTTTTGCATTCTTTTGTTTGACATGTGTTCCCTTTTTACTTTTTTCCCCAACACGCTTGCTTTTTTCACCGGTCTGTTGTTTCCGTCTTCGACTTATTCGTGATATCCCCCTTCTCTTCTATATCTTCCCACCTTTGGGATCTTTGTTCCAGCTCATGACCCCTGTCTTCTCCCACCCCATATGCATTTTCTAGGCGCCTCCCTCTCTGCATATCCTTCATTGTTTTAACTCATGTTCTCTTTGTTCCACACGTACTTGCGCAAGCAATGTCGGTTGGTATACCGTGCCCAGTCGTCTATCTGGATATTCCTAATGTATCTTTTTTTCTTCCACCTGTTTCGTATTGCCTGCTCGCCGTCCTTCCCTTGCGGGAACGTTCCCCTGGTTGATAGATCATCCATGGATGGGTCATTGCCAATAGCTTGTGGGCAGCCGCTTAGGATTCCGCTGCAAGATATTTACGTATTAATAGGCCGCTGTAATTTTGGTTTCTGCACGGCGATTTTTCTATGCGTGACTGCCCTGAGATGCCCTCCCTGGTCTGAAGTCTTGTTCATTTCCTTTTGCCTGGAAATTAGGCGTAATCAATAGGCCTCCACATAAATCAGGGCACCAACTAGATGGCAGCCATCCAGAGCAGCTAGACAGAGGCAGCATAGGAGGTCCCTAGAAACGAAGCGGGCAATTCAGGCAAGTCCTTAGCTTCCTGCCGATCTGCGCAACGCGAAAGTCCAAGGTGGTACGGTGGCGGCGACTAGTCCGTCGCATTGCTGGCCTCACACCGCCCCACATTGGTATAAAATCCAATCGCCAGGGATGAAGCAAAATGGGGATCTCCCAAGGCCGAAAATGCTCTCCCGAGGCCGGTGTTGGAAAACTTCAAGCATCCCCAAGTCATGATGGCGACGCGAGACAGCGCCTTGCGAATTCACCTGCAAGAGGCCGCAATGGCCCACACGGCGGCATGGACCGGCGCGCTGCTCGCCACGGCGGTCGCGGCCTACTACATGTACCGCGGCTTCGCGGTGCGGTCGCGGTTCCAGCGGCTGCAGCGGCAGGGCGTGCCCATGATACCGCACCACCCCGTCTTTGGCCACCTCGGGGCCGTGGGGCGGCTGATGGCGGCCGAGCTGCCCGCCGACGCGCACGGCAACTACATGAGCGTGCTGATCCAGGACCACTGGCGCGAGCTGTGCCCGGCGGGCGGCGATGGCGACCTGCCGCCGCCACCGCCCGCCGTCTACGTCGACCTCTGGCCCTTCTCGCCGCCGTTCCTCGTCAGCCTGGACGGCGACGTGTCGGCGCAGTTCACGCAGGACCACAACCCGGACCACCCGGGCCTGCAGGGCCGCATGCTGCGCCCGCTGACGGGCGGCCGCGACGTCTCGGCGTCCAACGGCGATTTGTGGGCGGCGCGCCGCAGGGCCATGAACCCGGCCTTCAGCCCTGCCAACGTCGCGGCCCACGTGCCCGGCATCGCGGACGAGGTGGGCGTGCTGGTGCGTAAGCTGAGGGCCAGGGCGGGGAGGGACGGGGCGTGGGGACGGGTCTTTGCGCTGCAGGACCTGACGACGCGCCTGGCCCTCGACGTCATCTACAGGTTCAGCGTCGGCGTGCGCGTCGGCGACCAGGACGGCGCGGACCTCACCCCCGTGTCGTCCAGCCTCGTCGGCCAGATCAAGCTGCTGCGGTTCCACACCAACGTCTCGACGCTGCACCAGGTCTACAGCCCGCTGCGGTGGTGGAGCCTGTGGCGCAACGGCCGCGTCGTGGACTCTTTCCTCCTCCCGCTGATACGCGCCCGGTTCGGGCGGCTGGGCGAGGACGGGTCGTCGGAAGCGGACACGGCCGGACCGAAAACCCTGATAGACGTGCTGGCCAGGCAGCACGGCAAGCAGGCGGGCAGCGCAGACGACAGCATCCGCCAGGCGCTGGGCGAGACCAAGCACTCGCTCTTCGCAGGCCACGAGACCACCAGCTTCACGCTCTGCACGGTCCTGAACATGCTCGCGCAGCACCCCCGGGCGCTGGCCCGCGTGCGCGCCGAGGTGGACGAGGTGCTGCAGCGGGGGGAGGCGGCCGCCCCCAGCAAGGATAGCGGCGCCGACGACGACGACCCGACGGGGCTGGACCGCGTGCTCCGTCAGGTCCGCGAGTCGCCGCACGTGCTCAATGAGCTCGCCTACACGACGGCCGTCATCAAGGAGACGATGCGGCTCGAGACCAACGTCGGCACGCTGCGGGCCGGCCGCGCCGGCTTCAGCCTGCACGGCCCGGCGGGCTCGGGCCCCTATCGTGGTGTCGAGTTCCCGACCGAGGGGTGCATCCTGATGGACGGCAGCTTCGCCATCCACCGCGGCGCCAACGGCGGCGCCTGGGGCCAGAAGCCGCTCGAGTTCGCGCCCGAGCGCTGGCTGACGGACGACGGCGAACAGGAGGAAGGGCCGCGGCTCCCAACACCGCCGCGCAACGCTTACCGGCCGTTCGCCATGGGGCCGCGCAACTGCGTCGGGCAGCATCTCGCCATGACGGAGCTCCGGTTGGCCACGGCGCTCGTGGTTCGTGAGCTGGACGTCGAGTGTGCGTGGGACGAGTGGGACGAGATGATGTGGGTTTTCTTTTCTAGTTTTACTCTCCTACATTTTCCCCTTGTCAATGGCTAACCGTTTTTCGCCCTCTTCCCAGTGGTAACAAGGGCCCCAACGCTAAAAAGCCCATGGTTTTTGGCAGTCGGCTCTACCAGATTGGCCGGGACGGTGTGCCGCAGCTCAAAGATGGCATGCCCGTGCATGTGCGACTTCGCTTGGATAAAAGATAGGCGCTACCTTGTTTGGCTATGATGAATGTCGTCGATGTTGATGGGCTTGGCTTCTGATGGTGTCTCTTTGATCCCGCATGTCTCTTCTGGGTGGTATTTTAGTGGGTCCCAGGCCCCTTCCCTCTAATTCTCCCGTGGAAGGTGCAGAGAAGGCACAGGCTTCAATTCCAACTTGCTTTCGGTCCAAATCTTCAGGCAGGCAGGACTCGCAATTCTTGCGCAAGTCACTCGTCCCGAAAAGCATTCGTAATGCTGTCGGCGTGGCCTGCAGCGCCGCCAAACCAACAGTTGGGACCATCTCGAGGCACACGCGGCAAACACCCGTAATAACAGACGCCACTTTTGCAGCATCGGCGGACAGCAGCGAAGCACTTTCTGATGACCAGGATTCCAAGGTGGCCAGGGTACCCCGCAGATGGTGTTCGACAGCGACTCCATCGTCTCCTGGAATTAAGCCGGAGGAACAACACGCTCGCCTGTGTCTCAGGGGCCAAGACCGACGATGGGTTGTATCGACCGAGTTCATGACCCCCCGATGGCCATAGGAGTCGCTTTGTGACCTTTACTCGTGGAACGATGGCCTACACGCATGACAAAGATGGGTCGTCGTGCATGAGCAGCAAGGCCCGCAGCCCGAGGTCTGGACTGACGGCGCCCAGACAGCAGCGGCACGAGGGCGGCCCAGGGGTTACAGCGCCGCCGATCCCCCGCCCCCAGCTCGTTACCAGCCCTGCTTCGACCGGGGATGGACTGCCGCTGCGACGTCAGTCGCACAAGCCGCCGCTAACCTGACTTCGGCTGGGCCCATTTCTTCCGCCCGCATCTCATCCTGTTATCTCCTTGGAATGCTTCATTAAGGCGCCTCAGCCACCTGCTTTTGCCTCCTTTCTCTTGATCCGTCTCGCCTTGATGTCTGCGGCCTAGACGGTGCGCTCAATATCACACCTCAGGCAGCCCACAAGGCAGCAGCAGCACGCAAATCATGCGTCTCTTGCAGCATGTCCTCCTCCTGTCCGGCGTCGCCCCCTTGGGCACGCTGGCGCACTTGGCCAACCGGCAGTTCGACCCATTCCCGTCGCTGCCGCTGCCGTTTCCCAGCCCGCCCCGTGCGACGCCGACGCCGACGCCCTACGCGGTCCAGAAGCCGCCGCTGGACACGGACTGGACGTACGAGGTCGGCACAAACCCGTGGCCCAAGTACCCGCGACCCCAGCTGGTCCGCCATGACGGATGGAAGTCGCTCAACGGCCTGTGGACCTGGCGCTCCGCCAGCGGTGCCCGCGAGCTGGTCGCCCCGCCTTCGGGCCTGCTCGAACGCGAGGTGCTGGTACCGTCGTGCGTCGAAAGCGGATTGTCGGGCCTGCAGGAGCTCGATGTCGAGTACATGTGGTACGCCACCAACTTCAGGGTCCCTGGCGGCTGGGGAGGCCGCGGTACCACGCTGCTGAACTTTGAGGCTGTCGACTACGAGACGAGGGTGTTTATCAACGGCGTCGAGGTCGGCCACAACATTGGTGGCTACTTCCGCTTCACAGTCGACGTGACGGAGCACGTCTCGTACGACCAGGACAACCTCCTGTAAGTTTCCTTCGTTTTTGCCTTTTGAAGTAGCCCTCGGCATTGGCTCACACCCTCTATCACTGCAGTACTTTGTTTGTACATGATCCTACCAACAGGGAGGGTTTCCTTGTTCCTGCCGGGAAGCAGGTTTTAAACCCCTCGCACATCTTCTATCGGTCTTGCTCAGGCGTGTGGCAGTCGGTCTGGCTAGAACACGCCCCTGACGACTATATTACCGCTCTAGACGTTGCGGCGGACATGGATGGGAAGGGTAAGTTGGGATGGCAGGCACTGCCTGGAGCCCGCCCGTTGGTTAAACCACGTGAAGTTTGATCACTAGCAGATCAGCTGACGTAGTCTATGGTGCGTTTCGCCGCGCTTCTGCATCACAGTCACCATCACGGCTCACAGCGCTGGTCAAGCCAATGCCAGCGTCAGCGTATCGGTCACCGAGTCCGGCGGCGCCGAGGTTGGCTCGCACTCGGCAGTTGCGGACCAGTCCTTCTCCTTCAATGTGGACTCGCCGCGACTGTGGTGGCCCGACACCCCCAACCTGTACAACATCACCGTCAAGCTCGGCAACGACTCGGTGACGAGCTACACAGGCTTCCGCACCGTGTCGCGCGGTGTCGTCCAGGGTGTCCAGCGGCCATTGATCAATGGAGAGTTCCTCTTCCACTTTGGAACTCTTGATCAGGGGTTTTGGCCAGACGGCTTGCACACACCGCCCAGCTACGAGGCCATGGTTTTCGACCTGAAGCTGCTCAAGCGGCTTGGTTTCAACATGGTTCGCAAACACGTGAGTACATCTCCCTTCCATTTCAGTGATCCGTCTACCTGCTCATGCACCTTTCCCCCCTGCAGATCAAGATCGAGCCCGACCTTTTCTATCGGGCCTGCGACGAGATTGGCTTGATGGTGTATCAAGACATGCCATCCTTTCCCGTCGACAGACCCCAAGCGACCAATGACCAACAGGCCGAATTCCAGCGCCAGTTGGCCCTTATGGTCACCGAGCACCGCAGCTATCCCTCCATCGTTACCTGGATCATTTACAACGAAGGCTGGGGACAGATCAACGACCCTCCGGCAGAGGGTCCCTTGACCGACATGGTTCGTGATTTGGATCCGACTAGGCTGGTCAACTCGGTTACTGGCTGGAACGACCACGGCTTTGGCGACTATTCGGTGCGTCCTCTACCACCTACCTCCTCGGCCCGCCATCACCAACCCCATCTTATCCTTTGAAGCCAATACTGACATGAAAGTACAGGACAATCACAAATATGCCTCTCCCCAATGTGGCACTCCCTTCTACTCGCGCCCGTCGTCTCCGCACGACTCCAATCGGATAGGCTTCCAAGGAGAATTTGGCGGCGTCGGGCTCAACACTACCATCGAACAGTACGCCTGCTCTGCTTCCACCTTTCCGCCCTCCTGCAGCGTTATGCGCCGAGCTTGTGTTAACCTTGGATCCCACCCGCAGTCTCTGGAACGTGAAGCAGGCCATCGATCAGGTTGACCAAACATACGAGATCAACAAGGACAAGGACTCCTACAACTACCGCTCGCACCAGCTCCTCACGGAACTGCGCGACCAGACGGAGCGCTTCGAATGCAGTGGCGCCGTCTGGACACAGACCACCGACGTTGAGGGTGAGGTCAACGGGCTCGTTACGTACGACCGCCGCGAGATGCACGTCGACGAGGAACAGTGGAGAGCAGACATCCAGGCTCTGTACGCGGCTGCCGCGAGCAGGGGAGGCAAAGTCGGCGGCGGCACCGGCGCTGGCGAGTTCGATGCAGGTCGCCTGATGATGCAAAGTTGACTGTCTTGGGAATGGAAGCGGCATTGAAGCGAGTTTACGTTTCTCACAGGTTTACGTGCTTGATTTTTCAAATCAGCCTCGAACTCACGTACACTTTTCGTTTTGCTATTTTTAGACCGACATCTACAGGTATCGGAACCGTGCCGATGCAGCCAAGACGTGTTATACGTGACAGCCTGCCAGATCTGCCTTGGCCGCGCGCCCAGACATCAATCTTCTGCAGTGTTCTCGTTGCATCCCGCCTTTTCGGTATCTCTGCTCGCCGTCGGTCGCGTAGCGTAGCATCTGCGTGGACCTGCTAGTCGCTGGAAAAGGAAGGCCGCAGAGAAGTAGACGAAAGGAACACAGCAATGTCCAATCGCCGTCGTCCGCTTTGATCCGAGCCATCCGCTGACTGTCCAAAACACTTCTAAGCCCAGCTCAAGCACGAGGACCGGTGAGCTATCGCATCCTTCAGGGTCCGACTTCGCCTCGGCGTCCCGTCGCATCTCAAAATTAATGCAAGCTCACGCGTTGCACCGTTCCACGGGCCTGGCCTCCCACGGATCTGCGTACACGTGCCCATCACACACACGTGCAACTAATCCCATCCAAGATAGAAATCGCGAGTACGACATGTGCCCACGTGTGCGTTACAGTCAAGGGAGCCAGTCAAGTGAGGCGGCCCCTTATTTAAAAGGCTCAGGACCGACACAAGCTTCCAGATCGCGTCCTTATCACGCTATCTCGCTATGCATAGTTGCTGCAATAACGGGGATCTTGCAGCCAAATAATCTGCACGAACAACAGGGAAACGCAGCCAAACACCGCACGGGTCCGTCAGCCTAGCGAGCTCTGGGCCAAGTGGGGGTGGAGGTCAATATATACAAGCGGTCCCGAGGCAGTTCATGGCTACCACTCGAGCCCGATTTATATATTAACTCGCCACCACCTGCCCTTCTCGTACCTAGCCATTGCATCATACGGCGTCCCTCACCCAGGAGCGGCCGCATCTACTGCAACCTTGCCAAGGGCGTTGGCTCGTCCGTTCCAGGGCCCAGGCCTGGGCGCGCCAGCCATCACGCACCCTCGACCAGAGGAAAACACTTGGCCCTGTTTGCTTGGGTCCCATGCTCCCGTTGGCTCGCCGCACACCCTGCGACTCAATTTCCCTTCCCGCTCGCTCGTCCCGCCCTTCGTCTATGTTGCCTTCCGCCCTCGCCAAGCCCTTGCGCACAACGCAATACCGGGCGGAGGAAAAATAGAGATTTGCCAAATAACGGGATGGCCGCGCGCGCCAGGGTCCACCGACGGTTTTTTTTTTTTCGCCGCGGCCTGGACCCCCTTGGCCTCGGAACCAGCCGGGCGGTATTGTTCCTCAACATAAGATGGTGGATTATACGGACGTTCTGCGGCTCCACGTCCCACTTGGGACACACAACGTCCTCTATCTGCTTATTCGACGAGGGAAAGTCGATAGTGGCTTAGTTCCTGCACCTGCCGAGAAGAAATGTGCTGACTCGCCTGCAGAATGCCCCTCTTGACACACGGCCGCACCTCCTTGGGTCCTCGTGACTCCCCAGACCGCACCAGCCGTTATCGCGTCTACGCACGACGTGAAGGGAGGAGGGCATGGCGCCCGCGGGAACCCCCTGACGTCCAGAGGAAAGCCGTCATCTTGGGGCCAGCACACGAGCAGAGCGGGACTATGGCCGTGAACAAAAGTTCACCCACACAACCACATGCATCCCGGGACTCCCCCCACCCTCCCTGACCTCTGGCACCTTCCCCTTTCCCCCATGGCACTGCCCTCCTCACCGCCAGCGGTGTCTCCTTATCGTTCCAGAGTTTCCCGGTTTCTGCTGTCATGCAATAATATTGGCACGCTTAGGCCGCGCCCCTTTACCTGGTTAGGAAGCTGCCGGGTGGTAGTCTCTCGTTCCTCACATGCGCAAGACGGGCTTACGAGCACGAAAGTGCTTTGCGACGTCGGTCTCCAAAGGTACATGTCGGCGTGGAGTAATCTGCGGCGTCGATGTCGTGTCGTGAGGTCAGGATTAATGGCCGCGGAAGGGATGGGTGGCTCTCCTATCTAAGCGCTCGCGGGGAAGATAAAAAGGGGGCATGTCCCCTGGCCATAGCTTGATCGTCTTTTCCATCAGAGCAAGCACCTCCTCGTCTTCCCCGTCGTCTTCCCTGAGCAGCTTCAAACCATTGTCCCCTCCAACGGCCACCCCCACGAGCCCCAAACCCGTCCATCAAAATGGTCGGCCTCAAGACTCTCGCGCTGCACCTGGCGGCCGTCCTCCCCGCCCTCGCGGCGCCGGTGGACAAGCCGGCCGCGGCGCAGGCGGTGCCCAACAGCTACATCGTCACGCTCAAGCAGGGCGCCAGCGCGGCCTCTTTCGAGAGCCACTTGTCCTGGGTCGGCGATGTGCACCGCCGCAGCATCTCCAAGCGGGACACGACGGGTGTCGACAAGGTGTTTAACCTCGGCGCCGGCTTCACCGCCTACTCGGGGTCGTTTGATACCGCCACACTACAGGAGATTAAGAAGAGCGCAGAGGTAAGATACTATAGTTGTTGTTCCCCCTCCAACCTCTAGCCAACAACGACTGTTCTGACCCGATGGGGGGAAAAAAAAAGGTCGCCTTTGTGGAGCCCGACCTGGTCTGGGACCTCTACAACCTCACCACGCAGCCAAACGCGCCGTGGGGGCTGGGTAGCATCTCGCACCGGACGCCCGGCAGCACCGACTACGTCTACGACGCGGCCGGGTCGGCCGAGGGCCTGTACGCCTACATCATCGACACGGGACTAGACACGGAGCACGTCGAGTTCGAGGGGCGCGGCTCGCTCGGCTACAACGCCTACCCCAACACGGAGTTCGTCGACAAGATCGGCCACGGCACCCACGTGGCCGGCACCGTGGCGGGCAAGACGTACGGCGTGGCCAAGAAGGCGTCGGTTGTCAGCATTCGCGTTTTTGACACGGGATCGGTTAGTCTTTTTTTTTTTTGCTACCTTTTCAAACCTGGGCCATTTTCTAACCTTGGATGCCGCAGTCCACAACCGCCATCGTCCTCGACGGCTTCAGCTGGGCCGTCAACAACATCACGGCCGAGGGGCGCCAGACCAAGTCCGTCATCAGCATGAGCCTGGGTGAGTGAGCCGCTTCTCTCTCTCTCTCTCTCTCTCTCTCTCTCTTTGCTAACGTCACCTCACCCAACCAGGCGGCGGCCGTTCCGAGGCCTTCAACGCCGCCGTCGAGGCCGCCTACCAGGCGGGCGTGCTCACCGTCGCGGCGGCGGGCAACAGCGCGTGGGACGCGTCGCAGTACTCGCCCGCGTCGGCGCCCAACGCCGTCACCGTCGGCGCCATCGACGTCGGCAACGCCATGGCGTGGTTCTCAAACTACGGGCCCGTCGTCGACATCTTTGCGCCGGGCGTCGGCGTCGAGTCGGCCTGGATCGGGTCGTCGCACCGCGAGGCGGACGTGCTCGACGGCACCTCCATGGCCACCCCGCACGTCTCGGGCCTGGTGCTGTACCTCAAGGCGCTCGAGGGCGTGACCGCGCTCGGCAGCCCCGCCGCCGTTACGGCCCGGCTCAAGACGCTGGCCACCAAGGACGTCGTGACGGGGCTGGAGGGGACAGATAGCCCCAACCTGATTGCCTTTAACGGCGCGACTGCCTAGACGTGGTTGTGTGTGTATATGGTGTGCTTGGATGGTTAATAGATGATGGGCGTTGGGCTATGATTAGGCTGGGTGATGATTATGGAATGGCGGGATATTGCACGGCATGTTAGCTTTGATTTACGACATCAACTCCGCGTCTCGTTCGCCCCGACCCCTATGGTGCACTTGCCCCTCAAAAAAGTCTCAGATTGACGTGATGGTATCCGAACATGTAGGGGATATCCAGATGTAATATTATTACCGAGAATCCGGCTCAGTGTTTATGCTTGGCTTAAAAATCGCTCGCTTAATCATTCTCATTACACCCTCTTTGTGGGCTTATCCGTCTTCACAGCCCTGGTATCGGCTTCCATGCAATCTTATCCCACCCATTGCTGCTGGAGGCGTACCACACAGAACCATCGACGCCGGTCGTGACCGCGTGGACGGCCCCCGCCGCGGTCCTTACGAGCGACGGCGCGCTGTTGGCCACCGCACCGAGGTCCTCCCACTTAGGGGTCGACACCGGGGAGTCGATGGCGAAGCCGAGATGCTTGAGCCTGCCGTCGTCCTTGCCCACCGCGACGACCTCTATCCGGTCCTTTTTGGCGCCCGACAGGGCCACGGCGGGCACGCTGGCAAATGTGTCGCCGCCCAGGCTCTCGGTCTTGCTGTACCCGGAGCCGGCGGACCAGCTCCAGTGGTGCAGGCGCGCGTCCCTGCCGAGGCCGAAAAAGTCGAAGCGCTGCGACGAGGTCTCGAGGAGGACCGGGTCCGTGCCGGGCGCGTAGTCGCCGCCCATGTCGGTCCAGTTGCCCCAATTGGAGGGGATGAACTGGCGGTGCCAGGCCGAGGACCCGGCGGTGCCGTTGCCGTATACGACCGTATCGTGGAAGGCGTCCGAATCGCGGCAGACGATGCTGAAGCGCGACGCGGGGACCAGGTCGCCGGCGCCCGACCACTCGTACGTGACCGCCTCCCAGCTAGCCTCGTTGTCGATGCGCTTGTGGATCATGCCCGGCGCCGTCTTGTTAAGCGTCACGTTGGGCGCGCGCATCCACACGTCGACGCGGCCGTTGCTCGGCGAGCACAGCGTCGGCGGCTCTGTCGTGGCGCTGTCGGGCATCCCGACGTCGGCGAAGAGGGTCGCGTCGACGCCGCCGTTGGGCGACCCCAGGCCGACGTGCCTGACCATGGTGCGCTTGTTGGACGGCGACACACCAAACAGCGACACAGTCGCGCCGCCGCCCCACGTGCTGGCCGCCGATGTCCAGGCGAGGACGGCGGGGGGGCCGTTGAAGCTCCCGCCGCGCGACGTCCAGTTCCCGTACGAGTCGCCACCGCCGCCCGGCACAGATGACACCTGCTTCCAGGAGCCGTCAGGGGCGCGGGCGAACAGATGCGCCCGACCGTCGCCGCCCGCGACGGCGGTCACTGCCTGTGCCGCGCACACGGTGCTGGTGCAGCTGCTGGTCCCTGACGGCATAGTGGCTGCGGGTGTCGAGGGTGATGTAGACGCCGGCGCCGGGGCATCCCCAGAGCCGGGGCGGCGGAAGACGACTAGACCCAATACGCAGCCGAGCACGATGCCAATGACTATCAAGCCAACAACGACTGCCACTAGCCAGGCTCTCCTCCGCCGCCACAAAGGGAGGGGCTCGGGTGGTGGAGGTCCAGCCTGAGAAGCAAGCAGGCCATCGTGGTGCGAGTAGTGATGTCCACCGGGGCTCTGGACTAGCTTCTCTGCCGGGATGGGAACGGCCTCGGGGTAGTTTGAATCTATAAATTCGGGGTACACTGCCGAAGGAGTAAAAGCCTGTGGGTAGTTTGCCGTTACAACCTCGGGGTAGTTGGATTCGGCAACCTGGGGGTATGCCGTGTAAACTTGATCGCGAAGTGCTTTTGGGCTCGTTGGGTCGTCATTGATGTTATCGGACCGTGGTGACGCCTGGTGCGGTTGCAGCTCATGCTCGAGTTGCTGCTGGGCTCGAGCCGTTGGCGGCCCAGTCGACATGCTAGGAGGGCTTCTAGGAGGGCTTCTCAGGCGGAAGCAGCAGGGTTAGGGGGGTGTGTTGGATTGTGATGATGGAGGATAACCGAGAGCGGTCGTCAAGGTGAAAGAAAAAGAAAAAGACAGAAAGTATGGGGCCGACAGAGTAATGTGCAACCGGAGAGTAAGCGTAGCCGCTGCGGCTGAGCAGAACAGGCCAATGGGAAATCTGCGTCCCTCGGGGTTGCACAACTAGGAAATCGGGTCCGTAAGCGCGAGATTGCTGGTTAGCATTCAGGCAGGATCGACTTTGAGGCCAACTAGAAGAAGCATAGTGCTGGGGGCCTTCCCCACGATCCTGCGTCAAGGCGCCGGCCCCCAATCTCATGCACTCAAAGAGGACGCCAAAGTTTGGGTCAATCAGACATCGTGTCTTGCCCAGGTTGGGGAGGCAATGGACGGCGACGACGACAGCCACGGCACCTTGCCTTGGACAAGACCAAGGGGGGAAAGGCGGACTGGCTGCCGCTGCCATGGGTGGTAAACTCGACATTGTAATTTGTAGCTGGGGGGCCTCGCAGGCGATGCGATGCGTCTATTTTTGCTGCTGTTCACTCAGAGGCCGCAGCCTGATGCAGGGACCCAACGGGACTGACGTAAGCTCAGCCACCCGCGCCTTCTGGACTGGACCAGCTCAGCGCATTCCTTCCAAAGTCCCTCCAAAGCTAGGCCCACATCCATTGAAAAGAATTATGTCTCACTTCCAACACCTCATAGTGCTGGGTATCAGATATGTTGGTGGCACAAAGCGCTCTTGCTATTTTTGATCTAACGGTGATGCCCGTATCTAGGCTATCTAGGCACACCCGGATTGACGGAGCCGCGTGGTTGCCCATCGCAAGGCGGACTGACGACCTCCCAAAATGAATGTACCCTCGCCCCATCTATCGATTGGCCCAGCTTCTACCCGGGCAAGCGCTGCCCATAGTCGATATAATGGCGCCTACAGCGACGGAGTCACGTTCGGCTTGGCCACAAACGCCGGGCGCGCGTTGACGCGCGCGTGCCAGGCCCGAACGTGCTGGGGCCCGGAGCCCTCGTCGCCGAGCGGCGCCATCCCGATGTAGGTGGCGAAATCGATGTTGGTGACGGCCGCGATGTCGGCCATGGAGAAGAAGGCGCCCGCAAGCCACTCCCGGCCGTCGCTCATCTCTTTGTCCAGCCAGGCCACTGCCTTTACCAGCGCGGCGCGGTTCGACTCGCCAAACGCCTTGTGCTGCTCGACCACCCGGGCCGTGAAGGGGTGCGCGTGCCTCCAGAAGTTGGCGATGGGCTGCCCGACCTGGAACTCGGCGCGCCGGATCCACATGTCGACCTGGGCCTGCTCGAGCGGCGTGCTCCCAAACAGGCGCGGGCCCTTGTCCGGGTGCAGCCCCTCCAGGTAGCGGCAGATGGACACCGTCTCGGCGATGTGCGTCTTGCCGTCGTCGAGCGTGAGCACCGGCAGCTGGCCGAGCGAGTTGCGCGCCAGGAGGTCGGCCGACTTGTGCTCACCCTTCATCAGATCGAGCATCACCGACTCGACCTCGATGTCCTTCTCGGCGCAGAAGAGCCTCACGCGCCGCGGGTTAGGCGCGGGATCCGGGAATGTGTAGAGTTTCATCGTTGCTGTTTTGGTCTTGCGGACGGCTTGTTGAGAGAGGAGGGGAGAAGATGGCGAGGTGGGATGTCGAGAGTCATGCGAGCAAGGGAGAGCCGAGGTTCGTTTTCTCGTGGACCCGGGTCCATTTATACTTCTAGCAACCGCCTGGCGCGGCTTAAACGCGGCTGCTGGTTCGGCCCCTCGTGACGACCGAGGTCCCCGCAAATACCACCCCTCGGCATCATAATTGCCCATTGGCTACCCGAAACCCGGCCAGGATGGAGAGGCGGAGGCCAAGTCACGCCGTGATATCCATCAAAGGCACGGTGCATGTGGAGATTCTTTGTCTTCACCACGGTGAGAATGGCCGAATAATGCAACGTTAGGTGAGCGCATCTGGCAAAAGTACCGCCTGTTCTCGCGTCGACCAGTGGGTGGGTTACATCCGACTACATCGAAATCGACAAGAGATCGCGACCACACTGCGGTCGAAAGAGGTTAAGGACTTCCCTCCCTGCTTTCGTCAATCCGGCGCTCATTGCTTCAAAGCTAGACAACGGGCCGCCGGGGCTAGTCGACGTGCGGATTCGAATTACATTCAAGGAGGAAAACTCGCCCATTATAGTCACCACTGCAGTAGGCGCGGGTCTAGATCGACCTGCATCTTTTCGTCTTGCTTGCTGGCCCCTTTCTAGACCGGAGCTCCAGAGCAATGATAGGTATCTTGTCAACTCGTTTTGATGCGCCTGAGAAAAGAATGGCAGTCTCCTGATACTATAGATGAGCTATGTTGGTAGCTCGCATTACTTATTGTCTTGCCGATACCCCCAGCCCTATCTTGTCGTTGTCGACCCCTACTCGTGCTCGGCGCAGGCTGCCCAGGCCGAGCCATAGCTCATCCGATCCACGGCATGGGATGGAGGAAACCCAACTCGCGGGGAACGAGCCATGGCCCGCGCAGGAATACTTTTCCGGCGCTGCGTCTTTGTAGGCGCCGGCCGTTTCAGCCGCCCCAATCTCGGAGCCGTAACGGTCTAGGGCAGGAGGCATCGTACCCGGGCCTCCAGCAGCGCCACGACTCGAGATGGTCTCTTTTTCTTCATACCCCCGCCTCCATGATGCCGGAATTTCTCCGGCATTCATTCTCTATTTCACGTGTGCGGAGATGACGCCATCGCCCGCTGGCTTCTCTTCAAACGTGGGTATAAAAACTACCGCTTTCTCGCCATGAACAGACGCTATAAAAGGAAAAGAAACAGTTACATATCAGAAAATTCTCTCTACTTTGCCTACACCGCCCTGGCGCTCCCCATCCCTGCAGGGGACGCCAGCACCAACCGGGCAGCGGCCACCAGCATATCCAACCCTTCTGACGTCGGCGCCGTCCTTGGAGGCCTCCTGGGCGGGGCAGCGGGAGCAGTCACGGCGGGCGTAGGCGCGGGGGCGGCAGCCGGTGCCGCTGCTGGTGGCAGCAAGGGGGCCGACAAATGGGGCAAGAAGGGAGGCAAGAAATGGGGAAAATGGGCCTAGGGCAAACCGTGAGGGCGCCTCCGCCATCGCGTTGATTCGCAATACAACTTTGGGACGAAACTTTTAAAACTGGTAGCGTTGGCGGGAGTTGGAAACATTTGCTTTTTTTTTCGTTTATCGCATGCGGGAAGTCGCGTATAGCTTTGTAGACGAAAGAAATATTGTCTTGCACTTGGGGAAGCTACGTTGGGAAGGGCATATAGATGGCCTGTGATACGGGAGTGGCTAATGCTACAATCTTCGTCTTCCACGAAAGCTGCTACTCGCCTCTTCCCCACCCGGCACCAGAATGATGAAGGCTTTTTGCTCGGATGAGTAGACCGGATCCATATCACAATCCGTTATCTTGCGTTGCCCTCCCAGCATGCCATCGGAATCTCTTTGGTAGTGTCAAATTCTCACCCTGCAACCCAGTTCGGCTGATAATGAAATTTCCCATCTTTGGAGGTGCACAGCTGCCACATGTCCGATGCATCCCTAAACGTTCCCCTTCACTGGCCGGACGATTGCCGTTGGCATGGTTAACTTTAGGGCACGGAATTTAATTATAGCATCAGGGCAAGGGACCTCCACTGGGGGTGGCCACGACAGCCGATATCATCGTGTTCGGATATGGACTAACAATCACAACTGTATCCCGTGTGTCACGCTTGCAATCACGTCAATTCCCATGAGACAGTTCATACCGTGGTCCGAAGTTGTCAGCCGGTGCAGCGGTTATACCCCGAAACCATGAGCAAATCGTTGCCGAGCATGCCACCAAGAACGTTATTGGCCGTCCGCAGACAGGAGAGTTCGGATAAAAATGAAATTGCCCTCCTGGGAAAGTCTACTTTCCCAACGTGCCCGCAATCTTCAGCTCCCCCTTAGCCTCCCTCGTGGCACTGCCCATGTCAACCCGGCGCAGCGGCCGGTAGACAGGCGACCACATCTGCTCGCGGATCCACTCGTCCAGCTCACCGTCATCACCAGGGATACCCTCCTCGGTCGCGACGCCCTCGTCCACGGCCTCCCTGATCACCCCCTTGGCGACGGCGACGCTCACGTCGCGGACAGCGTCGACGCCCGGCAGCAGCGGCGCCGTCGGGTCCGCCCGCGCCGGGCTCAGGGCCGCCAGCTCGCGCACGGCCGCGACGAGCATGCGGTCCGTCAGCAGCCGCGCCCGGCTCAGCACGCACCCCAGCCCGATGCCGGGGAACACGACCGAATTGTTGCACTCGGCCACCTCCACCTCCACCTCCTCCCCGCCCTCACCCCACGGGCCCCTGACGGGCTCGAACGGCGACCCGGTCGCGACGAGCGCCCGGCCGCCCGTCCACGCCAGCAGGTCCGCCGGCACGGCCTCGTGCAGCCGCGTCGGGTTCGACAGCGGCATGATGACCGGCCGATCGGCGCCCTGCGCCATGGCCTCGACCAAGTCGCGCGTAAAGGCCCCGGGGACCGTCGACGTGCCGACCAGCACGTTGGGCTTCACCTCGCGCACGACGCCCAGCAGGTCCGTCGGCCTGCCGCGCCACTCGTCCTCGGGCCGCGCGTAGGCCCGCTGCGCGTCGTCGGTCCGCACCCCAGTCGTGAGCAGGCCCGGGCGGTCGACGACCCAGATCTGCCGCGCCGCCTCGGCCTTGGACACGCCGCGCTCGGCGGCCACGGCGTCGCGCACCTGGTCCGCGATGCCCATGCCGGCGCTGCCGCCGCCGAAAACGACGAGCCGCAGGCCCGCCAGCAGCCGCCCTTGGCCACGATCGCCGTCGCCGTCGCCACCGGCCGCCGCCGCCGCCACGCGCAGCCCCGCCATGATGGCCGCGAGCGCGACGCAGCCCGTCCCCTGGACGTCGTCGTTGAAGCACGGCACGCGCGGGCGGTAGCGCTCGAGGATGCGGCGGGCGTTGGCGAGGCCAAAGTCCTCAAAGTGGATGTAGGCGCGCGGGAACAGGTCGCGGGCGGCGCGGACGAACTCGTCCACGAGCGCGTCGTAAGGCTCGCCCCGGACGCGGCGCTCGCGCAGGCCGAGGTAGAGCGGGTCGCGCAGCAGGGCCTCGTTGTCGGTGCCGCAGTCGAGCACGACGGGCAGGGTGCGGTTCGGGTGCACGCCGCCGCAGAGGGTGGCGAGGGTGAGCTTGGCCGACGAGATGAGGATGCCGCCGCAGCCCTGGTCGCCGATGCCCAGGATCTCCTCGCCGTCCGATACGACGATGTAGTCGACGTCCTGGGCCCGCCCCCACTGGGCCAGGTCGTGGCGGACGCGGCCGGCGTCGCGCACGTTGAGGAAGCAGCCCTCGGGCCGGCGGAACAGGCGCGAGTAGTCCTGGATGGCGTCGCCCTCAGTCGGGGTGTAGACGACGCTAAACATCTCAGGCAGGTTATCGTGCAGCAGGCGGAAGAAGAGCACCTCATTCTGCTCCTTGAGCGACGTCAAGAAAGAGTTCTTTGCCAGGTCGTTAGCCTGCGCCGAGTACTGCGCATATGCCCGCTCGACCTGTTGCTCTAGCGACTGCACATTCTGTGGCAGCAGGCCCGATAGGTCAAAGTCGCGGCGCTCATCCTTGGTGAAGGCGGTGCCCTTGTTGAAGAAGGGGTGGTTCAGCAACGCCGTCCCCGCCAGGGCGCACTCGAGCGGGCCGCTGGTGCTTAGGGGGAGATGCGCAAACTTGGAGGTCCCGGGCATGTTTGCCAAGATGGCTTAGTATTTGCTGTAGAGTATGTGCTCAGGGGGTGTGGCGACTCGTTGTGCCAAGACGGTGTGTGGCTTGGGATGCTGCCACCTACTTGGAAATGCTGTGAACAGGCAAATAATATAACCCAACACTAAATGCAGGACGCAGAGTGAGCCCTGCGTGAAATCGAGCGGAAGAAACCGGCACGGAACATGGAACTTGAGTGACGCAACCAAACGTCACTCGAGCTACCCCGCCGGCCCGATATTCCAGCTTGAAAGCGCCGACAAGATACACCCATAACATGCTCCTCTCCAAGACACCCAAAGCCGGCGCATCCAGACCAAGCAAACCGCCATGGCAATTGGAAGGTATCCGAGAAATCCTCGGCTGCCATCTGGAGAGCGTTCCTAGCACAAGCAAGCTGAGACGGCCACGAATACAGAACAGGCGCAGTTAATATTGATGCAGCAGATGTCGCCGGCAAGCACTTGGCTCTAATGGTTCAATCTATCCCCCGCCCCCAACTCTCCTTTCCGGAGGCAGTGTCAGCATTCCCTTTCGTTGACATTGCCCATTGCGAGCTGAGCCTACAACCTGGGGTCCCCAGTGGCCCTACGCATATAGCATACTGCCCAAACGGGAACCGAGATGGGCTACCATTCGCTGCGCTCTCCGCGTCAGCTAGCTCGCGACAGCTGAGCTTGCTTGGCAACGTGAACTGCTCAACGGCGGCACAAAGGTTGGGGAAGTGATGCGGGGAAGCCGTTGGTACCTGTGCTCTGGGCTCATAGGAGATGTATCTGATAGACCAAAGGGGCAAGTATAAAGTCGACCAAAACTGCTGCCATTTAGCAACTTGGATCTGTCTTTAGAACACAAGCACACTCATCCACCCTCTCAAACACCAGACAAGCATCGCACTCTGCCTTTCACGCAAGCACTCCTGTTCAAAATGCTCCTGAACTCCCTCCTCGCCCTGGCCATCCCGGCTCTGGCCGCCCCGGCACCCATGAGTCCCAACGAGCCGAGCGCACTGGTCAAGCGCGACACTTGTGCCAACTACAGGTTCATGGTGAGTCGTGCAGACACCGTGCCGTACATTCCCGTCACCCTCATCGGAATCCGCTGACAAGATCCGGCTCTGCCATAACAACAAAACAGTCCATGGGGCAGCTCCACTTCTACAACGGGGCCACCATCTCGGCCGAGCTCCAGTACAGCTACGACCAGAGCTCCTGGACCAAGATCAACCCCAGCGGCAACATCCTGTCCGGCCAGTCGCGCGACTTCTATCGGGACAACGAGCTCAAGACCATCCTGCGTGACACCAACGTCTGTGACTCTTCTTCCCCTTTCCTTATTGGGCGAGGACCAGCCGTTGTCCGCCATCATCCACGATCCTATTTTGCTGACAAGGCCCGCCCCATGCGCATGCAGTTCTACATCCGAGTCTGCGATACCCTCATCAACCGGGATTGCGGTACCTCGCCCGGCGTGTTTGTAAGTCCCATTTTTGCTCATAAGAACAACAACTGTGTGGCCTTTGACTCTCCGTCTAATAACACTGCGCGTGAAACTTGCAGCAAATCCCGAGTGCTGGAAAGCAGCAGTGGGTTGCGTCGGTCGAGGCCGAGGATCAGTGGAGATGTACGTCCCCAAATCCAGCCCGCACCAGCTTTATCACATGTGGTTATTTGCCTGACATCCAGTGCCATACCCAACAGGGCCCCCGAAAATTTACACCGAGGTGCTGTGCGAGATTGGCAGCCAGCTCCCGAACTCGAGCGGTAACTGAGAAGCTGCCGTCTTATCTCTGCCGACTTTGCTCCACCCTTTCTTTTCTTTTGTGGTTTGCTTCAGTGCAGTAATCAAGTAGTTACTGCTGTCTCTCCCGGCTGTTTGGGATTTTATGATCCCACATTGTCACTCCTTCCAACCACTTTGGCATTTCTTCTCATTGTTATCAGGTGGAAGTTAGCGGGGTGAGCTGTAGTCCCTTAGGTAGCTATAAAACATATATCCAATGCCCATCTACTTCATCGGAAGCACCTGTATCGCGCGCCTCCAAACCTCCCAGCCGTCCGCCCTCGACAGATCTGCAAGCGGCCGTGACACGGCCACGCGCATCGTGTAGTTCCCGGGCGCGATCTGCTTCCCGTCGGCCATCTTGCCCAGCCAGTGCCACTTCTTGTCGCTGGGCTGCGTCATGCCGAAGCGGCTTAGGAACCGGGCCGGCATGGGCGTGACCTGGCCGTTGACGGCCGGGTCGGACAGGTCCGTGGGCGGCTCAAAGGCCGGGTCCAGCTCGCCCTCCCACACGGCCACGGCGCCGACGAACCCCTTTGCGCCGCCGCTCTCGGGCGGGTACCGCCACTCGTCCTCGGCCCAGTCGGCCTCGAAGACGTCCCAACGCAGCTCGCGCACGCCCCAGTCGAAGGACATGAAGACGAATGGGTAGTCGCGCACGCCCGTGGTCAGGTTGAAGGTGTAGTTGGATTTGACGTCGATGGACGTCCAGGGCTCGCCGCCGAACGCGAGCGGGTACGTGTTGCGCCACACCTTTTTCGTCTCGTACAGGCTCGCCGCCACGCCCAGGTACGGCAGCGACAGGGCGTCGCCGTTGTCGCCGCGCACCAGCAGCTTGCCGCTGTACGTCGGGATCACGGTCGCGTTCCAGCCCTTGGCCTCGGGGTTCGCAAACGCCACCGTCACCTTCTTGGATTCGCCCGGCCCGAGGCTAAAGGGCTCGGGCAGCTGGACGTCGGGGACGAGGTCCAACGGGGACAGGGAGGCAAAGGTCTTCATACCCCACGTGTCCCACTGGCGCATGAAGGGGTCCAGGACTTCGAAGCCGGCGGCGGGCTCGAGGGTGAAGTTGTAGGCGACGGCCGAGGCGCCGGCGTTGGTGACAGTCACCTCGTGCACGCCCTGGAAGTTGCGCGTGTCGTTGAGGCTAATCTTGGCCTTGTCGAGCGTCGTGCCGGCGTAGAGCACCCTGGACGCGTTGACGAGCCCGCCGCCTATTTGCAGCGACGGCGCCAGGAAGCGGTCGCTCTTGGTGGTGCCGTCGTACCACGGCAGCGACTTGCCCGACGCAATAACGCGCCTGTTGAAGTCGAGGGCGAAGTTGGGGCCGTGCTTGTCGCGACCGCCAAGAGCGCTGATGTACAGGGCCGCGATGCCCGCCATGTAGGGCGTTGCCATGGACGTCCCGCTCTGCACCTGGAACTCGCCGTCGAGCCAGGTGCTAAAGATGTTGCCGCCGGGCGCCGCGACGTCGGGCTTGAGCAGCAGGTCGTAGGTGGCGGCCCACGACGAAAAGGTGCTGGGCGTGCCGCCGAGCGCGTCGGGCTGGCCCACGAGGCCGCCGCCGCGCGAAAAGTCCACCGTGACGGCGGCGCCGGCGGCGAGGGCCTTGATGATGGCGTGGCCGGCCGGGGCCGTGATCATGGCCATGGTACTGGTGGGCAGCGTCGAGCCCGGGTTGGTGAGCGCCCTGTTGTCGTTGTAGACCAGCATGTTCTTGCAGCCGAGGGCCTCGAGGTTGCGCTGCTTGACCGCGTACGTGCAGCCGCCGCGGCGCACGAGGGCCACCTTGCCCGTCAGGCTCTGGGTGCCGGCCGGGTACGGCGCGCAAGCGTCGGCCGCAGTCTCGGGATCCATGCTCAGTGCCACGACGGGCCAGCCCCTGACGTCCGGGGAGAAGACGTCGTCGGACATGTAGCCGCCCTGGGTGGTGTTGGAGACGCCGCCCAGGGTGACGGTCAGCTGATAGCGCGTGGCAGGTGACACTTCGGCCTGCACCGAAGCGACGGCCAGGACGTCGTCGCTGGAGCCGGCCTCGCTGCCGTAAAAGGCACCGTCCGCGCCGTTGTTACCGGCGGACATGGTCATGATGACTCCCTGGCGGGTGATGCGGGACCCCACCACGGTCAGGGCGTTGTCCTGCCACCCGACGAGGGAGCCGATGCTGGTGGTGATGACGTCGGCGCCGTCGGCGTAGGCGCGCAGCCAGGCGTCCATGATGGTCGCCGCGTCTGTTCCGCCATATCCAGCTATGACCTTGTAGGCCAGGAGGGTGGCGTTGGGCGCGACGCCGACGAAGCCGTCGCTCACGGCAGCGACGATGCCGGCGACATGCGTTCCGTGTCCCAGCTGGTCGAGCGGGTCTGCGTCGGGCTTCTTGGCGACCTTGGGGCTGGTCGCGTCGCCGGCAAAGTCCCACCCGCCGGCGACCTTGAAGCCGGGCCCGAAGCCGCCGCCAAGTGCCGGGTGCTTGTGCCACACACCAGTGTCGACGACAGCGACCTTGACGCCCTGGCCCAGGATGCCGGCCGCGTGCAGACGGTCGACCCCTGTGGCCTTGTGGACCGAGTAGTCGACCGCCGACACGTCGTTGAGGAAGCTCTTCACGTCCAGGGGCTCGTCCAGTGCGACAACGTGGTTGGGCCACATGTTGACCACCTGCTTCCCGGCGGCGAATCTCGCCGCGCTGCCCTCCGAGTCCAACTCAACCACGGCGCCGGTGAACAAGGGCGACTCGTACGTTTTTACGAGTTTCACCGATGCATCCGCCGCCAAGTCTCGAGGTAGAAGTCCCTGTCAGGCGCCGCCAAGTTAGCATCCTTGCAGGACAAAAAAAGGTGGCAGACGGTGAGACGCCGTACATTGCCAAACTCAACGATAAACTGCTTGACAGCGGCCGGTACGCTGGCGGCGGCGGCGGTGTTCTCGCAAGCCGCCTTGCGGGCGAGCCCGAGGACGGAAAGGAGAAGGGCAAGGCCCAACATCGCGACTGGTGGCGGTGTGGTGTTGCGGAGGTGCCGCAGTCGAGAACTCGCGAGAGCATGGCGACGACGGGGGAGGCAGGCTGGCCTTTAAGCGGACGGCAAAGAGGCTTCTTGATATTGCCGGCGACGGGCGGTTGTCACGATGACGATGAAGGCCCACAGCTCAGGGGAACGGCGGCCTTGGAGCAAATTTCCCCGGAGGTTGTGGATTCATGCACCCATCTCAGCTCGTGTTCACCGCCGGAGCCGCTGGGCCACCTTCCAATTGCGGCGATTGATGGTCGTCAACCAGGGGGAGCAAGGGGGTTAGTACGGGGTAAACTACAGGGTCGCATTAGCCTCTTCGAATACGGGAGACTCCGTAGACCCCACCAATGACACCACATTGGTGCGCGCGACCAAGGCTCTATTGCCAACCCCCTTCTGGGCTGGCCGCTATAAAGCAGGTCGGCTCGGCCAGCATCACCACCACTCACCACTGCTGCGCCACCGCGACACTCACCTCTCCCTAACAGCCCTTCGTTCCAAACAGCCCCCGTTAGCAAGATGAAGTCCAGTTCCCAAGCATCCGCCGCCGCGGCCATCGTGGCCCTCGCACACCTGGCGGCAGCCGCCCCGGCCGCGGTCGAGGCCGGCGCCGTGGTGCCGACGGTGCACATGCCGGTGCACATGAAGTACGGCCAGAACAACAAGTTCGCCACCAGCCTGGTCCTGCCCTACTCGGACCAGAGCATCGAGGTGTGCTACGACCTGGGCAGCCCGGACTTCTTCGTCTTCTCGCCCAACGCGACCCAGAACTGGGGCTGCCGCTACCTGACCTGCCAGGGCCCTTGCAACGCCACGGTGCCTGAGGAGGGGACCTACGACCCGTCCCTGTCCAAGACGGCGACGGCCCCGCGGCCCTGGGCCCGCGACTACGGCTACGGCGGTGGCCTTACCAAGTGGTACCGGGCCAACAAGATCGTCAACGACACCTTCGCCTTCACCAACCACCTCAACAAGTTCTCGTCCCAGGTGTCCGACGTCGAGGTCGCCCTCGTGCCGTACCTGCAGCAGCGCACATTTAGCGCCGCCGAGAACTCGTGCGCCGAGAAGCCGAAGTACGACTACTCCATCCTAGGCATAGCGCCCTACTTCTCCAGCCCGGACCCCAATGCCAGGAACACGACGGGCCCGTCGTTCCGCCAGAACCTTCTCGACCAGGGCCGCATCTCGGCGCCGGTGCAATCGCTGTGGATGGAGAGGCGGCCCGACGACGTGCGCGGCACCTTCACGGGCGCCGGCCTGCTGGGCGGCATCGACACGTCCAAGTACTCGGGCCCACTCGTCCGGATCCCGCGCCTCAAGGGCCTCGGCTACAGCCTCTACGAGTACTACACGCACGCCGCCAAGCTGTCCTTCAACGGAGTCGCGCCCATCCCCATCGACACCACCAGCCCGGGCGTCGAGACCGAGTGCATCCTCGACTCAGGCGGCGTCGGCGACGCCCACAACCCCGTCGACGTCGAAGCCTACTACAACGTCACGGGCCTGCGCCTCAACCCGAGCCACCCGACCCCGTACCAGGGAAACTACCTCTCGTGGCCTGGCAAGTGCGAGGACATCCCCGCGGACCACTTCATGGAGTACAGTCTCGTCGGCGTCCGGGAGGGCGAGACGGCCGTCGTCAAGGTCCCGATGCGCAACTACGCCCGCTTCCAGGACCCCATTGACGAGGCCAGGGGCTGGTGCACCATGGCAATAAGCCTGCGCGGCTGCTCTCTCAACGCGCCCTTCCTCTCGGCCGCCTTCTTCGCCGCCGACGACGAGAGCGGAGAGATTGCCATCGCGCAGGGCGGCGTGGCCGAGCAGGGAAGCGGTGTTGACAACTCCAAGGTCGTGCTCAGGATCCCTTAGGAGTCTGGCCAGGAGTCTTCAGGTCGTAACGGGTCGTTAATAGTCGAAAGCTTTATGATTTATGGTAATTGTCTAACGTAATACTAGTTTATCAGCATACAAATACAAAAGTATGTAATTCCAGAATGAAATGTTGCAAGAAGGGTATCGAGTCGAGTGTTGTAGCCGCAAATGAAGACGAGGATAAATGGCCAAGTCGGAGTCGGAGCCGAATAGAGAAGAGATACGTTCCGGAGAGCGTATGAGCCGGGTACCTAGTTGTTAGTCTACCTCATGGTAGGTGGTGGAGCAGCGGCCGCTGGGGCCGGGACCTGGGGAGTACCAACTACGTCCGAGCCGTCGGCGCAGACGTGTTTCCCAGTGCCATACTTGATATCCTTCACTAAGCACGGCTTCATCTTGTCTTGGTTTCCCAGGACGCTGGGACAGGCAGGCTGGTTGAGGCCAGCGGCACGGTCGGCATCAGTCAGCTTGCAGACTTCGTCTTTGCCCCACTGGCACTGAGCGTCTTTGATGTTGAGTTGGATCATGTTATCTCTGACAAAGGTGCCTGGAGCTAAAAGTTTTGACACGGCGTTAGGTTTGGTGGGGAGATGATATGGTCCGGGATGCACAGAGTGGATGACTTACCACAGGAGGTTATAAAGTTCTGGGAGTTCGAGGCGGACAAGGCTAGCTTGTTGCCCGCCGTGTGCATCAGCTTCCTGCACTCGGGGTCGCTGCCATGTACATCTTCGTACTCGGCGGCGACAGCTCCCCCATATGAGGCTTTGCCGGCATCCTTCGCACTGAAGCCTGTAGTGAGGTACTGTGGGGGTTGTTTTGGTTAGCATATACACACAACATGAGGGGTCCCAGAAGATACATACGTTCCAAGCATCGTAGGAAATATCGTAAGCGCCCCTGGACACGTCGATCCTAAGCAGGGTCACATGTCGGCCCTTGTGGGTGACCTTGACACAGATGTTATTACAATCAACGGGGATGGGCCAGAAGGCAGCCCTGTTAGTATCAATCTTGCAGCCGAGGACTCCGACGGAGGACGAGTACTGCTGGTGGGGTGTCATGGAGATAGACTTCGCTGCTGCCATGGTGATGCAGCCGCAAATGGCTGCCACGATGCTTGCTGTCTTCATGGTCGTGTTTACTTTGGTGGTTTGTGGTTCGAGGTTGGTTGGAGGGGTGGTGGTGGAGGTGCCTTGTGTGCAAGGAAAATCTTCTCCAGATCCTGATCCTGGCAGGCCATGGCGCCATATTTAATAGCCATTGTTCGATGGCGCGGCGCAGCGCTCACAAAACTCGTTGGTCGTGAACAATAGTTTGGGGTCAGACCCGACTGTGTCGTTGGTGTTCTTTCCATGCGCAGCCGTCAACGTGCTTCGCTGCGTAGTGCAATTGGTGGCGGCTCAGTGGCTGTGACTTGTCGCGTCGTGTTTTCGAGAGCCAACAGCACAAATTCAGTGGGCGATACCGTAAGCAACTGCCCGTGCCGCTGAAATTTTTGGCCTAGCGCGTCCCAGCTTACTAGAAGAGCTGGCCTCATGCAGCGAGCACCAGCCACTGGCCCTTGTAAAGTTAGTCCATTTATTGAACTAACAAGGCAGGAGCGAGCCGGAAATGGATTCACGGCGGTCCCTTCCCGACTTGGCTTTAGCCTCCATCCCAGGCACTCTCGCCCGCACGCACGTAAATCCCCACCCTCGCCTGCTCCCGCTCCGCTCACCCATTAAATTCAACACTAAACACCATCAGCCCCTGCGCCCACCACCGTCGCCTCCCCTCCTTGGCCCGTTGATGATACGACTCATCATCAACCCTCCAATCCGCGCCGCCATCGCCTTCTTCTGCGGGTCGTGTTCCGGGTGCTTGTCAATCGCGGCCTCGATCGCCGCCGCACTAAAGGCCGCAGTCGCCACCCTGCGGCCCTTGGGCCCGCTCCACGGCCCAGGCTCGCGCCGGACCCGGATCGCCTCGATGGCGCCCGCCGTGACGCCCGCGATGACGGCGTGCCGCAGCCGCATCGCGGGATCGTCCAGGCTCCGCGACCGCGACCGTGACCGTGACCGCGTCTCCGAGTGGTGCCGTAGGTGGTAGCGGCGGTGGCCTCGCCTCCTGTCAGGACTGTGGCTGCGCCCACGCGTCAAGTGATGGTGGTCGCTGTCTCCGTAGCCGGACCTGCTACTTGAGGACGCGCGGGATGACTGCGACACTTCGTCTGTGCGCTTTTTGGACGCTCCCCTAGACCCAGACACCCAGTTCTTCAACCTCGACACGAGCCGCCCAGGCCTGCTCCTGGCCCGGCCTCTTGACTCCTGCACTTCTTCCTCTTCGTACACATCGTGCCCCTCTTGTTGCTGGTCTCCACGATCCGACACGTCGTCATGGTATTCGTACTGATGGCGACGGTGGTTATGAGAGTGCCGATGAGCTCTTGACGACGGGTGCCTATAAGTATAGCTGTCGTCGTACCACTGCCTGCCGCGGGGGTACACTGGATACTGTCCGTCGAGCCAGCGGTTCTCGTCATAGCCGTAGTAGCCTGGCCTCTGGCTGCCTGGATCGTAGTACTCCCCAAACTGGCTTCCGGTGTCGTCGTATTGACGGGACTGCTTCCGATATATGTCGCTGTACCTGGGAGGATGGCTGTCCTCTGCGCCCTCGTCGCGACGGAACCGCCTCCGGTCGCTGTCCTTGTACCGCCGGAATTGCTTCTGGTTTATATCGTCGTAGTCGCGAGCATCCCTGTCCTCTGCAACCTCGTACCGGCGAAACTGTCTGTAGTCGTTGTCATGGTATCGCCGCACCTCCTTGTAACCCCTCGACGGCATGATGAACCAAGTGATATTTAATGCATACCCTACAACCGTTTATCCTCTAACTCCTGAGTGACGCCTTGGCAAAGTAGAAGACGCTGCCTGATTAAAAGTGCTTTTGAAGTTCGGGGAAAGGACTTCAATCCATATGCATGTGAAGCTTCGGGCGCGCGACCAAATTTCGGGCAAGCACGGGCCGGACAGCCATCAGATGATGTGCTCCCTGACGTCGCCTTGGGGTTTGCCCAAGGGTTTGCCCAAGTAGCGTGCCAAAATCCAGCGAGCGTGACAGATGTCTCACCCGTAGTCACTGACACCTGCGCCCATGCATGCCTCGGCGACAACGAGTCGCCACGTTCAGCTCCCGCCGGTCTGCTTATTCCAAAGCTCCGCGTACCTCCCCTTCTTTGACAGCAGCTCCGCGTGGGTGCCGCTCTCGACGCAGCGACCCTTGTCGATGACCAGGATGCGGTCGGCCGACACGACGGTCGACAGGCGGTGCGCGACGATGAAGGTGGTGCGCGCGCGCTGGCGCCGGAACGCCTCGAGCGCCTCCTGGATCTCGGCCTCGGCGCCCGAGTCGACGGAGCTGGTGGCCTCGTCCAGCACCAGGATGGCCGGGTCCCGCAGGAGCGCCCGCGCCACCGCCAGCCGCTGCGCCTCGCCGCCCGACAGCTTGACGCCGCCCTCGCCCACGCGCGTCTGGTAGCCGTCCCGGAACCCCATGACGCGCCCGTGGATGGCGGCGGCGGCGCAGGCGGCGCGCACCTCGGCGTCGGTCGCGTCGGGCCGCGCGTACCGCACGTTCTCGAGCACCGACGCGTCGAAGAGCTGCGGCTCCTGCGGCACCACGCCGAAGGCGGCCCGGAGCGACTCGAGCGTCACGTCGCGCACGTCGCGCCCGTCGATGGAGACGCGGCCCTCGCTCACGTCGTAGAAGCGCAGCAGGAGTTTGAGGATGGTCGACTTGCCCGCGCCCGACGCGCCCACCAGCCCGACCGTCTCGCCCGGCGCCACCGAAAAGCTGAGGCCAGCGATGGCGGCCTGCCCGCGCTCGCCGCCGTCGTACTCGAACCCGACATCCTCAAACGCGACGCAACCGCGGGTGGCGACAGCTCCGGTCTCGTCGTCGTCGTCGTTATCGTCACCCAGCTTGCCTGCTCCGGGCTTGTCTTGGACGGTGGCCTTGGTCCGCAGCAGCACGAGCAGCTGCTCGGCGTCGACCATGTCCGACAGCACCTGGCGGTAGTCCTGCATGATGAACTTGAGCGGCCAGATGAGGTACTGCCAGTAGTCGATGAAGAAGACGAAGTCGCCCGGCTTGGCGCTGCCGTCGACGACGCGGCGCAGGATGATGGCGGCCACGCCCGCGAAGGTCAGGGGCTCAAAGATGAAAAACACGGCCTCGATGCCCGAATCCCGCAGGGTCCAGCCCCGCTCCGCCCGGAGCCTCGCCTCCACCGCGTCGCCGAACCGCGTCTTCTCGCGGCCCAGCGCCCCAAAGAGGTGAGCGGACTGCCAGCCCTGGATGGCGCCGTGCATGACGCGCGTCTGCTCGCGCTCGGCGCGCGCCATGACCCGGCGGGGCCCCACGCGCCACCTCGAGCTGCACCAGGCCTCCATGGACATGAAGCCCACAAATGCAAAGGCCATGAGCCCGGCCACGGTCCAGTCGAAGCGCAGGCCGAGCACGACGACCGAGGTGGCCAGGTCGACGACGGTGGGCGCCACCTCGAGCAGGACGCGGTCAAGCACGTGCATCAGCGCCGTGCCCTGCTCGACCGTCTTCATGACCTCGGCCGTGTCGTGCTCGCCGTGGAAGTCCATCGACAGGCCCATGACGTGGCCGAAGGCGGCGCGGGCCACGGCGCGCTCCGAGAACTGCCGCACGGGCACCTTGGCCACCTGCTCGAAGAAGCCCAGGATCGAGCCGCCGCTCAGGACGCTTAGCCCGACCCAGACGGCCAGCTCGCGGTAGGGCGGGTGGGCCGCCACGCCGTCAGCGCCGCTGCCCAGCACCGCATTGGCCACGGCCCCGAGCTGGTTGGGGATCATGACGGTGAGTACGCGCTGCGCGGCCACGCAGACGACGCACACGAGGATGCACAGCTGCACCTTGACGTCGCCGCGCGGCACCAGGAACGGCCCGAACACGCTGAAGAAGTCAGCGAGGTAGCGCCACCAGCCGCCGAGCTCCTTTATCCGCTTCGCCTGCCGCCTCTGCTTGACCTCCTCGTCCTCCGAGTCGTATTCCGAGTCCGACTCCGGGTCGCTGTCGCTCCCGTCGGTGCTTCCATATTTGCGATTGGCCTCCTCATCGTCGTGGCTATTGACCCGGCGGTAGTCGCCGTTTCGTGGCTTGCTGGCACTTGTTGAGCCGAGCAGGGGCTGGCGCTCGTCGTGGGGTCCGGGTTCTACGTCGGCTTCCAGGGCCGGCGGTTGGGATTTGGAAAATAAAAAAGAAGGACGAGCCATGGCCAGAAATGTGAGCACGGAGATGGATATTAATGGTCCTTTCTAGTTGTTTAGTTCATTGTCGGACAAAAGAAACAAGACGAAACCCCAGTAGGAAACGGAAGGAGAATGAATTGTGTGATAAGACAAATACGTAGAATAACGCGATAAAAAAAAATTGCGACCAGGCATCCTGAAGATATATCTAGCCACGAAACTAGCGACGACACAGCGGGCGCTCTGTTTCGCTCGCCATCGCCGCGCGGCCACAATTGAACGTGGAATTGCCCAATTAGGCAACGCCAACAGGATTACCATGCCAGGTGTGGATCTCACGAAAAATATGTCATCGTCAATTGAGGCGATGCGATGACTCTGCGCTGTCCTCGGGTGTCCGCGGCCAGCTCCTCTTTGACGATCTTGACCCGCAAGCGGAACAAGACCCGTGGACCCGTCCGGGCACCCCGACCGAACAAACAGTCTGCCTACCTACCACCGAAAGACGGGCGGAACAAGTTCGCCACGGTGCGTTTGTAGCTATTACACAGTCTAAAATAGATAATCGGGAAAGTTCAGCTTTGTGCAATCTACTGTTAGGTATTCTTGAATCACGTCCAAGGGAAGGGTATAACGAGGCTGTGGTACTCCTTCACTAGGGACTTACTCCCTATTTCTCCACCGTTTGCATCAAAACGAAGATCTCCCGCCGCATTAGCTGCCTTGGCAACTTGGAACTCCTTTTTGAAGATTTATTGGTGAATCAAACTGATCCACCCTTGGTGCCTATCTACCATACTTCTTCTGCTTGTCTTCAGTCAATTGATTCACTGCTCTAGAACTTCTGTCAAATGTCTTGCGCGGGTGCCCGATCCCCGTGATTAGACACAATGAATGACTCCTCGCCGTCCTCGGACGTCCGCGGCCTAGGTTTCCGTGGGTCCGTCATATGAAATCATCCTGAGTATCTTGGGCTACAGTAGGAGAACCTCAAAATGGAGAAGCCCCGCTCGCTATCCTGTCAGCCGGCCTGACCGACTGGCTTCCGACCTTCCCCAGACATGATGCTTGGACGTCCGATCAGCAATTTGGCAGCAACCATTCCAACGCGACAAACAAATTGAGTCGATGCCGCCACACCCGCCGGACGTGAACACACGGCCCGGCCCGAAATCTTGACGACGTTTCTAGGCCATATAGGAGGCAGCTGGACAGTGGAAGATCAGTTAAGAAGTCGAAATGTTCAGCATCTTTCTTTTCAAAATGCAAGGGTGACATGCCAGAGAATCCAAGGCGCCAAAATGATCCGTGTCACGTGCGTGGAATGACGTGAATTCACATGCCGGCCCGTGCGATTTCTCCAAATAGCATTGTGGCTTGGGAGATGCCGGCCATCCATTTCCCTGTAGTAATCCGTCATCAACCCACACCCAACCATGCCAGCAGACCAAGAGAGGGAAAGCGCCGCGCAGCCGCTGCTGGCGAATGAGAATGCCGACTACGGTGCTAGCACTCCTGCGGGGCACGACCCATCCCCCGTCGTTCCCGGCGGCTCCTCGTTCCGTCGCGACCTGGGGACACTCGAGGCCTTCGCCATCGTCGTCAGCATCGTCATCGGCAGCGGCGTCTTCACCTCGCCCGGGTCCATCGACGCCAACGTGCCGTCGCCGGGCGCCGCGCTGGCCGTCTGGCTCGTCGGCGGCCTGCTCGCCTGGACCGGCGCCAGCGCCCTGACGGAGCTGGGCACCGCCATCCCGGGCGAGGGCGGCGTCCAGCCCTACCTGCAGTACATCTTCGGCGACGTCGTCGGCTTCCTGGCCGCCTGGACCTGGGTCGTGGCCGTCATGCCCGCCACCCTGGCCATCCTCAGCATCGTCTTCGTCGAGAGCATGTACTCGGCCGCGGGCGTGACGGGCGAGGCCGACCGCCTGAGCCACAAGCTGCTGTCCGTCCTGGTGCTGGTCGCCGTGACGGCCGCCAACTCCATCAGCACGCGCGCGAGCACGCGGCTGAACAACTTCTTCGTCGCCACAAAGTTCGCCAGCATCGCGCTGGTCGTCGCCGCGGGCCTCGTGGTCGCCGTCCTCGTCGCGACCAATCCTGCGCGCTGGCGGGACGCGATCGGCGGCCGCGACTGGCGCGAGAGGCCCTGGTTCCGCAACCGCGACACGCCCACGCCCGGCGGAGGAACCATCCACTGGGACGATGTCGGCAGCTGGGAGATGCTCGGCAACCTCTCTGCCGCGCTCTACGGCGCCCTCTGGGCCTATTCCGGCTGGGACAAGGCCGTCTACATCACGGCTGAGCTCTCGGCGCCGGCCCGCCAGTTGCCCCTCGCCATCAACTCGGCCGTCCCCACCATTGTGCTGTGCTTTGTGGCCACCAACGCGGCCTACTACGTTCTTCTTCCGTGGGATGTCGTCTCTACTACAGACAGTGTCGCGGTGGTAAGTGCTCCCCTGCTGCTCTACTCGGCGCCCGCCCGCTCCTCACTGACTGGAAATAGACTGCAATCACCCGCCTCCTGGGTCCCATCGGCGGCGTGGTCGCTGCCACCCTGATTTGCCTTGTCGTGGCCGGCTCCCTGCTCGGAAACTCATTCATTGCCAGCCGCATGGCCGTTGCCGCCTCTAACAAGGGCTGGCTTCCACGCGTCATCGGCGCTCTTGGATCTTTCGGTCTTTCAAGCGCAGCCCGCAACGACGACACCACTCCCGATGCGCCCGAAATCTCTGAGTCTGACGCTCCTATCAACGCCCTTCTTCTAAGCACCGTGCTTTCCACCCTGTACATTCTCCTGGGCAGCTTCCGGGCCCTTCTCACGTTCAATGGACTCGGCGAGTACTCGTTCTTCTTCGTCACCGTCTGCGGCGCCATTTACCTTCGCTTCCGCGAGCCATCGCTGCCTCGCCCCTACCGCCCCTTGTTGATCGTGCCCGTCGCCTTCGCCGTCGTTAGCGGGTTTGTCGTCATGCGGGGCGCAGTGTTCGCGCCAATCCAAGCCGCCATTCTCGTTGCCCTCTGGATCGTCGGCGTCCTCTACTACTTGGCCAGGCAGACCTGGGCCCAGCAGAGGGACGGCTGAGACAGCTGCTCCCGACACCGGCCGGGACATCTACTCTCGCCCCCGGCTTAATAGGTAGCTATATATGGTTGTCGCACATTCTGTTCGCGGCCCGCTGGATTGAATAACTTCTCAGCACCCAGGACACGTCCACCATCCAGTTGGCTCGGCACTGAGCCAAGGGCTTTCAAGGGTACCGCTTTCGTGCGGCAGTTAGAGGCCATGGCCGAGTGGTCACTCATACCATCATAAGAATGGAATTCTTGGGTTTCCAGTCGTCCATGGCCTTTCTCTGCCGCACGTAAGGGGTCTTCTTGCCAGTCCTTTGCTCCGTCGCTGGTCCGCCTGGATGATGGCCTTTAGAGACATTATCAACTAAAGCATTACGGCTTCGATTCCACGCTCCATGCACGTATGATCTAAAGGTGCTGTTGCAATAATTTTGGCATTTAACTTTGCATTGCAGCGTGTACCTTTTATCCCGCAGCCTGGGAGAGCCGGTCTTGCGATTTAATGGAGGTGATATATGGATGTGCAATCGGGGGCTCCTTTTTCGGCCAATGCCCACCCGCCTTGTTGGTGGCTATGGGGGTTTGCCGTCTCTCCTCGTCTATTTCTGTTATCTGCTTCCACTAGACATCACTGAGGCGATTTATAACTGCTCTATGGACAATGAGTATGCCGATCATCACGGGTCCGGCATCAAGATATCCAAGGCCCTCGCCGAAGACTTTGCGGCTAGCAGTGCTTATATCTTTGCTGTAGGAAGAAGGCTAAGCATTTTGGAGAGCATGGCTGTTTCCTACAAGCCTCGGCCCAGACTGGCAAAGAGACGGAGTCCAACCGGCAGTCCAAATGGCTCTGCTCCTCGCAGGGTAGCCTAGTGCGCATCCACCAATAGACTTTACCTTGGTCTCCATATCCTCTTCCCGTCCAAGGTGGCCGGAAATCCCACGGGGACCAAATTCGAGCACCACGCGGGCGAGCAGGCAAGGTGAAGCGTCCAGGGCATCTGAGGAGATGGCAGTTTCTGTGCTGGTGCTGTTGAGCACGATGGGGGGTGCCGCCCAAAGCAAACATCCACCAACGGCTGGCTGCGCCTTCCCGATGATTTTTTTCCCGTGCCACCAGACCTTCCTGTGTTTCCTTGGGAAGGTGCCGCCCTGCCAGATCTGAAAGGCAAGCGGGATGCTGCTGCCGTCAACAAACAGTCCACAAGGCAATCCGATATGGTGTAGTGGTTAACATTCGGCACTCTCGAGCAGAGCAGATGCTGGGCCCGGGGTTCGATTCCCCGTATCGGAATTTACATTCGCTTTTGCTTTTTTATATTTTTATATCCTGCTTACCGGGCAATTCCTTTTTGTTCCTTGGCCTTTTATGCTTTATTTACTTTACTTCCCTTTTCGACTCGGTTTGCTGGTCCTAGTCCCTGGCGTTGGTAACGGTTGTATTTTCTTTGCATTCGGTTGTTTGTAATTTCCATCACTTCCATGCCATCTGACACTCATATACATGTCACTCCATAAACCAAGCTAGAAGGAAACAAATCCGGTAGCTCGTTCGCGTTTTGGCTGCTACAAAAAAAACACACCACTGCCCATTGCCTCCCACCCAACCCAACTTCCTCTCCAACGGTCGTCTTCGCTAGCTCTTATCATCCGCGCTGCCACCAATCGCCGGCCATTAGTTCCGGCAATCACGACTTGGCGGCCATGGCCACACCCGCTGGCAATGACCCGCCTGAGGGTGATGCCACTGTAAGCAATCTTATCTCTCACTCCCCGGCTCCTCGGAGCCGCTTCAGACACAGCGAGCAGATACTGACGTTTTGCCTCAGACCAATGACGGACCAGGCAGCGCCAACCGCAATCCCCTCTTCGAGATCAAGGATGTCCCCGGCATGGGAAAAGGCATGATCGCCCGCGTCGACATTGCCAGAGGCACGACGATCCATACTGAGAAGCCTTTGGTGGTCGGACCCTCGCGAGGCGGCAAAAATGTGGCCAACTCGCTGGGATACATCGAAATGGTCTTCTCCGTAAACAGTGGTGACGACAGCCCTTCTATCGACATCATCAAGGCACTACCTAAAGACAAGCAACGCCAGTTCTTCAGCCTGTCGGACTCCAGCCACAGCCACGGTAGCGGAAAGATTAGGGGCATCTGGGTCACCAACTCGCTCCCCGTCATGATTCCGGATCCCTCGAACTTCTCCTTGCCTCGGGAGGCCGTGGCCCTTACAATGAGCCGCGTAAACCACAGCTGCCAGCCAAACAGCCTCCTGCGCTACGACGAAGGATGGTACCAACTCAAAGCCCTGCGGCCGATCCGGGCTGGAGAACAAGTCACCATCACGTACAAGGACTATATCCACCAGACGACGTCCCAGTGGCGCCGGCGCGGTCTCGAGGAGCGATATGTCGAGTGCAAATGCGAGGTTTGCCTTCGCGTCGCCGCGGGCGACGTCATCAGCGACGTCCGCCGAGACCTCATCGCCATTGTCACGGAAGCCGCCCAATTCGGGTGCCCGCTCTCGTTCTACGACCCGCAGCTCCGCCTCACCCGCTGCAGGATGCTCATATGCCTCCTCAATGCCGAGTTCCCCGCGGGGGAGGCCGCCGAACAAGTCTTGCAGGCCTACAAGGACGCCCTCGACATAGCCATCGCGCATGGAGACTGCGCTCGCGCATCTGTTTTTGCTCGGCGTATGTTGGGCCTGATCCCTTTGGTGGGAGACGCAGCGAGCGGGCCGGGGGCGAATGGCTTCTGGGAAATGGTTGCCGATCAGCCGAGACGGCACCCCAGTTGGCGAGAGTGCTCCTCCCGGTGGGACACGACCCTGAGAGCAATCCCACAGAATCTGTCCGAGGGCGACTTCGAGAACTGGCTTTGGAGGCAGCGGTTCTGATGGAGATGTCAGTCGGGCTGGCGGGAGCCTTTTTCGGGTGGTTGTCCTGCTGCTCTCATCACCGGCAATTTGCCATCGAAAAGACTGAGCTTTGGAGGGGTTTGGGTACAAGGATGATCTTGGTGAGATTGCGGCACAGTTTCAGTTAGCCCGACGGCATAGCTGAACCCATCATGTCCCTATCTATCTGAACTTTTGTTTCCCTCTCCTCTCCCTGAAGTATGGCCAGGCCTTTTCTTTCCCCTTCTCCTTGTCGATGTCTCTGATCAGGTCTATATGTACATTACCCAGCATCTTATCGGCCTTCTCCTGTGCCTTGATCAGCTGCCCACCTGGGAGGATTGGGTAATGATGATACCGGAGTCGGTCCTTCACGTTTGCGGCCCGAATATTACAGAGTCGCTCTTCTATCTCGAGAAGCTTGTCGGGCGCTTTGCTTCCAATCCGGGATAGGGTGATAAGGGACGCAATTTCTTTGCGAGTCGACTCCTGAGATTTGACCATGTTATGGTTCTAGCGCTCATGTGTCAGTCGGTGCTCTGTCCTAAAGTGCCAGGCAGAGTTCTCTGGCTTACCGCGGCCAAGCCAATTCCATGGCAGATAGTCATGGCGCCCACGATGCAAGAAGCAGCCCAGAGGACAGCCCCGGCCGTTTTAGACATGGTGCTGGAGACATAAGATACCAGGAGTGTTATGACGATGGCAGGCAAAATGCCGCCGAGCACTGGGCCTTCGGAACTCTCGATATCCTAACACCTCTGGCTTAGCTTGTGGCTCGTCGGTGCGCTGCGGGCTCTCTGGCTCCTTACCTTGGCAAGCTGTGCTCCGGTGACGGCGGTGATGAACCATATGACGTATCTAACCGAAGTAACGACAAGCACGAACTGGCTTGACGTTAGGCGGGAGGCAATGAGGCCAATATTGATCATGTTAGCGACAGGCGAGAAGTCTCGCAGCGTTGGGTTCCGGAGAACCCCCGTCCTAGGACCTGGCCAGCCCCTTTCCGTTGGCGATGGTCGGACCCGCCGTGGCCTGCTCAGACGTGCCCTGGTCCGATCGTTGAGGTCTCCCAGCTTCTCCTGCCATTCCTGGAAGCGACCCTTGCCGGGAATCAAGGATACGGGAGAACTTTGCAGGCCAGCTCGCTCTTTCGCGAGGTCTGCGTCGTCTTGGCCTTCCACGCGCAGCTGCTCGCTGTAGTATCGTAGGTCTTGCCGGAGCGGATAGGTTTTCTGCGGTATTGCGTAGTAAAACGTCAACTCTTCGTCAGCGCAAAGCGACATAGTGAAGATATGTCAAGGAAGCTAGGGGAGACTTACGTCGATCAAATCCTGGCACGTCCATGCCCAGGCAGAACACAGGGCGGCGATCCAATGGTAATATGTCTTGACACACCAAAGAAGTATTAACGACCAGGACGTTCGGAAGATGCGACAACAGGAGGCGCTCCTGGCTATTGAGCGTGTCCGTTACGGACTGGCTGCAATATACTCACAACATGCGCATTATACGGAGTGCAAAACCAAGCGGAGAGCAAGCAGACAACCGAATATAGGAGCATTTTAGCTAGCCGAGAAGGCATCTTGGCTAGCAAATGGGGGATTTTGGTCAACAGAACAGACATTTTGAGGTTTGTCTTCTCATAGAGGCCGATGCGAAAGAGCGGCAGAGGACATGATTGCAGTTGACAGGCTTCGGACAAAGTATTTATGGTCACTGGTGGGTACCTGGTTGTGCCCGTTTGCGGCCATGTTATTTTTTTCTTTGTCGGCAATTGCATTGGTGATGCATACCACAAGAACGTGGCAGGAATTGGTGTTCAAGACAGCAACCTCTAGAATGTGAAAGGATTGGGAGACCCAACTTCCGAAAAGACACCCCACACTTGTCACAGAGCTTCGAAATCATCATTAATGCGTAAAGTTGGTTTCGCAACAGACCTGATCGCGGGCGCTCATGGCTACAAATATTTACACAAACCTCACATGGCCAAAGAAAGGCGTCATGTGGAAGTTGGCTTGGCTGGGCGGGTTCCAAGCCCCCAGCCTCTGGGCGGGGAATGTTTCGGGGGCTGTGATGGTGCGGAAAAAGTTCATCCTCCACTGCGTGCCCTTGGCCTTTCCCTCGTCCACGTTGAACATGAACAGTGGGATCCGCGCGGTCGACACCCACGTCTGGGCGGCCCTGTCCAGCACTGTGGCGGCCGTGACGCCAAAGTCCAGCGGCGAGGGCACGCTGACGTAGGCGGGACCAAAGGGCGAGCCGGCGGCCCTGACCTTGGACGGGTTGAGGATGAAGGCGTTGAAGGTGACGTTGTTGGGGCTGACCTCGAACTCGAAGTAGGTGCTCGGGTCGTGGCGGCCGGCCGAGATGAAGGCCTCCATGACCTCGTACTCGTAGATGGGGTCGTTGAGCGTGTGGTTCGGGTCGAAGTGGAAGTTTGTCTCGTTGAAGGCGGTGAATGTGATGCGGATGGCTGTCGCGTCGTAGCACAGCTCGACTTGGGTCAGGTTGAAGTCGGCCCTGTCCGGCACCGACTTGCTGTACTTCACCGCCGCCGTGGCCGGGCAGGCCGGGACGTTGAGGCTGGGCACATGGGCCTCGGTGCTAGCTTGTCTGATGCTGGCCAGGCTGGGTGTAGCGGCTAGGACCGCGGTAGCCATCAAGAAGCACAGACCGCCGAGCATCATGCTGTAAATGGCGGACAGGGACAAAAAGGGACTTGATCTGCCTTGTATCCGTTGGGAGTCCTTGGAACTGCGTGGATAGTTTTGACGGTGGGAATGCTTCTCGTTGACGGGCAACGGCCAGAGGACAGCCTCGTCAAGGGGCTTTATACCCTTTAAGGATCATCAAGGTCAGACTTTGCAAATAGAGCCGAGCCCTTCGGTCAAGGTAAAAGTCAAAAATCCGACCAAATCATTGTTCGGAGGCGGGACAGTGAAGGTGATTGGATTCTTCACGGGTGAGCTAACCTTGAAGATCTCTACAGAGGGAATGTCGACCTTGGCAGGTCCCATTATGCCGGTCTATCACCTGCCTCTTGTGGGATGAGGGGTCTTTGCAGGGGAGTTTGGTGAAGTGACGAACCCATGGGACCTGCAATGCAAGACAACCTGCGCGGGAGGACAAAACAACGTCGCGTCCAGACGCTGTCAGCAGGCACGACGCTGGGCGGGGCTGTGCTTTGGCCACAGCCATTGGCTGGGTGCAGCTTTCCTGTGCTGGTTCAGGTTGCAGTGGTTACCACCTCTAGTCAATCATCAATCACCAACGGCCCGACGCGACGCCAAATTTCCATGTTAACGTTGCAGATCCTGGCCATCAATAATGTTTGTTGATCCTGCAGGATGGCGACCTTGACGAATGACCTCAACAAGTGCGAGAAATCCATGCGATGCCGCGACGGCAGCCTAGCTACCACTGAAGAGCCGCCCACTCTCCCGTCTCCGTGTCGTGCGTGAGGTTCGTCGCCACGGTGCTGCCGCCCTTGAGGCTGCCCGCCTCGACGACCCCGCCCCGGACCACGGTCCTGTTATTACCAGCATCCCTCTGCAGCCTGTTCTCGCCCGACCGCACCGTGAAGTTGGCGAGCGGGATCTCGAGCCCGTTGGCCGTCGCAATGACGGGCGTGCCGAAGAAGCTGGCCCTGACCTCGTCGAAGCCAACCTCCAGCTCAAAGTAGCCGCGGTAGTACGACTCCTGCCACTGCAGCACGCCGTTGCTCGACTGCAGCGCCTCCGCCGCCGCATTGGCCGCGTCCAGCGTGCCGTTCTGCCCGACCGCGCTGCTCGGCGAGCTGACGGCCGTGCCCGCGAACTCGACCCCGAGCGCCCCGTCGCCCGTCGCCGGGTCGTACGGCCGCCGCGCCGCCAACGCGCCGCCCTCGCCCGCGGGCCACGCCACGTCGGCAACCCACGAGACGTGCGTGTCCCCCGCCAGGAAGATGTTGTTGCCAATCTCCCCCTCTGCCAGCGCCTGTAGCGTCCGGCCCCGGTTGGCCGCGTACCCGTCCCAGGCGTCAGCGTTGACGCCGCCGCCGCCGCCGGGCAGGTCGATGTGGCTGAAGACCACCTGCGACCCGACGACGCGCCAGGCCGCGCCCCGCCGCTTGCTGTCGCGCAGCGTGCGGTAGAACCAGCTCTCCTGGCGCGGCCCCATGAGCGAGCGCGAGGCCTCGCCGCGGATGGCGTCGACGTAGGGCGTGTTCCAGTACAGGTCCGTGACGGAGCGGTCGTAGACGCGCGTGTCGAGCATGACGAGGTCGAGCAGGTCGCCAAAGGCGAAGCTGCGCCACACGCGCAGGTTGTCGTCCATGTCGACCTGCCGGATCGGCATCCACTCAAAGTAGGCGCGCACGGCGTTCATCTTGCGCTGGTCCGTCGAGACGCCGCCCTCGCGCACGAACGAGTCCTCGCTGTTGTTCATGCCGGCCGACCCGGCCTTCCAGGCGTTGTCGGCCACCTCGTGGTCGTCCCACGTCGGGATCCAGGGGAAGCTCTGGTGGCTGCGGTGGAGGCCGGCGTCGGTGCGGTACGTCGCGTGGCGCTTGCGGTAGTCGTACAGCGACACGATCTCCTTGTCCGGCAGGGGGATCCGGCCCAGCGAGTCGCCCCAGCCGTACTGGCCGTTGGCGTATTCGTAGATGTAGTCGCCGAGGTGCACGACATAGTCGACCGAGTCCTTGTTGACGACGTTGCCGTAGGCGTTGAAGAAGCCGAACGGATAGTTGCTGCACGAGTAGACGGCCAGCTTTATGCTGGAGACGTCCTTGCTCCCCCTGGCCGGAAGCGTCTTGGTCCTCCCCAGGGGAGACTTGACGTCCGAGTCGCAGATGCCGAACTGGTACCAGTACGTGGTAAACGGCTTGAGGTTTCTCGCCTCGACCTTGACGGTGTAGTCGATATCCGAGCTGGTATAGGCAGTGCCCGAGTCCGCGGGAGAACCGAGGTCCCTGGACTCGGAGACGCTCCACTGCAGACAGACGGGCGCGGCGCTGGCCTTGACGTACTTTTCCGTCTCGTGGCTGTAGAGGGCCACGAGCCCGGACACGGTGACGTTGCTGCCGTCGTTGTCGCTGCCGGCGGGCGCCGCCCGCGTCCACAGGATGACGCTGTCCTGGTACGGGTCGCCCGAGGCGACGCCATGCGAAAAGTTCAGGGCCGCGGGGTCCCACGGCGAGTTGGCGTAGTGCCGCGCCGCCACCTTACGGATGGACACGCCGAGGCCGGGGTGGTGGGCCGAGGGCGAGAAGTAGTTGATGTTGCCCGTGTACGACGCGAGTGAGCAGCCGGCTCCCAGGCCCGCGAGGAGCGGTCCCGTCGTCATGTTTGGCCTTGCTCTGCTATATCGCAAGCACTGCCGGTAAAGGAGGATGGCGGGACACCAAGCAGCTGGACAGTTAGAACGCACCCTCTTTTACATCCCCGCCGCACTGCACTCATGTGCCCGCCTCCCGCCCGGGGCTAAATGGAGTGCCTGAGCGGCATCGCATTTCGTTCCCTTCCCCAATCGGAGATGGTTACACTGCATTTCGGAATGGTCCAAGCAAAGACGCCACCCCGTAAGCTGGGCAGCAGGGGTATAAGAGGACGTTGAGAGCCCTCCCCCTCGCTGCATGACCGCGTGGGCAGCGACCGGCACTTCGATTGGGTGTTTTTGGGACTTTCGGGCTTCGGAAGCCAGCGCCAACGGTCTCGTGCAGTGTTCCGGACGGGGTTTCTCGGGGCCGGGCGGCACCTACCGTCAACTGCTGATGTCATGAAGCCACATCTGGTATCAGTTCCATGCATTTGCTCGTTGCACTGAATGCGAGATAATCGGGGACTGCGAGGGGGGCTCCTGCAAACGTGGTGGGATTTGGAGTTGTGATTGGGCGCGAAACCGTGTGTGGGAAGAATCCCCCTCTCTCACTAGCTGCAATACCGGAGCCCAAAAGATGGCGAGGAGAAACCCCCACGTTTGTCCTCCAACACCGCCACAAAACTGTTGTGGCTTGATAATCTGGGCATGGTGACAGGAGGAGGCGGCGTGGGAGGTTAAATAGACGAACGCCGACTTGGCGATCAAGAGCAAAAAGGGACGCGGACGTAAAGTCTATTTACCTTTGCACCTCGTCAACCAATGAAACAAGTGTTCGCGACGGCTTCTAGATTGATCCAGCGCCTTCTTAGCCCATGGCAACAGCATCGCGTCACCTTAAACACGGCTATTCTAGAAAGCCAAGCTTTTCCCGTCTTCTTGGCAATCGCGACGAGCTCGAGAGCGGCAACGGTGTACCCGAGAGGCTGGAAGCTCACTCCTAGTTCGAGAAACGGGCCAGGGAGGAAGCTGTATGGGGATCAACTCTGAGTTAAGATAGAGCTGAGCTGCCCAACCAGCATATACGTCAAACACGACACGCAATTTGACATAAGAATAGCATATTAGGACGAGATAGCCATGTCGGGTTGCTTTCGGCCCTGGCGATTGCCTTTATTTAACACAGCATGTGGATGCCCATAGAGTTCGCTGGCACTTGTGTGCCGAAGCCTGTCGACCGCACGTGGCCAGAGCCAGGCCCTCACCTTTTCTCGGTAAACAGTGGCGTATTTCATCAAAGGCGCACCTCCGCTCTCCTCTCGAGGCATCATTGACTGCTGCTCCATGCTTCTCCTTCTCCAGGTTTGCTTTCCCGAAGCTAAACGCCCCCTTACCCCGCGAAAGGAGCCTTGGTGGAGGATACATAGGAGGGGACGCTGTCGAGGACCGCAAGCTCAACCTCTAGACATAGCTCGTCTGTCGGTAGCGCATCCCGGCCTCTCATTGCTGAACCGAGTTCGACCCAGTCTAAACATGGATCGCACATCGAAAAGTTCCACCGACGAGCCACAGAGCTCCGTGGAGCCGGACGCCATCGAGGCCGGACAGGCCGTCATCGATGTGGAGAAGTTGGCGACACAGGAAAGACTGCTGGTCAGCAAGCTGGACCGGAGTATGCTGGTTTGTCCTCCGCTACCCTATTCCCAGATATTCGGCACGGGAGAAAAAGCTGACCATCTCCTCTCACGCCATCAAGCCCATTCTTTTCCTCATGTACTTCATGAACCACATTGATCGCAATGCGCTGCCCCAAGCAAGGCTCGACACCCTCGAAGAGGACCTGGGTCTGCACGGCTGGGACTACAACGTGTGCATCTCCGTTTTCTTCATCGGCTACCTGCTGATGCAGAGTGAGCTCCCTGCTCCTGGATACGCCCGAATCTGCACGTACTAACTCGCATGGCCGATCCGCAGTCCCATCCAACATGTTCATCACAAGAGTCCGCCCGTCTATCTATCTGTCAAGTTGTATGCTAGGCTGGGCATGTCTATCCGGGACGACCGCCGCCGTGAGGGACGCCAGGGGCCTCGCAACCTGTCGGTTCTTCCTGGGCTTCGTTGAAGCGGTACGTTTCGAACCACATACATCAACATCCTCTTCCCTAGCCAAGGCAGCACGCTGACGTACCACCACAAACAGCCCTTTTACCCGGGCGCCCTCTACCTCCTCTCCTCCTTCTACACCCGGGACGAGCTCGCGGTCCGCATCGCCTTCATGTACATGGGCCAGATCCTCAGCTCGGGCCTCGCCGGCCTCGTGGCGGCGGGCGTCTTCAAGGGCATGCACAACGTGCTCGGCCTCTCGGGCTGGCGCTGGCTCTATGCCGTCGAGGCCTCCGTCACCGCCGCCGTCGCCCTCCTCGGCTACTGGCTGCTACCCGACTCGCCCGCCCACACGCGCTGGCTGACGGCCGACGAGCGCGCCCTGGCCGTCGAGCGCGTCGCCCGCGACCGCGTCGCCACCACCACCACCACCGCCGCCGCCCACACCAACCCCCAGCGGCAGCAGCAGCAGCAGCAGCAGCAGGAGGGCGGCGCGACGGCGGCGGCAGCGGCACCGTCCGCGCTCGACGGGCTCTACCAGGCCGCGGGCGACCCGCGCACCTGGCTCTTCTGCCTGATGCAGAACATGCACGTGTCGGCCTGCACCTTCAACAACTTCTTCCCCTCCATCGTGCGCGCCACGCGCCTGGCCCCGGACCAGACGCGGTCGCTGCTGCTCACGGCCCCGCCCTACGTCGTCAGCGGCCTCGCGAGCGTGGCGCTGGGCTGGTCCAGCGGCCGCCTGCGCGATCGCGTCCTGCACACCACCGCCGGGCTGGCGCTGGCTATCGCCGGCTTCGCGCTGTCGCTGGGCACCGAGAGCACAGCGGCGCGGTACGCGGCCACCTTCGTCTACGCCACAGGCGCGTACGCCGTCGGGCCCGTGATACTCGGCTGGGTGGGGAGCACGCTGTCGCAGTCGCACGAGAAGCGCGCCGTCGCCTACGCGCTCGTCAACGTCTCGGCCAGCGTCGCCGCCATCTACGGCGCCTTCCTGTGGCCGCAAGAGCACGAGCCGCGCTACGTCCTGGGCTTCTCGGCCACGGCAGCCTTCGCCGGCGCCAGCATCGTCTGCGCCTGGGTCATGCGGGCGTGGCTCATCAGGCTGAACAAGCGGCTCGACGAGGCCGAGCGGGACGGCGCGGAGCCGCTGCAGCGGTATGTTTACTAACGGGGGCGGTTCTAGGAAAGTATCCGAGTGCCTTGAGGGCAAGCGCGGCGTTTGGCGTCCGGGGAAGAAGGATGAAGGAAAGCCTCGAGGGTAGAAAGATGATGGAACTGGAAATGGAAGTTTTTGCGTGGTCTGGGTTGGGAAATATTAACTTTGACCCAAAATTCTATTCTAGAATATGGAAGAATTTGAAGCATACGTGCTGCCATTTACACACACGACGCAGCTCTAAAAATCCAAGCTCCATTTCCTCCCAATGCATACCGAGACCCAACTCCAGATGCAGCCACAAATGCAGAACAAGGAGAGATTGTTGCAGAAAACGCCCATACATGCATGCTCAAAAGACAGGAAAAGAAACGGACAGAGACGGCCCAAGAAGATGCAAAATCCAAAATGAAGCAAATCAGATGCCAGAGTCGTGCTGCGGGAATGGCATCTTATTCCTGACGGCGTCCCACTCGCGGCACGTCTGCTGAAACACGTGGTGGTCGGGCATGCCGAGCGCGATGCGGCCCTGCGACTCGACAAACTCGAGCGACAGCCCCTGCCCGGCGTGCCAGGCGATGTGGCAGTGCACCAGCCAGGCGCCCGGGTTGTCGAGCTGGAACGCGATGGCTAGGTGGCCCCCCGCGGGCAGCATGGCCGTGTCGCGCCGCGCCGGGTTCTTGGTGTTGAAGCCCCGCGGCGTGCCGTCCCACTTGGCCTTGCTCTGCGATAGCACCCAGAAGTCGTGGCCGTGCAGGTGGATGGGGTGGGTGAGGCTGTGGGAGGGGAGGGGGGTTAGTACTTGAGTGTCATGTTTTCATGATGGGCATTGCTCTGGGAGCATGGGGAGAGAACATACGGGATTTCGTTGCTCTGAATCACCAGCGTGAACCACTGCTTGCTGGGGCCGTAGCTGGCGGGCTGCGCGGCGGTTGTCAGTATTAGGGCGACAAGAGAAAAAGTGCAAAAAAAGGGGCCGCGAAACTAACCTCTGCCTTGATCACGTTGTACTTGGTCGGGAAGATGGACTGCCTGTCAAAGATCCTCTCGAGCGTGGGGTCGTGCCAGTCGAGGACGAGGCTGCTGTTGTTCAGCGTCCACTGGAACCAGTTCTGGCCCTCGGCCGGGGTGCCGTTGGGCTTGAAGCCCAGGTCTGACTGCACGATCTCGCCCATGTGCGTGACATCCAGGGCGACGTGGGGCACGAGTTTCTTGGGGTCCTCGTCTGAGCAGGTCTCGTCGACAACCACGTCCGAAGTCGTCTTCGGGTCGGCCTTGCTCTTCTTGTCGTAGCGGATGATGCCCGTGACGCGCTCCCGCAGCGCGCCCGTGTCGCCGGGCACGCAGCTCATGCCGCTGCGGAGCCAGTAGTCGCCGGGCTTGGCGTTGGCCTCGACGATGACGTCGTAGCGCTGGCCGATGCTGACCCTGACGCTCTGGGTCTTGAAGGGCTTGATGGGAACAAGGTCGTTGGAGACCACGATGAGGGAATGCCCATCGATGGAGAACTGGAAGTGGGCGTCGGCCGAGTTGTTGATGATGCGGATGAGGTGCTTCTTGCCCTTCTTAAAGGTGGCCGAGAACTTCTTGCCGCCGCCGAGGCAGTTGGTGTCGGTGCTGTTCTTGCAGTCAAAGGTGTTGGTGCCATTGATGAGGCCGTTTGCTGGCAGCGGGCCAGCTCCCTTGCTGGCCACGTTTTCCCAGCCGTGCCAGGCCGTGTCATGGTCCCAATCTTGCAGGAAGAGGGTACCCAGGTCCTCGTCGTAGTTGGCCGTCGTAGGGCCGTAAAAGATCATGGGTCCGAACAGCCCCTCGGTGTACTGCAGCGAGAAGTGGCTGTGGTACCAGGTCGTGCCGTACTGGGTGACTCTGAACTTGTACGTGAGGCTCTTCCCCGGAGCAATGGGGCATTGCGTGACGCCGGGCACTCCGTCGTACTCGACTGAACCCCTTTGGTGAAGACCGTGCCAGTGGATAGCAGTACCGTTGGTTTTCATGTTGTTGGTGACGTGAATGACAAGGTTGTCGCCCCAGTTGGCCCAGATCAGGGGTCCGGGGAAGGATCCGTTGAAGGTCTGGCAGTAACGCTTGTACCCATCGTTGTTGCAGATCCCTTCCTCTACCGAGAGCCAGTACTCGCGCGTCACTCCAGTATCCGGGGCGGTCTCGTAGTAGTTTGTATCAATCGAGTGCTTGCCCCAGCAGTTCCTAGACTTGGGCCCATTCTTGCAGCCCGAGTCTAGCGGTTGGTGTGGATGGTGTGGCTTGGGGTGGTGCTGGCCTGAGGACGACGACACCGAAGAGTTCGCGGGAGTGGCCAGAGCTGCAGAGCCGCAGACAAGGGCGAAAAGAGAGACGACTAGAAACTTCATCTTGAACCTGTGGCGAATGAAGGGTTGGTGATTCTGATGATGATCTCGGAAGCAAATCGATAAGAAATGGGCTGACGAGGACCGTCTTTATAGACGTAGAAGAGGACATGGCTGCCTAGCCTCAAGATGTAGCGCAGGACCAACCCGAGGTGGTCACCAAGAGGGCCGGTGGCTCAGGGCTGACACTGGTGGATAGCCGACCTGATTGCATCCTGATGGAGTCTTCCCTTGACAAGGGAAACGACGTCAGCAGACTTCCCGCTCCCACGTCCATGCCCACTAGAGCCATGCAGATTCGAAGGAAATGTCGTCCTCGTGAGCGATCAAGTCGGGCTCTATCGAACCATCCCTCCACATTGCAAGCGGCTGAAGGCAGAATCAGCCTCGTATGGGTGGCTTGGTGCTCATCTTGCGGGCCGCCCGAGAACGGGGTGGTTTCCGGGACAGGAAACATCTTGCCGGCTCAGGCCGGTGCCTGGAGAAACTTAGCGAACCTGGAGGCCCGTGTGCTCCGCCGAGGGTCACTGCATAACGATGACAGCGAAGCGCCTGCAAGGGCGAGGGTTGCTAGCATGATAGCGCTTGGTATGATGTGAGCTCCGGTCGCCAACAAGAGGGCTATGGAGAAGTGCAGTACCAGTCGAAAGCTGTTGGGCAGTGGCCTGGCACGTCTAGCAGAGACCCGCAAAACCTCAGTTCGCAGCCAGTGTTTGGTGGCAGTCACTGTGGCGCAGATGCCCGGATGAGCGTAGCTGCATGGCACTAGAAGATGGGAGAGCAGTTTCGAGATGGCAAGCCTGGCGCTGAGATATCGCAGGTGTGGTGGCAGGTCGAACGATTGCGGAGAGCAAGTCCAGTCATAGGTAAATCGGCCCTCGTGCTACCCACCATGAGGTCCCATCAGGAGGTGTGACGGCGTCGATGAGGGAGGGCAAGCCAGATTCGCTGGGAACACGAACCAAAAGTCCGGGAACGAGGTCGCAAAGGAGGGTCGCAGAGACCTGGGATCGGCTGCCAGGGGAGGGGGCTGTATTTTTGGAGCATCCCTGCAGTAGGTAGGCCACTAAGCGTAAGGCTGAAGGTGGTGGGCGTCACCACCACGACGCACACATTTGCGCCAATGACCGGGTCAGACGACCTTGAAACATGCGGGGAGGACGTTGGCTGCCAGCGGTCCGCGCAATGGGGAGCATTGCAGGGATGAACACAGGCTACACAGTCATGCGCAGCTCCCAGCTGGGCGCCCGCAAGAGGAGAGAACCCGTCTTGGAAGGAAGCGGCCACATCAGAAGCCGAGGTTGGACGCCTGCGGGACGGTTGCTGGCCTCCTCCTCAGCCCCGGAAATGGGACGGTTGCGGATGGAATCGATCGGCAGCTGGGCCAATGTAACGAAGCACCGCACACCACAGCGCGCGAAGGAGCAGCAAGCAACGTGGCTGTGCTGCAGAGTTCCTTGCCCACGAGAAGATGGCCATCCTTTGGCAGGCAGCTAGCTTGTGCCACTTCGTGAAATATCAAGAATTTCGTTAAGCTCCAGGGCAAAAACGGCAGCCAGGATGGTGGAGTCAGACGCCAGATTTGGCTTCTGAGCTGGCTGGCAGACGCGCCGCTGTCATCAAACGCCGCTGTCAGTGGCTAGGATCCGGGCTCAGCTCCGTTAGCCATATGCATGTCAGACGAGTGCAGGCTGCTGTGAAAACCGCCCACTGGCGTGAGAGCGAGTCAGGCCTCAATCGGCGCAAGAGCAGAGCAACTCGGAAAGAGACGCTGTGCGACGAGCCCTTGCCATGGCCAGGTCACGTGAAGCATCGGCTAGAGTCACGTGGAGGTATGATACTCGCCTGACAGCGATGACCTCACTTGGGATGGAGGTAGGTACCTGCCCGTGCTACAATCCTCCAAATAGATCAAGGGAAAAGGGAAGCAGCTAAAAGGTACGAAAAGGAGTTAGTATTTCATGCGCCAACCTTCGCCTGCCAAGTCCATGTCCAGTAAATATGCAGCACTGTGTTGCAATTTGTGCCTTCCATGGTGTTCCTCTGCCGGCCCCACTCTCCGTCGCGTCATCCCTGTTGATTTTTGGCGACTGGCAGCGCAAGTCAGTGCCCATCGAGCCTCAGCCACCACAACGACATTGGAGCATCGTTGTCGCGACAGGCCCCAATCCACAGCCCCTTCCGCTGCTCGACACAGCTGCGCCCTAGACCGACCCCGACGATGGATCGCATGAGCAGAATCTCGTTTGATCCCTCCAAGCTCAAAAAAACTGCCGCTGCACACTATTCGTCGTCAGACGACGACGACCACGACCACGACCACGACGACAACACCTTCCAGATCCCATCCACGAACCCCAACGCCGACGAGTTTCTCCATCACAACCCGCGGAAGCGGCGGCGGACCGGCCGTGACGCCAAGGAGAGCGCCGCGCTGGGTATATTTGGCTCCGAGAGCGAGGATGATGGCCCTGGGAGCCGCTGGAAACACAAAAACCTCAGAAGCAGGGGCGTCGCCTTTGTCTCCAGCAGTAACAAGAAGGACGACGAGGATGGCGAAAACGGCGCGGAAGACGAGGATGACGACGACGACGACGACGACGACGACGACGCGAGCCAATACCCAGGCTTAGGCACCGTGCGACCAAGTGCGGGTGACGACGAGGAGGATGTCGACGAGCTGGACGACGATGCCCCCGCTGCCGGGCTCGGCCTCGGCTTCGCTGCACAGCGGGTGGCACAGGACTTTGGCTGGTCTGCCGGCAACAAACCAACACAGACGTTTGGCAGACCGACCCAGAAGAACGGCTTCAGTGCAAATAATCCCCTTGGGCGTGGTTTCGTCCCCACCTCGTCGTTCATGCCAGAACTCAAGGTCCAGGATGTCGAGGAGCCCCCTGCCGTCATCTCTCGGCCCAGCGCCTTCTCGGCGGCCAAGGGAAAGAAAGGCGCAAAGGGCGCGGCAGGCGGCGGGGTCAACCCCGGCTCGTTCGGCGCCAGGATGATGGCTAAGATGGGCTACAAGGAGGGCACCGGTCTGGGGAAGGAGGGCCAAGGTCGCAACGTTATCATCGAGGCGAACCTTCGTCCGCAGAGAGCTGGCTTGGGTGTGGTGAAGGAAAAGACAGAGTCGGAGCGCCAGGAGGAAAAACGCCAGGCGAAGCTCCGAGGCGAGGTTGTGATCGACTCCGATGAGGAAGCGAAGAAGCGCAAGGCAGCTCGCAGGAAGAAGATGCTCGGCGGCGGGACTGGAAGCACCCCCGCGAGCGGTGCCAGTACACCCAAGCGACACAAACCGAAATACGTCACTATGGATGAGGTCAGGAAGGCTGCGCCGGGACTTAACATCCCAGATGCCTTTACGCCGATTCTGGACTTGACGGGCCCGGGCAAGAAGCTCCTTACCAGTTCATCCGGCCTGATGACCCCGACAGGGGCCGGGGCCGCCGAGACGACTGAGCAGGTCGAGTCAAGAAAGCTTGTCAAGCGCGCGCAGAACCAGTTTCTGGCCATCGTGGAAGAATGGCAGAGCCTGCAGGAGCGCAAGGCATACGCAGAGCTGCAGCTAGAGCAGGAGAGGCAGGAGCTGGAGGAGCTCGAGCGCGACATGGCGGGCTACAAGTCTATCACCGACCAACTCAGTCTTGTTTCGCTGTCAAGCGAAGACCAAACCGACGCCACTTACCGGTGGAACCACGTCATCGCCATTCTGAAGGTGACCGTCGCCGCGATCCCCGAGTCGTCTCGCGACTCACTTGGAGGCCAACTGGCATCAACTGCCGTTGCAGCTCTCCACCCTGTTTTCCGAGAAGCCATGCAAACATGGAACCCGCTGGAGGACACGGGCGCCCGTTTTGCGTCAGATCTGGACTCCATCAGAGACCTTCTCGGCATCCAGCAGCTCCAAGACGATCCGACACTATCGAAACGGTCGCACCACCACCGAAGACCAGCGGCGACGGCTTACGAGGCAATGATGTACAAGCTGTGGCTGCCGCACGTGGCACGTGCAGTGCGCGAATGGAACGTCCGCGAGTCTGACCATATGGTCGCCCTGTTCGACACGTGGACTCCCCTCCTGCCATCCTTTGTGCGCAGCCAGCTCCTAGAACAGGATATAATCCGCAGGCTGGACGAGGCCGTTGCCAAGTGGGAGCCCAAGAGACGCAAGCACCACCAGACTCTGCCTCATATCTGGCTCTTCCCCTGGCTGCAGCACTTGCCCGCGCGTCACCTGGACCCCAGGGCCTCCACGGGTCTCGTCGCCGATGTCAAGCGCAAGTTCCGGCAGCTCATCGACGTCTGGGAGTTTGATCGCGGCGTCGTGCCGGGTCTGGTCAAATGGAAGGACGTCCTGCGCCCCTCACGCAGAGACGACCAGTGGCGACCGCTGGTCATGAGCCACGTGCTGCCGAGCATGGCGCGGTATCTGCGCAAGAAGTTGGGCATTGACCCACTCTCGAACGACGACCCCATCTTGACGGGCATCTTGGACTGGCTCGATGTCGTATCACCCAGTGCCCTCGCAGAGATGCTCGTGGCCGAATTCTTCCCCGAGTGGCACGAGTGGCTCTACCGCATGTGCACCGCCCAAGTTTTCGATATTGGCGAGACCCTCATGTGGCTGGAGCTATGGCGTGACGCCCTACCCGCCGACTTGAGGGACAGCGCCCCCATCGCGGCCGAACTTCGGAAGGGCGAGCAGGCGCTGGAGCTCGCCAGTGGGCTTGTCGATAGGACCATGCTCGCACCGCCCGACCACGGTCCGGCCCTGGCTGTTCCGACGAGCAAACACGCGCGCTCCTCCCAGTCTCAGACTCCAGTTCGCAAAGAGGCGCCGCCACCCGCCGCGCCTGCGCCTGCGAAACCACAGACACAAGCCGCCACCATCAAGCAAGCTGTGGAGGACAAGTGGTGCCAGGCCCACGATTTGCAATTCATACCCGAGTTCACCAAGGTCCACTCCAAGGGGCCCCTCTACAGGATCACGTCGCGGGGCGACGGCAAGGGCGGGGTGCTGGTTTACTTTGTGGACAACACGCTCCGATACGACGCCAAGGGAGGGCGCACTATTATCATTAGCACCGAGGAGGGCTTTTGGGCCGAGTTGGTCCAGTCTGGACTTGTTGGTTGATTCAGTCCGAGGACGGACCCACAGCCAGGCCGCCAATCGCCCGAGGATCAGTCCGCTCATCTCCATGCCATGCATCCGTGGGACATGCGTCTGCGGAGAAGACTGTCGACCCCGTGCGGGCAAATCAGAGCTTGAGCTTTTACGACTACATCGATGTTGGTCTAGCGCCTCCTTGGCGGGGGTAAAATGCGGACACAGACGCTTCATACAAGGCCACAGCATCCTGCCTCCAATTAGATTATCGCTGTTAACTCGCCAACCATGTTACCAAAAATGATCGAGACTGCGGGCAATATTCTCGCCTTGAAATCGCCGAAACCCTCCCGATTCTGGCCAAAGTGCTGCGTCCAAAAAGGGCCGGTCCCCTACTGGAAGTGGATCGCCGTACGCCCCTCGCCCTAGCCGAGACCTGCATGAGCGAGTGGGAACAGAGCCAAGGATTTTGCCCACCATGCAACCGCTCCCTCGGTAACTTGCCTGTCATCCGTTCCTCGTTTTTTTTTGGGGGTTTTTTTTTGCCTGGGATTTTGACCAATCCTTTCACCCCCACCCGTTGCTTACTGCGGCTGCCTGGAGACCTGCGTTCAGCAATGAGGGATCCGATCCGTTTTTGGGAACAATCTCCCCAGTTGACCGGGTATAATGGCAGTTGGCAAAGTTTCCGGCTCCCAGGCCAGGCTATGAGGACGGCTCGACTGGCCCTTGGCCGGTCAGTGTCTGGGCCCTGAACTTGGCCTGGTTGGCATCTCAGCTCATATCTCGACAATGCTCCTGTACCGAGCATGTCACGTCAGCAGCGCATACCATGAGGGCCGCTCACCGCTCTTCAGCCTTGGTGGCCTCTGACCCCGCCGCCGTTTACACAGATAATCACCGAGGCATCATCTGCCCTTCCATTTTTATTCTCAACCCCGATGGCGCGTCTCCACCCCAAAGTGCAGACTACCTGCGGATGAGTGATCAAAAGAGAGATTAAAAGACAGTTCAGCCCACATCACAATCCATGCTAATTATCTCATGTTTCCCATGTCACCATGCGTTATCCGGCCAGGAGCAACGCCGCCTACCCCGCCACGAGGTGGCCTTAATACCGGGCAATATTGATTCAGCTGCCAACGACACGCGGCGCTTTCCTATTCCGTCCACTCGTTCTCCTACCCCTGTTTCCCCGGCCGGTGTTCTCGTGGCTTCAGTTCGGCCATCTTTCGGGCCCCCAACGCGCCGCATGGGGATATTGGTGGGTGGGTGCGGCATCCTTCGTGCTGATTTGACAAGGGCGCCACACCGTATATCAACTCCCGAGACCAGACACGACGAGACAGACGCAAGGGAGCCACCGGGGCGGGGACCCACGTTGCACGGCACCTTCGCGCGGCCCGCGCTTCACTCGATCTCCAGCACAGGACGAGATCATGAACATCGGTGGCCACAGCTCCCCAGATCCAGTCTCTGGGCCTCGGAGTAAGCAGACCCTCGGCAGGGGCGGGGGATCGCCTCTGAACGGGGGCGCGAGGATGCAAACCCCAAAGCTGGCCGAATGCAGAGGCCCCCCTCCCTGACCACGTATCTCGTGGCAGGAGGGGCTACTCCCTCGCGCATCTGTCGTGCATGCGCACTGCTACGCAACACAACAGCCTGCGAGGAGTTTGGATCCCTGCTATCTGTGGAGGGGGAACAATGGTGACGTTTTGGGGTTGCTGCTGCTGTGGTGTGGGTGCGAACGGCTGCAGATGCGCGTTTGGCGAGCCTAGCTAAGGGCTAGAGGGTAAGAAGAAGAAAAAAGCGAGGAGCAAAAAAAAAAGGCAAAAAAGGAACACACCCAATAACATCCATCGGCTTACTAGGGCGTTTTGCAAATCCCTCAGAAACCTAGTCCTAGCCACGCCTGCCAGCTCCCGACTTAGCGTTCAAACCGGAAAGGCTATCCCATGTCGCTGGAATCCGGGCAAATTTGCCCCCAACCCGATTCAACCCATCCGCGTCCCTTTCAGCCCCAAAAAAAATACGGGCCCCCAATGGCCCAGTGCCTTGGTCTCGCTGTTCCCGGGGCATCGATCCTGCCGACCACAAGGAGGATATCCACCCTCTTTATATAGGGGGCTCCGGCCCATGGGGCTCTCCATGGGCCCGGTGGGTGAAGAAACGCTCTGCTGGATCTGCCGCGACTGCGACTTTGGAAGAGCCAAGGTACAAACAGCGGATCGGCATCGGTTTGCAAGATCGCTTATCCTAGTGGACGAGAGGTTGCACCGCATCCCTCGCTGACGATCAAAAGCTTCGCCTCTTTCGACTATCGGACCTGGCCGCCACTGCCTATACCCGATCACCATCTCCACAAACGAGGAAGGAAAGAAGACAGAAGGGAATAAAAGAGAAGCAGCAAAGGGGAGAGGTGCAAGAAAACGAGGACGAGAACGACTCAGACAGACAAAAAAATCGAGGAGGGAGGGAACCAAAATACGTACCTGCCCGATGCATCTCCGGTCGATACTCATCATGGACGGCGACTCCATGGACGGCATCGGCAACAGCAGCAGCGGCAGCGGCGCGGACCGGCACCCGGATTTCCCGATGCTGCCGGCCGACACGCGCACGGACCGGGACGGCAACCCCGTCTACCACGGGGCTATGCGGCTGCCGCGCCCGGCCGACCGCCGCGCCGTCTGCGAGTTCCTCGGCCTGGCCAACGCCATGTGCGCCGGCGTCGTGGCCCACGCCGCGGCCCGCCTAGGGGGGGCGGCCTCGTTGTCGGCAGAGGGCGTCGTGCAGGTGCTCGTCGAGTCCTATCTCTCCAGGGGCCGGCCTGGGGGCCCCGTGGTTCCGACGCGTCATGGTATGTATTGCCACGCACGCCCCCGTTTTGTTTTCGCTGGTTTTTTGTTTCCCTTTTTTTCCCCATAAAATACACTCTATCTCTCAAACGTGGCTACCATGAACAAGACATCGAGACGCGTAAAAAAAACCCTTTACCCACCACAGTTCCAGCCCCATCCCCTTGGATTTCATTTTATTTAGTCCCCAACTTTCCCCAAAACCCAACCCTCCACCATCCCACACCGGCCCTTCGAGGCCCTCTCGCCTCTCTCTCCGCACCGTAAGCTTACAAAAAAAAAAACCCCCCGCAACGCCAGGATCCCAAGACGACCAGGGCCTGCAGCCCCGCTTCGCGGCCGGCATCGGCGGCCGCGTCGAGATTGCCCCGACCTGGGCCAGCCACATGGTCGACTCCTCGTCTCCCTCGGTCTCCGCCACGACCGTCGCCGGCGGCCCGGCCTCCCCACCGCCCCACCAGTACTTCAGCACGCTGTTCCGCACCTCGGCGCGCGAGGACGCCGACGCCATCGTCCGCAGAAACGCCGAGGTGCTCATGCACCTGTGGGGCCAGCAGCAGCGGCAGCAGTAGCAGCAGCAGCAGCAGCAACATGCGTCCGTGCAGAGCTACTTACAACGAACGAAGGTGGGGAGAGGAGCCAAGAGGGTGTGTGGGCATCTCCGTCATTGTGCGGGAAAGTGGTGCGGACATTGGCGGCTGAGGCGTTCCGGCCTTCATCCACCTCTGCTGCCCGAGGAGCTGGAGCGATGCATCGTTGCCTTTGGAGGCATGTCCGAGAATGACCATGATGGTTTGACGACTGACGACTGATAGAGGAGATACATGGTGCATGGCCGAGAAAGGGGAATAGAGCATAGCGTGGAGTTGGTCTGCTGTTTTATACCATCTGCTGCCAATCATACACTCTCGGCCAAACTAGATAGGGGATAGACTGGGATTCCAGGGAGCGTTAGAGACAAGACGTGTAGGGAGTCTATCGCTCACTACATTTAGAAAGCTAGACGAGATCAAGGACTTCGTAGAGCATCAGAGTTGTCACACAGGTATAATAATAATAATACTTTTGATAAGTAGCTTATGAGCACTGGTAACATGGCAGAGGTATCACAAAGAAAAGGTATCCAATCCAGACATACATAACCAGGGGGGCAAACATGCCGCACCCAGGTTGACACTCCTCAGATGAGACAGCATTGATACGGCTCCGCGTGTCATCACCCAGCACACTTGGTCCACCATAGTGCTCGAATAGGATCAAACAAAAACGGTGTGCCAAATGCGCTTCCAGGTGGGCATGGCCGCCAGCTCGGCACGGTAGGCGTGGATCTCGTCCCAGGGGAGCTCGCGGCGGCCCGAATCGACATCGATCTGCTCCGTCCTGAGCCAGCCCTCTCTCTTCCAGAGGTATCCGACGATCCAGAAGAAGATGACGACGAAGAAGGCGAGGAAGGCCGAGAAAAAGTCCTCAGCGCTAGCAATCGTGGGCTCCTGGCCTTCCTTGGGGGCAGGCGCGATGGCGGAGAAGAGCTGAGCGGCCAGGACGAGGAAGCACATGGTCAAGCCAATGTAGGAGCCCCAAATGCCGCCGATGGCCCTGAATGGGATCTCGTCCACGGTGTGACCGTGGTGGGCCCAGGCTTTGCGGAACCGGATGTGCGACAGGCAAATCGAGCCCCAGGTGAAAAGCGCAGCCAGGGATGAAAGCGAAAGCAGCCAGTTAAAAACGACAGTACCCTGGGCGTTCATGTTGACGAAGCCGAGAAGGCCGAAGGCGATAATGATGCCCACGCTGTAGAGTGGGCGGCCAGAGCGGTCGATGTAGCTGAAAATTTTGGGGGCGTAGCCTTGCTGGGCCAGAGCCGTCAGGGTACGCGATCCACCGTACACAGCCGAGACACCGATAGAAAGGACAGAAACGAGGATGGTGATGTTCATAAAGTGATCGAAACCAACGAGGCCGGCATATTTTCCGACGAGCACGAAGGGAGATGCGGCGACATCGTGGGAGCTGGCACCGAGCAGGCGCGGGTCGTTGGCGCTGACCAGAAGGCCGACGAAGAAGAGACCAAGGATGTAGAAGCTGCGGCGTACGCGGTTAGCAAATGTAGCCATCGTGGTGCAATAAAAATAGCACAGTGCACCGCGGTGTACGACTTACAGAGTAATACGCCAGAACACCTGCTTGATGGCGCCGGGCATCTCCTTGACGGGGTTGCGCGCCTCAGCAGCGGCCAGGCCGACGAGCTCGGTTCCACTGAAGGCAAAGGCGGCAGTGACGAAAACACTGCAAAAGCCGCGGAAACCGTTCTTGAAAGGGGGACTCTCGTGCCAGAGGCGGTCACCCCAGTATTCGCCGTAACGGCCGCTCTTGGGACCACCGCCAAGCACGAGGACCAAGGCAATGACGAGAAAGACGATGGTTGCCCCCAGCTTGAAAACCGAAGACCAAAACTCCTCCTCGGCATAGCCGAGCGTGCCAAAGATGTTGACGATGACGATAGCAAGCCAGAAGACGGCGATCCAAACACCGACGCTGATGTCCGGGTTCCAGTACTGGATGGTGATACCGCAAACTGTGAGCTCAAGTGGCAGGACGATAGCCCATTGAAAGACGTAGTTCCAGCCCATGGCAAAGCCCCAGGACGGGTCGATGAACCGGTTAGAGTAGGTGTAGAAGCCGCCAGAAACAGGGTACATGATGGCCAGCTCGCCGAGAGCGTAGACAACGTTGAACATCATGACACCGATAATCAGGAAGTTGACGAGAAGCGCACCAGGGCCCTGAACAGCGAAGTCTTGTCAGTACGCGCCTTGACGTGGACGGCGGATCAAATTTGAACTTACACCCTTGGAAAGAGCGCCACCGGAACCGACGAAGAAACCAGCACCGATCGAGCCACCTGTCGAAGCGGGTCAGTAAAGCAGCGCAAACACGACATCTAGAATGCAGGGAGACTGCTCACCAATGGCAATCATGTGCAGATGCCTGCCCTTCATGCTCTGCTCCAGATCCACGATACCAGTGCCATACTCCCTCCGTTGGAAAGACTTGAGGGAGAGGCCATTGCGGGTCCAGAAGTCCTCCTGGCGGAAGTCAACGGTGCCGGCCTCGGGCTTGGAAACAGCGTCCGGAGACGTCTGCTTCTTGGGCTCGACGCCAATCTCCTCGTTGGAGGAGGACATATTGACAGCAATTCTCGCGGTTGCGGGTCTCAAATGCGCGATCTTGGTAAATCCGGGGTATGGTTCGATCGGACGGTGCTAATGATGTCACGGCCACGTGCGTCGCCGAGGGCAGGACTCGATCGAGGAACAAGAATAAGGATTAGGTGTGGGAAATTCCACCATAAGAACTGGGGATTAGGTAAAAAGGCGGGCAAGGTAGGCCGGGCCAAGCTTGCTCGCGGGGAAGTGGCGAGACTAGGAGGAGCGATTCCTCTGGGGGAAAGGAGAGAATGAGGAGGGAGAGGGAGGGCGCGGGCCAGCAGAGCAGGGAGGAAAGTCGGGGTGTGGTTTCTTTTATGTAAAAAATGCGGAGGGATTCATTAAGTTGTCACTGGGGAAGACCAGGGAGGGTCGCTGTCGTGGTTCGGCCCCGCAGCCAGATTATCATCTTGTCTCTGACTGGAGGGCGACGGCCGTTCGAACGTCGGGAGGCCATTGACTTGATGGGCCCCGACAGATGAGCAGCGAGCGTAGTGGAGGGTGCAAGGGAGAGGTGGAGGGGGGCGGTGCAGGGAAGGCCAGTCGGGAGGGCGAAAGGAGAAGGCGAGGAAAGAGCAACACACATCCTCGGTTCATCAGGAAGGAGCGTGGGAGCGCAGACTTGTCTCAGAGGTCCCACCAAAGAGACGAGCAAACTACTAGGAGGACTTCCTTTCTAGAACACCGACCCGCTCATCCATGCAGGCGGCCAGACCAACGAAGGCGAGATCAGCGCGCGCGGCCAGTCGGAGGCGTCAGGGCTGCAGCATGAAAGGAGGAGGGCTCCTCTATACCATCTTGTCCCTCCTGGATCCGATGCTTCTCCCACCCGTCGCTTGCCATTGGCGCTGCTTTCGCCCAGGTTCTCAGGTTCCTGACTGTCAACATCAAGCTCCTGTTTACCTCGCTCCCTTTGTAAATCGGAGGCGGCGGCTAGACGTGGACGCGCAGCTTCGTCCCATCCCGCCCTGGTGTTTATTCGACTCGCAGTGGCCCGGCCAGGTCGCGTTTGCTGCACTGTCTACGGACAGACGTCTGTGGGGCCCGAACGGCAGGAATACGAATCCCTGGCAGCATGACATGTGTCAGGGATTACACGCGCTTGTCCACTTTTCATCACCGAGCCCGATCAGGAAAGGGGAAGCAGCGGGTAACACAACCAAGCAGAGGGCGTTGTGGGCATGCACGTCGGGCGCACCGGCCCTCAAATTCAAACCTAGAAAGGGGGATGTTGTTGGGGTCGGCTCCACACTGATCTAAACCAAAACGAACCAAGTTTCCCCATGTTCTGATAGCCAAGCCGCTAAAGCCAGCAGAATGCCCCCTGCCTCGGGCAATTCGCGGCGGGCGGCTTTTGGCGAGGAAGGAAGGAAGCGGCCGCCCAGCACACCAAAGACTGCAAATGCCGCGGTGCCGAGAGAGCCTGGCCGCTCGCATATGCGAATGACACTGCGCCCGCCACGCTCTCCCGCCTAGGCTAGATCTTTTGGGTTGCATGGAATTTTTAAGCCCCTTAATCCCCATCGACAGCTCTGAAAAGAAAATATAGAGATATTGTAATTTTTGGGCAACAGGCAGCATGCATGGCGACAATACTTTCCCTACCATATGCAAACCAATTTGAAGAATTAAACTTTCCCCGCCCCGCGAGTCAGCCGCCAAAATATCCCGGCGTTCTGGCCAGCGAGTCCAGCCTGGCGGCGCTGCTATGCCCCGCCGTTTGCATACCGGAGCAGGTGGCAGTGGAGTTTGTCGTCGCGTGCTTGATAACTGTGTTGCGGAGTCGCGTGTGGGAAATATTACATAAGGTGTCCAGGATCACAAACACTAGTGCGGTGGATCCTTCTTAATTAAGCTACGTACCCAGATACATTTTCCACCATAAAAAGTCCTGCTAAAATAGTGTACCGCTCCCCGCAGCTCCACTAGTGGGTTTGTGGAAAATGGAGATGCGAGTAGTGATACATTGATTTGGCGGGATTTTCTATGGTAGAAAATGTATCTGGGTACGTAGCTTAATTAAAAAGGATCCACCGCACTAGTGTTTGTGATCCTGGACACCTGTAATGGCATTGACAAAGTATCCCCGTCCTATTGGGCCCAAAGAACAGTGTTTGCTTGTGGCCCAGAGTGACAATCCGATCCGGGCACGATGGCTAGGTGGGCACCTGCCTTCCAGCTGATAACAGACAATGATGGTACCATCTTCAGTCAATCCAAAACGACACGCTAGATAAAGACTCACTCCGCCAATCCTTGCCCATCTTGATCAGGTCTGGTGGGTGGCCGGTGCGATCTCGGTCGGGCAGGCCGGGCCAATGCCAGCGCTCGGCCAAATGAATGGCCTGCTCTATCTTTCCGCGCGAGTAAGGTCTTGGCCGGTTGTCACCCAGCCCGGTGGATCAACGTGGGCGAATCGTGTTTCTCAGCAGGTTGCTGATGAACGGGCCATCTTCGCTTTTGATGCCAGCGCCAATGCCAACGCCAACGGCGGCGACCCCTACTTGGCAAACGGGAGAGCCAACAGCAGGACGTGCGCTTGACCGAGGCACGGACTTGAGAGATTTTGGTCGCGTGACTACTCCCACGCCGCCCACCCTCGATATCGCAGTCAGAAAAGTACGTAACTGCCGCGGCCGTTCCCATTGGTGTTTATGGCAGAAGGCGAAACGTATTAGGATAATAGATGACGCCACCTTGCAGTGTGGCTGCCGCCGACCACACCATCTTTGCCCAATTTCTCTGCTTACTGGTTTGCTTTCCCGTTTGAACATCCCGCCACGAGCTCCGACATGCACACCTCCCAGCCTTTTTTTTCTCTCCTTTTTTGCCTCCTTTCCAAGACCCGCCCCGACCCGTCATTTCCAGCACCAGGTTGGCCCCTGCTCGTGAACTCTCCAGGCCCTCAAAAGGGTCCTTGAAATTGGCCCGATCCGACATGCAGGCCGCTTTCGTCGCCACCCACATCGCCCTTCCGCCGCCGGGTCAGCATTCCCCTTGCCAACTTCCCCAGCCCGCCAAGCGGTCTGCGCGCAGAAGGAGGCTTCCTCGCGCTCTTCCACTGCTGCAACTCGACGACTAGTTGCAACGTCTTGATGCTACCACGCCCTAATAACTAGTAAGTTGTACGGCTCTCCCCATGTAGGGCAATAGCCCGAAAAAAAAGCGTTGCTAGCGGAAAATGGCTCCACTACCAACCACACACACACAGGCTCCATCACCATGTAGCAATCGGATCCTTTCCACCTTATACATCATGACTTTCAAGCCTTTGTCTGCGTTTTCCTATATTTCATGGCGGAGCCGCTCGGGTCATCACCGTCACCCGGCCCTGCAATCGACGGAACGCTATGTTCGACGTGGCTCGACGAGGCCCGGAGATGGAACCAGTCCCATGCGTCGGGCGGCTGGTCTCGCCATTGTGTACGGGGGAAAGAGTTGGTAACTTAGCCATCGTCCGTGTCTCTCGCCGTGCCCGACCATATGCATACTTAGTCGCTTTCCCCAGGTGCCTTTTGGGATCGTAGTAAGGAAGCGGCATGGCTTTCGGCAAACTTTGGAAGAGTGCCACGATAGTCGCTTTGTCATTGACGCCGGAGCTTTTCAGCAATGGGCTCGTCGTAAAAATAATTACGCAATACCTAAACAGTAGCTGTAAGCCGCCGCCGCTAGCAGGGGACCAAATGCTGGTCGTCAGGGTCTTTGCCGCGGCGTCGGTATCTGGAACGACACGGACGGGAGGAGATTTAGCACCTCGCTAATCAGCAGCCCGTCGCGTAGGCTGGGCTCAGATCCGCCACATGCTCGCGTCCTTTTCCTGCTGCGCCGGCCGCCCACACGCCGGGCTCCCGGAAGAGGCCGCGGACGCTAGTAGCGAGTATTCGGAACGCAGTGAAACGCGCTCGAAGGCATAGAGTGCAGCACGCGGTCGCCGGCCGTGTTAGTATTCTCGAAAGCTACGAAAAAAAAAAAAAAAAAAAAGACAAAATGGCTTTGCCCGACATTAATGTCAAACAGTCCCAAGTTAAAAAGCTCACTCGGCTGTCGTGAAACAGCGTCGTTACGAAACCCCGCACTCGCTGGGTTTTGCTAGCTCTAAAATCGCCGTTACTGGACGGATTCGAATCAGCGCGCTCGGGGTTTCCTGGCCCTCACCCGTGGAAGACGGTTGTGACTTGTAGCCACGGTTTTTACCCGCTCAACCACCCGGTTTGCTGCTGTGAGCTGTTGGAAACCAGACTGCCAGTCGTGCATATAAGGTGCGATGTGTAGCAAAGGATTACTCAAGTTCGATATCGGCGGTTTTGGGACATTCGTCGTCGCTTAGGCCCTGTAAGTGGTTTTACCAACCGCGAACGAGGCTGGAAAACAAACCATTAGCAAGTACCTTAACAGCCACTCCGCGCCAAGCCTGCGTCAATATTATGGCGAACAACAATGACGAGTGGGACATTGTCTCGGATGCGGAAGAAACCACGGACGACGACTGGGAGGACATCGTCGAGGTCGCCGCGGGCATAGCCACCGAGTAGATGATCGAGGAGGCGGAGGCCGCTGCGGACAGGGTGCTAGCCAGCCTGGGCGGCGGCCGGGCCCAAGATATAGCGCTTCCCCTCAGCGCTCGCGCGCTTGTCCTCAACGCCCGCGTGCTTGCCATGGTTGCCATCAACGTCCGCACGGTTACCACCAACGTTCGCACGGCTGCCCCCAGACTTCGCGACGCCGCATGCGACGTTTTCGTGGTCGCCCTCGACGTTTGCGCGTTTGGCTTCGACGATGGGTTAGGGGCGCTGTTTAAAGCTTCACCAAACCACCCAGGTCCTAGATGAAAGACCCACGCCCACCACAAATAATGGCGGTTTTACAGGTTCGAGGATTGAAATTGTTAGTGCCATGGGCTTTCATATTCTTGTTATTCCTTGTTAGTATTCCTGTTGGCGGTCCTGTTGTTATTCCTGTTTGTATTTATGTTCCTGTCCCTACAAGGAGCTATTACATCCTGTGTTGTCTATTGGAGGCCTTGCTGGCTGAGGAGTGGGGTGAAGGGAGGAGGAAACAACTACCTAGGTAGGCGCATGGATGATCTTTAACACGAGCGCCTTTGGCGCCCAGTTCTTCCATCTCGCAGCAGGCAAGATACTACACAGTATAAGGTGTGAGAGTGAGGTTGGGGAGTCCCTCATCGTTTGTGATGATATAGTATTCGCTGTTGAGCTGTTTGAGGCGCGATTCTAGCTGTCTACTGGGCGCAAACTCGGCCTCTCCTGTACCTCCTCCTACAGCTTCCACCGAATTTCCACTCGACGGCCCCCAATCTTGCATCAATGTCGCGCTCTATATCCCCACGTAAACAGTCTTGCAGCCGATACGGTTGCACACGTTGGGCACGTTGCAGCCCAGGTCGATGCTGGTGGTGGGCAGCAGCCCCGTGCAGCCGGCCGGGCGGTTGACGATGACGGTATCGGTGCAGTCGGGCAACAGGCAGGTGCGGCACGCCGTCGCCGTCGACGTTAGCGTCGGGCAGTTGGCTGCGGGCGCGCAGGGCCGCGTGGTGGTGACGGTGGCCACGGACGTGACCGTCTGCCTCGACGTGGTGGTGGTGACCGAGACCGTCGTGACCGTCTTGATGGATGTCAGGACCTGGGTCGTCGAGTACGTCACCGTCACCTTGCTCGTCTCGGTGATGGTGACGGGGCACTGCGCCGGCCGCGTGGGGCCACGGATCGTCGTCGGCTGCAGGGTGATCTGCGCCAGGGTCGTGCTGGTGGGGGATGCGTCAGACAGGGTGTTTGCTGCAGAGGGGTGATACCTTGGGTGCGGAAAGGGGTTGGAAGCCGGACTCACGTGGCGCCGAGGCACAGGAGCAGTGCTGAGATGAGCTGCATCTTGACGGCGGGCTAGAGTGTCTTGAGGCGGGGGATTTGCCAATGGTGAGGGAGTCTATTCGGTGCTGCTGCGTTTCTCCCTGAACCATCCGGGCCAACATGGAAGAGGGCAGCAGTTCTTTTATATCTGAAGCCAAGCCAGTGTCGGCAACGCCAATGCCAATACTGGCCGGATAGCTAGCCGAGGCCCGGCGGTGAGGCGACCAGCTAAAAAGCCCATACAGCTTCATTTGCCCGACGGAGCATGTATGTCGGACGCGCCCAGAACAGCCATTGCAGCGAGCATCGGGTGGGCCGGGGCGGGTTCGCTTCGTATTCCGAATTGTCAGGATGGCTAGGAGACAAGACGCCGCAGCCGCACAATCCGAGGCTTGGTGGAATGTCCCCTCCTGGAGGATCGGGCTGGCAGAGACCAAGAATCCAGATCCAGGAGCAGGCCACGGCGGTCACATGCAGAAGGCTGAATAGAGTAGCTGAAAATATAGATTAGGACGGGTAGCCTAATTACCGTTTCATTGCGACGGGGCATCGACGACAAAACCACGGAACGACGTGACAATATTTTCTCGCGGCTGAATTGCGATGTGTCCAAGGGTTGCTTTCATGGACTGACAGCAGCGCATTAAAAGGTGATAATATACCTGCCACCGTTCCAAAAATAACCCGCCTCTGTCTGGGACGCAAAGAAGTCCTGCCTGTGGAAGCGGGGTGATTCATTCCTGCCATGGGACGTCGAAGCCGGCTGAGAGCGAACTGACGACCTGATAGTGACGCTTTGCCTGTTTCCTGGCTATCCAAGTGTCAGGGGGCTGGCATTTTCCTGTTCATTTTGCACCAATTGTTTCCTGGCGGGAAAGCAGATAGAAATAAAGGAAGAATTGCTCTGCAACCTTGCTCTCCCTGGCCGAAGCACGAGGAAGCGGTGGCTACGCCGTCTGCTTGGTGCTTATTGGGGCGGGGTTGGCAGTATTGTGCCAAGGGTGAGCGGGGAACCGCAAACGGCTGGGACGCTTATGCTGGACACGCTAGGCAGATTTCGTACACTGGAGGCAGCCGAGGTCAGAGTGAGGACATGAGATGCTGAAATGACCCGATACCGTTGTGCTACTTGCGGGGACACCCGACCTGATGCGCCATGCAGAGGTGCGCGCCGAGACAACAGGATTGATCCACGGTTCGATGTCAGCCTTTTTTCTCCCGGCTGAATTGCGAGCCACCTCCAACACATGTCCTAGTAGGGAGCTAGCGTAAGTAGTCAGCATCCCGGAAAAATCCAACGTGTGCTTTCTCCTACCGCGGTGGCTTCTCTCCGCGCGCTTTTGACTGCGTCCCAGGTCTGAAAGTTCCCGGCTGGTATAGGTGCTCTGCATCTGGGTCTTTCGAACCATGCGAGTGTACTTATTACTCCCCGGATGGGGGATCCAAGTGATTGGTGGCAAGAAGGACAGACAGCCCGAGGTTGCGCCTTGCTATTCTTGGAGATGGATAGATTGGTGTAATCCTGGTTGGCGGTCCTCTCCTCCCCTCTCAACGTCGGAGCCGGGCTGCCCAAGGGCAGCATTCGGAAGGTCCCAACCGTCCCGCTGGTTATGATATCTGCAAGTGAAAACTCACAGATGAAGTATCAGGGTTAAAATTAGCATAGAGAGGGTGTTGTTCGACGTCGGGTCCGAATCTGTAGTAGCAGTCGCAAGGCTTTTGCCAGGACATCTAGTGCTCGCGGCGCCGTGCCGGTAGCCACAGATTGCTGGCGACGTAGTACGTCAAGCGCTCGTGCTAGGCATGCGGCCAGGTATCGTGATTAAGCTTGGAATTTGGCATCGAGTTTGACATGGTCGATATTAGCACCCGGAGCACAACAGAGGGCTGGATAGCCTACTACCCAAGCATCGCAACAAACTGTTTGATTCTGCCTCTCCTGCCTACTGGAGGAACGGCGCCACCATCGTGTGGGCGCCCAGTTGATCACAGAGAGGCCCAGTCTGCCGCCTGGTAGTCCGGGCAATTCACCTGAGCAATGTCAGGGCTCTCCCCGCCGTCAGCCACAACCAGCGCCGTCAGCTGCCCGCCGGCGGAGCACCACGTGTCCAGGCCAAAATGGTGCGATCCCAGCTGCAGTCCGAGACGGGAGTCTGGCCGTATACGACCGCCCTGGCCGCCGCCGCCGCGGCAGCGTCATCCTTTGACCTCCGGACCAGCTCCAGCCTACCCTCGGCTTCCTCTATCAGGGTCTGCTTCCAGTCCTAGACTGTGAACCAATGGTCCTCGCCCTCTTTCGGGTTGGCGCGCTCGTCTGACCAGCGCAGCGTCTTCCTGTGCAGCGCGCGCACGTTCATGACCGCCTCCGGGTCCTGTCGATCAAGCAAGCGCCAGACCCGGCACCAGCCCGCCGTGTGCGACGACCGTCTTGCCCCTGAATCTGCCGCCGCCTAATTCTCCGATCCGCAGAATGTGCGGGAGCGATGCCAGGTATGGGAGCTGTTCCGTTGACTGACACCTCGCGATCTCCTCGGGCCCAGAGCTTGCATAATCCTTGTCCTCGCATGATGGGGCCGCCGTGCTTTCTCCTGTATTCTCGCTCCCGCCAGCAGCCGACCGGTTTGCTGCCCGTTCCGCCTTGGCGAGAGTGATGACATCATCGTCCTGGTTCCCACGCACGGCTCGACGCACCAATTGAGCGCAGAAGGTCAATGGCGCCAAGCGTATCGGGGCCTTTGTTGACTAGATCTCCGATAGCGACAACATGGTCGGTCTTGGGCCGGAAGCCGACCTTGTCGAGGAGTTGGTCGAGCTTCTCCCTGCAGCCGTGGACGTCGCCGATAAGACCAGCCGCCTGTCCCCGGTGGGGAGGTACTGTTTGCCCAGGGTCTCCGCCCGTATGCCGCTACTTTTAGATGTTGTAGAGGGGGCCGCGGCGGCGAAGGCTACTGCGAGCAGGAGGAGAAGGAGGCTGGCGTGACAACGTGGCGGCGACGAACACATGGTGGCGGGAAAAGCCAGGTGGTTTTGGCGACGAGGAATGCATCCTAAAACCAAGGGCGAAATTCTTTGCCGTCCCATCCCCGGAATATTCTCTTTTTATACTGGCCAAATATGATGGCAAGCGTGCGGGGTCGACATGGCCTGGAGAGGAAGATACTTATTGACTTTGTATGGGGCACGGTGCGCGTGTGGAGCTGTGACGCCCCTTCAACTTTATTCTTACGTGGTGCGTCTGTTTCCCAGCTTCTCCCTCGCGGACAGCTTTGGCATTATTTGCATCCCCTGATATTCTTCTCTTCACGTCCTCCCACACCCGAGGTTTCGTCCCGCGGGACTTTTGCGACGGCATCCCGATAGCAATCACGATGTTTGTTTCGGTTCCCTCCAACCCATAGTTTGGGGCGTCCGCGACAAAGCTGGGTAGCGGCGCATGCTTGGATGCACTACGTCGTTTTGTTTCGCGTGGCCAAAGGGACGGGTAGAGGGGTAAGCCGCAAAGAAGCGGTCCGGCAGGCAGTTGGTGCGATTTCGTCTCAACATCAATCGCCGTTTTCCATTGTCATGAGTGTCGGGAAACAGAGACAGCCCAAGGTGTTTAATGCCATAAATGGCTTCAAGGGCGTGTTCACGAGTCGGCAAGAAGGTGTATTTGGGATTTCGCAGGCGGCATCCCGCCCGAAGATGCTTCATCCAAGCCGATCTGGCCCGAAGACCCAGCTTTCGCGTCTTTGCTCGTTGCGACATGACAAGTGTCGGTGTAAAAGGAGGCTGACGGGAGCTACCAGACATCACCAGCCCGCCGCATGTCGCCGCTCTGGGTATCGAAGGAGACAACGCCTGCTTCGAGTATAAAAGAGACAGCCGCATTGCTGTTGCTTGTCGATCATACTCGCGCTCCCAGAACAGCACAGGATTTACCTCGGACTTTGCTAAGCACCGCCACAGTATCGATAGTTCCTGGTCCCAAGTTATAATGAAGATTGCTGGGCTCATCTCCGGGGTTATTCTTCTAGCCACCCTCGGCTAGGCAAACCCAGTGGCCCAGGAACCGAAACCCCAGCCCATTGGAGGTGACGTGTCTGTCCAGGTAGGAGTATCCTGTACCTTTGGGGGATCTCCAGGACGCTAGGCTGACATCGATATTGCACAGAACGTGGATGGGTGTCCTGATATCATCCTAGTGTTTGCGAGAGGGACCAGTGAGCCGGGAAACGTCGGAATCATCGTGGGTGCGTTGGGATGTTCCCACTCCCTTGGAGCCGTGAAGATTTCGGGACCAAACACACCCAACACCAGGCTGGTTACGGGGCGGTTACGGGGCCCCGATTTCCCGGTGCTGTTAGGGAGGCTGCAAAAGGGAAAAGCGTCGGCATGCAGGGCGTGAACTATGAGGCCTCATTCTACGGGTTCCTAGCTGGCGGCGACAAGGATGGAGGTGGGAACATGTAAGAGCACACCCGAAATCGGCAATGTATTTGGCCCGGATCAGCAAGACAACGACTGACACCAGCTACAGGACCAAGATCACAACAGATTTCGTCAATAAATGTCCCAACTCTAACATCGTAGTTTCGGGCTATTCGCAAGGCGCCCAGGTGACGCACCTGGCGGCCCAGGCGATGTCCCCCGATGTCCCGGCCAAGATCAGCAGTGCCGTCGTGTTTGGCGACCCGCTCGATGGAAAACCGATCCAAGGCGTCCCGAAGGAGAAGACGCTGAGCATCTGCCGCGACGGCGACCCCATCTACCGCAGTGCTGGCACCCTCGTCCTCATCCCGCACCTGCAGTAAGTCATGATCTTGAAGTGTCGCTGATGCCAAGGGAAAGGAAAAGGGCAAGCTGACATTAGCTCATTGTAGGTACGACCAAGGCGCGGGCAAAGCTGCCCAGTTTGTCGTCAGCCAGATGAAGACCCGCCGCTCCGTTTGAGGAAGATTTACAAGGCCATGGGGGAAATGAAAGCAGAAAGGAGATAGACAGGCAGGTGGCCTGGTAAAAGTGGAAGATGGTTACGGGGCGACGAGATGCTCAAGGGAAGTATTAGCGTGAGCAAGTGGGTAGATACCTAGGCAAGAGTTCGTGTTGGTTCCAGGGTATGTGCACTGTTAGTTCGCTTCGTCCGACAACAGCGATAGCGTAAACATCTATTACCGACAGAGCTAGGAAACCCAAACGACCCGTTTGCGCCGGGGACCCATTTGGGCCATTACCCAGAAAATGATTTTGGGTTTTGGGTTTTTTTTTTGGGTTTTGGGTCTTTTGGTTTTTTTTTGGGTTGAACATTTTAAAAAAAGAAAATCGAAAAAGAAAGGAATATAATCCTAGCTAAAGGCAGGGGTCGACAAGGCATTCGGGCTCACCGACGGAGTAATAACCCTTCTGAGCGACATCGAATTGGACCTGGTTACAGGTAGGACGGCTTCCGGCTAGGGAGATCCGGCTGGAGGATCCGATGGGCACTGCAAAGCGCAGAGATAAAGAAGTTCTTGTCAAGTTTGGATGTACTTCGCCGATATGGAGCGACCATTATCCGCGGGCCGACCGACGAGCCTGCTTCGGTGTCCTCAGGAGCAACATCGAAATCCCAAAATACTAGAAACCTGTGCCCTCTCGCACACAGCCGCCCCAACGTCCCCAGTGGCACTGCCAGATGATCCAAACCTCGCTGTCGCGCTGGGACGCGTTAGGAGTCGCCATGCGCCTGTTGACCAGGCCAACAACGCAGATGGAACTAGTCAGGGCCATCAAACCATCATCCCATCGCATGATGGCCTAGTTGAAAGGACAAATGACCAGGAGGTTACAAGTGGGACAGATGGTCAGGGAATCACGAGTGGGATATCTCTCGGCGGAAAAACAGAGCAAGGTCCATGGGCTTTACGTCAGTCTGGGGCCGCTGGCTATAATAACCTGTGGCATGGCCCTCCCACCCGGAGAAGAGGCGCCGTTCACCGTAAGGCCAGTGGCGGCCATCGACCCGGGGGTTTACAGCTTGATATCCCGGTCGGCAGCACGGCCGGGCAGCTTGTGGCTACACTAATGCTTACTCAAGGAACAACGGACGATATCACGGATTGAAACCGCCGTATTGAGGAGCTCGAATCGAGAGTCATGTCTTTGCAGCTGTCCAACTGTCCGGGGTAGCTAGGTATATGGCTTAGATACCTAGTTTATATCCCTGTGGCAATGGCGTTTACCCTACTGTAGCTTCCTACGCTCCTTTATATCAGCAGGGTTTACCTTCTGCAAACCTAATCCATGTTGAACCAGGGGTTGGTACTGCTAAGACGATAGAGTAGGCTACAAATGCGGGGGATAGGGTTGTGCATGGGGTGCTGTCGGGGAGGGATCTCTCGGTTATCAACCCGAAAAGCGGACCTCGAAAGTCCGATGGCCTCCGCGATCGGGGCGTCTTGTCCCCTAATCTATCTATCTGTTTGTCATGCTTTGATCTGGGTTCTGGGTGGGGCGTTATGGGTGCCGAGGCTTTCCATAGGAGCTACCTACGACAGCTACCTGCGGTACGGGGGCAGAAGCCGCGATAGGAGATACCAAGATCGCTCCTCGGGGGCTGGCAGGTTAGCCAGCCCACTCACGTCCCGCCACATCATGGGGCCTGGGTTCAGCTACTGGGGCGGGTGATCTCGACGAGGGGAATCGACATGGCAATAAAAAGCCGTAAGGAAGGAGTGTTGAAAAGGCCACATACACGATAACCTACTCACCCTCTTGATCAACACCTCGAAACAAAATGGCATCCAAGAAAATGACCCCACTACCGCCTCGGACCATACGCATTGGTATGCTTAACCCCGACACGCCGGTCCCAAACGTGCGCTCCAAGTTCGAGTCATACGGCGCCGTATTCCACCAGCTGCTCGCCGAAGCCGCCGCTCGGGTGGCGCCGCACGTCCAAGTACGATCCGAGCAGTTTGACGTCGTCCGGGGCGAGTACCCATCACGGCCCGAGGACTACGACCTCCTTCTCGTCGCCGGATCCTCGGCGTCGGCGTACGAGGACGCCGAGTGGATCCGGACACTGGACAAGTTTCTAAGCCGCGTATACAGCCAGCACCCCCAGGTCAGGCTTTTTGGCAGCTGCTTCGGTCACCAGATCCTCTGCCAGGCGCTGCTGGGCAAGCACGGCGCCGTCGTGGAGAAGGATCCCAAAGGATGGGAGATAGGCGTCCATACCATACATCTCACGCCCGAGTTCCGGGCCGCACTTGGGAGAGAATCGCACCCAGCCTTGTCCCAGCGACCCCCAACGCCGGAGGAAGATGATAATAATCAAAATGTTGTGGGAGACAAGAACGGGGCGCTGAAGCAAGACACTTTGAGGTTGCAATTTGTGCACGCCGACCATGTCAGGCTGCCAGAGCCCCCGCAGCAGCGTCTACCGCCTGGCTGGGTTCTTGTTGGCAGCACCAAGCACTGCGCGGTGCAGGGAGTCTACCTTCCAGCGCGGGTGTTGACGTACCAGGGACACTTTGAGTTCGATCGCTTCATCAACGGGGAGACCCTGCGCGTCTTTGGCGCGTCGTGGGACCCGCGAATTCTGCAGTCCGCGCTGGAGCAGATCGATTCCGATGACGACGCGGCTGCGGCAGCTGACATGGTGGCTCGGTTTCTACTGGAGGAGGGGGTAGGTGAAGAAGGGCTGCTCACGCCTCCTGTGTCGGACTGGTTGGATTAAATGGGTTGGAAATTACAGACAAAGCGCCCTTCCAGTGCGTTGCCTTTACCAGCACGGCACATTGCACATTGGGCAGGTAAATTGAGGTGCTGGCCACTTGATTACAGCGAATCGCCTTATTACAGTTAAAGGAAAACGCCCGCCATCGCACAGTCCTTCCTCCGTTTCACTTCGAACTTGACTGTTGGATTTACCATGGCATACACCCCATGCCGCAAAGGCTGGGTGTTGCTACACCCCTCCGCCAAACGAACGTCGTACTTTAGCAAAATGTGGGCAAGCACAAGCTTCAGCTCATTCGCCGCAAAGAATCGCCCCGGGCAAATGAACCTGCCGCCGCCAAATACGTGATAGTTGGGCCCGGACTGCACGAACTGGTCGCCTGCGGAGGACGAGGGATCTTGCTCACGACGGCGCAAAAACCGGTACCCGTCGAATCGTTCGGGGTCCGGGAAGGTTGCAGGGTCCCACAAGCCGGTAGAGTCGACCATGACATGAGTACCGCGGGGGACAAGCTGGCCCGAGGGAAGGCGGGTGTCTCTCAAAGCTGCGCGCTCAAGCACAACTGTCGGGAGGGAGTGCGAGAAAAGAAAAGGTCAGTGAAAACCAGAAGCCAAATCCGACAAGGTGCGTTGCACATACCCAAACCACTGCCCAGTCTTTGCGACTCCTTCAGCACGCTGTCCAAGAGGGCCATGCTGTTGGTCGCGGCGACCGAGATGCCGTGCGCCTTGATTTGCGATGACATCTCGCTCCTCAGGGGCTCGGCCAGCTCGGGGTGGCGCGCAATGTCGAGCAGGACGGCCCGCATCATTTCGCTCGTGGTGAAAAACGCCGCCATGGCCAGCGACAGCTGCGAGCCGCCCAAGTCCACTGGCCCATCGCCCGCGGCCCGCTGAAGCCACTCGATGGCATCGTTGTAGGCTGGTGCTTCCTTCCCCTGGCGGGCGGCCTCTTCCGCCTCTCGCCGCCTCTTGGACGCGACCTCGTCCATGACGGCGCGGGCGCGGGGCAGGATCTCGCGACAGGCCCTGGAGCCGGGGAGCAGGAACCGGTGGGCGATGCGCCGGGCCCAGACGGGGTAGCCGTGCAGGGCGCCCACGGAGGCGAAGTAGCCGTCTACGTAGGACTGGACCAGGCCCAGCCACTCGGCGTCGTCGCACTTCTCGGGCCCGACAAAGACGGAGGAGGCGGCGCGCGCGACGACGCCCGTCGTGTCCGAGCTCCAGTCAATGGCGTGCCAGTCTTGCGCGGAACCCCACAGCAGGTCCAGCGCGCGGCCCAGGCTGGCGCTCATGGCCCCCATGATGCTGTCGTTCTGGCCCAGCTTGGTGGCGATCAGGCGCTTGGCCGTCTCGTCGCCGTGCAGGATCGTGTTGGCCTCGAAGCCGGGCAGGCCCGCAAAGTAATCCTCCCTGACGTGCTGCGGGTGGTCCAGGTCCCGGTTCGACTTGACCCAGCCGGCGAGCGAGGCGGGCAGGAGGAGCTTGGCGTCGTGGGCGCGCCGCACGATGACGGGAGCGCCACCGGATTTGCCAAGGCTTTCGGTAATAACCCGGCGCGCGTCTTGCTTGAGCTCGTCCGGGGTCGCGGAGGAGATGGGGAAGCCTGCAGCCGGCTTTGGGCGGACCAGGAAGTGGTATACACCCGCCGCGACTGCAAGGGACGTCCAGAGGTGGACGCTGAAAAGGAAGCCTACCAGCATTGTCGCTAGGAGGGCGGGTTTGTCGTATTATCAAGTTAAAAAAAAAAAATGACAATGAATGGCACATGTCCGAATCTTTTATCTCGCCCTTTATATATGCATTACCTATCTACCTAGGTACCTAGTTTAAAAAGCAAATACCAAACGTCAATGCTGACGACATGAAAAAGATACGAAATGACTCATACAGCATGCATCATGCAGAATCGCCTTGATGGACAGTTTGGCGTAGTGGCAGCAATCCGTCGCCATTACCTCGTCGCCCAGGCGTACTATCAAGTAGGAAGAAAGATTGCGCGCGATCCCTCCGCGAGGTTCTCGCGCAAGAACCTTGAGCAAGAAGCCCCCAACAGGAGATCACTGGTCGGCCCAGCCGACACTCCCAGGCAATTTTCGTGCGCTTGCGTGCGCAGCCGAATTTTGATTATGCTAGCATGGCCGAGAAGCCCCACGAAGGCGCAGCAGCGCTGAGGGGTTGAGTCGGTAGCCAGCCCGTATCAGATCCCGCAACGGCGTGTAGGAGCCCAGCGACATCGCGAACGAAGGTTGGCAGCCGTTTGATTTGAGATAGGGCACTTTGTGAAGGAGATGTCCGAAGGGTAAATGACACTCACTCGTGGCCGCTATACAAGGACGGCGAGGATGCTAGCCACCAAAGTTGCAAAATGGAAGGACATCACGCACCAGCACCGTTTTACCGATCCCCAGCTCCAACACCTGCCACAAGCCCAAAAAACCGGCCCATCATCACGGAAATCAATCCCTGAGAACCTCCGGACAAAAGCCTCGACACAGCCATGTCGGGCGAGTATACCGTCTTCCACGGCGTCGAGGGCGTCATCAAGGGCACGCCCGTGCCCAAGCCGGCCCTGGGCCCCGAGGACGTGCTCGTTCGCATCACGCACACGGGCTTCTGCGCCACGGACCTGGCCTACGTCGAGTACGGCATCGCGCTCGGCCACGAGGGCGTCGGCGTCGTCGAGGCCGTCGGCCCTGAGGTCACGCAGTTCAAAGTCGGCGACCGCGCCGGCGGGGGCTACCACCGGGGCTCCTGCGGCACGTGCCGCTACTGCCTGACGGGCCAGGACATCTGGTGCTACGAGCGCTCCATCTTCGGCGAGGGTGACTACGACAACGGCACCTTTGGCGAGTACTACGTCGTCGGCCGCGAGACGTACCTGCACCGTATCCCCGACGCGCTCGCCAGCGAGCACGCCGCGCCGCTGCAGTGCGCCGGCGCCACCACGTACAACGCGCTCGTGCAGGTCGTCAGGCCCGGCGACCGCGCCGGTATCGTCGGCATCGGCGGCCTGGGGCATCTCGCCATCCAGTTCGCACGCAAGATGGGCACCGAGGTCGTCGTATTCGGCACTAGCAGGAACAAGGAGGAGGAGGCCAAGAAGTTTGGCGCCTCCGAATTCTACCTCCTGGACGAGCTCGAGAAGCTGACGGCCCCTGTCGACGTGCTGGTCGTTGCCGGCAGCAAGTACCCTGACTGGAAGAAGTGGGTTCCTGATGTCTGTCCACTCTGTTGCGCAAAAAACTTACCGTTCCCACCACCACAGGTTCATGACCAAGACCGTTCTCTCCCGAGGCGGCAACGTCGTTCCGCTCGCCGCGCCCCATGGTGCCATAGACCTGCCGTGTGTAGCCACTTCTGACCAACCTCTCGTACATCCGGAAAGCTAACGAGAGAACCAATCCCCCAGTGCCTTCCAAATGTTCTTCGATGGCTACAACGTCAGATCGAGCCTAGTGGCCTCGCGCCAAAAGCACGGCGAGATGCTACAGTTCGCCGCGTCTCAGGGCGTGGCCCCCTGGGTCGAACAGTTTGAGCTGAGCGAGGCCGGCATCCAGGAGGCGTCCACAAAGCTCAAGGAAAACAAGATGCGATACCGTGACGTGCTGGTGGCCAAAAGCGCGTAGCTGTCGATTCTCTTATTTGTTCATCTCTTACGCATGAATTAGCCGGCAAAAGCAGGTCGTACATTATGGCCCTAGCTCACAATACAGTCTCTAGTCGTCCTTGGAACACCTCATTGCTCGAGAAAAACAGAATTAGAATGTCCCTAGGGGGACATATTGGAAGACATAGTAGACCCAGTATAATGTTCGCGTCTTGTCGCCTGGGAGACCCAGGGTTTGCCCAGTCAGGAGGGCAACACCGTAGTCCCCGATGACGAACCAGCCGAGGCTGGAGATCAAGGCCGTGATCACAAAAAAGTGCATCCCGCGCGATTCCCTGCGCTTGCCCTCGCCAGACCTGCCACGGCACAGGCAAAAGACGGACAAGACGGCGAGCAGGCCGCCGCCAATGGCCAAGAAGCCGAGGACGTACATTAATGGGTCGGTCCATCGCCCCCACAGCCGCCGTGTCCCTGCAAATCCGGCAAAGAAAGGTTGTCAGTTTTCTCGTTTTCCGCAAATAGACGGGGCAACGACGGCCCAGAGTATGATTCTCAGACTCACTCTCCATCTGCCCAACAACCTGCGAGGCGGCGAATGCAACGCAGCACAGTATGACAAGCCAGAAGGCCGTCCCCGGCAACAGCCCCGGGTCATGTTTGTGGGCGGCGTACCGATGCACGGAGACGGCATCAAGCACGATGCCAAAAATGATCTGGAGGACGAGGAGCGCGGTGAGCGCGGGCGACTCGTGCACCTTGGAAATGCTGATGGCCGCCAGGGCGATGGTGATTATGGAGGTGATAAAGGTCAGGACCACGTTGGTGAGGTGGTACTCGAGTGGCCGCCAGGGCATTAGGGGGCGGACGCCGTTCATGTGGCAGCCTAGGATGTAGAGTAGCACGACGTGCGAGATGGCGCCTAGCACGCCGTAGGGTAGCGCGTACTTTTCGTACACGAGCTGGAGCTCCACGTCGTCGAAGTCGGTCCCGTTCCCGCGGGCGGCGGCGGGCGCCGCGCCGATGCTGGCGAGCACGAGGCAGGAGAGCGCGCTCCTTGCCGACATCTTTGGGGTAGGCGAGTGCGGAGAAGATGTTTAGAACTTGGCAGGTCAGAGCGACGAAGTAGAAACGTCCTTTTCAGTTCTGGCAGCTCAACGGTTTTATCCCCCCGGTCTGCCTCCCATCCCCTCCTCCAATGACTGGAAGCGAGCCGCCAGGTGGCGTGATAGCCGCTTGTCGCTCGAGGAATGGGGAATAGCGCCAGACACGAGCGCGGCACGCCAATGGCATGTCGGGTAGGCCACTTGGCGTGCGTTTCAATAATATTGGCGACGTTCAGCTCAGGACCACAATGCCCACAAAACGGATTCGGTTGTGCCAAATGCAGTAATCGCGGGAGCAGCCTGCAGATCTTGGCGGAGGCGGCGACTTGCCTGCTTCGCCAAAGCCGTTTCTATCAGTATGTCTGCCGTCTTGACTGGCTGTCTGTCGTTTTGGCCGCACAAAGAAGCATAAACCTGATGTCACCGCAAATACACAGGAGAGAGAAAGTGCGATGGGCAACACACCGCCGCGCACAAGTATCTATTCAACCATGGTCGGCAATTGCAAGGAGTTCCACGAAAGTCGCCTGGCGCGACGCCCGTGTCACTGTTCCCAGCATTAATTCACCCCCACAGGTTTAGAAAACCATACAAATGAAGCATTTGACAAACAACTCAGCAATAGTGCTAACTTTCGCAACTTGCCTGAATGTAGGCAGCCTGGCGGGTAACAGGTCATCGTTGCAAGGTAGAATAAAGCCACCAAAGAAACTCAGATCTAGCGCTAACGCTGCCAACAGTGCTAGCAACTCATTGGCTGCCTCGGGATTTGCCGGGACTAGCGATGCAACAAGACGGAAGTTCGGGGGCTTGGCTCGGACTTGAAGTCCAGCATATGGCTGGAGACTCGGATTTCGGTACCATACGAGTTACATGGCATCTCCGGCATCAACGGGGGTTGTCTTCCTGTCTACCCCCCTAGCCGATCCGTGTCTACCGCAATCTGCGTTGTCAAGGCGTAGGGTCTGTCGAAGCAGTCGTCCCATCGAGCCCTGCCGTACTCAGGGGAGAGCGACGGTGGAAGCTTGGCCCAGAACACGTCTAGCACGCCCTTGGCCGTCAGAGGGACGTTGGTGCTCAGGTCCGCGGACAGCTTGACGAGCTGTTCGCTCACAAACACCCTCAACGTCGCGCCGTAGCTGCCACTTCCATCCTCGCCATCCCTCTCGTCATCCCGCGCCGCGGCGGCCTCGACGCCCATGACGACCAGCGGCCACAGCATGAAGCGCCGTGTGCTCGGACTCGCCAGCAGCCCGCCCTGCTCGGCTGACAAGACCGCGTGGGCGAGTCGAAGGCAGGCGGCCTGGCACGCGTCGAGGACATGCGAGTGGTGGGGAAGGACCGACGCGCTCCGCAGGGAGCTGATGCAGTATATCGTGACGACGGCTTGATATAACCTACCGGCCAGGGCCCAGCTGCTCCTGGAGGACTGGTGGCGCTTATGGTCGGCCCAGAGGTCCGGGGAGAAGGCGGCTACGCGGACCATGATTTCCATCGCCTCGCCCGTGAGCCCATGGTCGTGGACGTTCATGATCGCGCCGGAGGGTTTGTGTTCAGCTCGCCGCTCTTGTGTGGCCGTAGCCGCGCGCCAACGAAGGTGGTTAATCTTGATGATCTCGACAAAGAGCCCTGGTGGGCAGAGCAGGAAGGGCGTCGTATTTTCCGCGCAGCGTTTCAGGATGAACTCTACGCAGTCGAGGCATGTGCTGGTCCCAACGAGGTCGTCTGCCGGACAGGTTGTGTTTCCGTAAACTGCCACGCTGGTGGTTGGTTACATGGTCAGCCTGTGGCGTTGGGAACCTTGCCCTTTTGCTTCCCATTATTTTTCTCGCCTCCTTGTTCCCCATGTCCACGAATCATTTGAGGGAACTACGACATACGACCAAAAGCTCGTGAGCAAAGGAGCCATTCCCGGTGACTCTGCCAACGCGACGAACCCACCACGGAGCGTGATCAGTCTGTAGAGACCCTGCAGGTGGTATCGCCAGCTCGCGTGGAGACCGGTGCCGAAGTTACACTGCGGGCGGGTCTCGGTAGGTCAGTTCCCATCACGTCAAGTAAGTCGGAAAACAAGGGACTAGGCTCCGGGGTAGTGTGGGTGTGCGGCTGCTAACGTCGTTTAGCAAGACGGTCAAGATGCCGGCGATTAGGCAGTTGTCCGCCAAGCTGCTATCTGTGCCAATGCCCTGGCTCAGACCGTGGATGGCTATGCCACGGAACTGGTAGAACTGTCGCGCGAGAGCCTTGGACTGAGGACATGCAGGACCACCAAGCCGGTTGATGCGGTGGACCAGGGCCATGCACATCATGCCAAACTGGAGATAGGCGGGGCGCTCGAGGCCTTGGCGCACGTGGGCCACCGAGACTGGGTATAAGTTGGGGTGCTGGCCGAGCTGATGGATGGGCCACATGTCCATGTAGATGCACGAGTTGTCTGCCCGTCGGGTTCCGCCGTGTTAGTCTGCCGGCAAGAATGGCCATGTCGACAGGCGAGGAACCGAGATGCAGTTGATATAACTTGCAGTATTCCATAGCTTGGAAAAGCAGTAGGGCTGTGTCGGTCAGTTCGGGGTTCTCGTCGATGGCCATCGGGACCAGAGACGCCGACGCCGACGCCTCCTCATCATGGAGCGGCGGGGGCTGCGAGGGAGCAGTGGCCGCAAGGGATTTGTTGTCATCATGTCCTGTGGTAATGGTTTTGGTACGACGTGACTTGACTCTGCCCGGGGCCAGCCACCTCAGACGCGTTGGTTTCGTGTCGCCGTAGCCGGGACAGGAGGTGGCTGCCAGGACACAACGACTGCATTCCGGTTTGGTAGCGTCGCAGACGAGGTTCAGTCGCAGACACTCCCAGCAATGGCGCTTCGGCGCTGCTTTATCCATGTATTGTGGTGAGGGATGTCTCCTGGAGCGGGCGTTTGGCGCCTATGGATCTGATGTCAATGTCAGGGCTCAGATGACTGGAAGCAAAGCTACACGTGACATTGATATCACTGCTTCGGTCTGCATTTTTTGGGGTTATTACGTTATTACGTTATCACGTTATCACGTTACCAAGGCCTCCAGTCAGCTCGCTGAGCGCGACTAACGGCTGGTGGTTGTGTGGGGGTGCGGGATGCCCAAAGACTGCTTCAAGGGGCTTGTTGGAGCCGTGAAGTATATGCGTTATAGAAGGGCCGTGCAAACGCATCAATCCTTTACGTGATGTGCATCAGTCGTGCCAGTCGCACTGGATTGGGCTGCTCGGGCAGGCGGGCAGTCACATGGAGCAGTGGAACTCGTGTAATGAATTAGTGGCCTATCGGCCGTATTAGAGTGCTGCGCAGCGTCGGTACCCACTGAATTATGTGGGTTCAACTCGCTAGAACCGGATGTTCAAGCGCGTATTGCTCACTAAAAAGCCGCGTTTCGCAACGCGACGACCGCCACACCCTGGCAAAAATGAACGTCTCTACGTGGCCTTATTCCCCTCCCCTTTTGCTCTTTGCGCCAGGATCTCCGTCGCCATTGCCCGCAAGCTCTCGGCCTGCATGATGCCGCTCAGAGGCAGATCGACAGCCGTCTCTCTGCGGATCCAATTGCGCAGCTCGACCGACACGAGGGAGTCGAGGCTGAAGGCCGCCAGTGGCGTGTCCGGGCTGACCTCGCTCCGATCCATCATGGTCATCGCCGACACCTTGGAGACGAGCGCCTCGGTCAGCCCGGTCAGCGGGTCCTCGGCCGTGGCCCACGAGCCCGACAAGTACGCCTCAGCACCACCGCCCACGCCTCCAGCCCCGGCGGCACCACCCTTTGCGCGTCTCCGCCGCTCGTCCTTGAGCCACTCGGTCGCTAGGGTGGGGTGGAAGTACTTCCAGGGCCCCCCGTCGCGCACCCGCGCACCGTCGAGGTACATGCTGAACGCGACCGCCTTGTGGCTCGGGTAGAAGGCCATTCCCCTGGAGGCCGGGCCCGCGATGGCGCCCTTGATGAGGGCGCGGATGTCCTGGATGGTAAGGGTGGCGCCGATGGTGTTGCGGAGGCTGTCGGTCAGGTTGTTGTCGGCCACGTAGCCGACATCTAGCACCACGGGAAGCGCAATGCTGACCGTGTGCTGGCCCCTGGCGCTGCGGTACTTGGCAAACTCGTGGTAGAAGACCTGGTGCGCGTTTCAACCGATTAGCTCCCCTCGACAGGTATCTGGAGGCTACCAAGACGGGAGTTACTTACCGCTGTGCCGGCGTAAATGGCCTGTCCAGCGTTTCCCGTGTCCCCGAGGAACGAGCTGAGGCCGATGAAGAAGTCCATATCCTTGGGGAGAAGCTCGTCTAGGTACCAAGCAGCATCGACCCTTGGGTTATTGACGATTTGCCAGTTCTCGAAAGTGGCATTCTCAAAGAGCGAGTCCTGGGGGGAGAGGAGTATCAGCTTCTGGTCTGACGGTATGGCGAATGCCCCGAGAAACTACTTGACACTCGAGACGAAGGAGTAGTGGGGAAAAGCGAGCAGCTTACCTTTAGAAGAAGAGCGCTGTGGATGACGCCACGCACAGCCGGCAGGTCTTTGATGGACTCGAGAGCACCCTCGAGTGACTCCCGCGAGCCCACGTCGCAAGGCGGGGCGCGTATCGCCACATCCGGACGTTCCTCGTACTCTTTCATAAGCTGCTGCACTTCTGGCCCGGACGCGCCACTCCTGCCCAGTACAACAATGTTGCGCGCGCCGTTCTCGAGCATCCAGCGAGCCAGATTGAGGCCGATGCCGCGTGTGCCGCCCGTGACGAGGTACGTCGCGTCCGCTCTCAGCTGCGCATCCGAGGCCTGTAGGTCGCTCTCGGCAACGACGCGGTCGTCGGCCTCGAGCGTCACAACCAGCTTGCCTTGGGCCTCGCCCGACCTGATTCTGCGGAGGGCGGCGGCGAGCTGAGATATGGGAAGCACCGTGACGGGCTGGATGGGCAGCGCCACGCGTTTCCGCATCAGCGCAGCCACCTCGGCAAACACCGCCTTCATTTCCTCAGGTCGATGGCGGCCAAGCTCCCGGACATCGACGGCGGTATACGTCACACCTCGGTTGAATGGTCCCATGGGCAGGTAGCTATTTTGGAACGCATCCTTCTTTCCCACGTCAACGAAGCGGCCCAGCGGCGCGGCCACGGCCCACGTCTCCGCCATAAGCTCGCCGCCGAGAGAGTTGACGATGACGTCGACGCCGCGGTTGCCAGTTGCCGCCAGCACGCGGTCGCGGAACTCGGCAGTGCGGCTGGAGAAGATGCGATTTCTTGCGAGGTCGCAGCTCTCGTGCAGGAACTTCCGCTTGGCCTCGGTGCCGGCTGTGGCAAACACCTCAGCTCCTACATGGCGGGCCAGGGCCAAGCAGGCCTGCCCCAGAGCGCCGGCCGCCGAGTGAATGAGGACGGACTCGCCGGCACGGATGTGGGCGGTGCGGAAAAGGGCCAGCACCGCGAGCGAATAGGCCAGGGGTATGCTTGCCGCGTCCGTGGGTTCAACGCGCGCCGGCACCCTGGCGGCAAGCCAAGCTGGCACCTGCCTGTGCGTCGCAAAGGCGCTGGCGCCCTCGGCGTCAGCCGCGAGGAACATAACCCGGTCGCCCTCTTGCAAGGACGCCACGTCGGAGCCACACCGCTCCACGACGCCCGCGCCGTCAAAGCCCGGCGCTTCCCAAGGGATGGCGCCCGTGATGAGGCTCAGGTCGCGGTGGCTGACGCCGGCGGCCTCGACGCGAACGATGACCTCTTCGGGACCCAGGGGCCGTTGAAGCACGTCGGTCCGCCGGAAGTAGATGGAGTCCGGGCTCCCCGCCGCGTCCATGGTCATTTCGAGAGCGCGTGTCTCGGTCCCAGCCCAGAGACGCTGCTCCTTGCGGTACGAGGCGCCTTGCTCGACGGCGAGCAGCTCGCTCGCGTCGCGGTCCAGCCGCATGCGGGAGACGTGAATCGCGCCCTGGTGCCAAGTGAAGTCCTGATCGTGCAGCCTCGTGGCCTCGGGGTCGCGCAGGGTCTGCGTCATACGCAGGATGGCGGGCAGCCCCTGATCGGCCGTGATGGGAACCCGCTCAAGGGTGAGGAAGTTGCGGGGCTCATTCTCAAGGCGGATAGTGCGCATCAGGCCCTTGGCCGAGGATGCTTCGACGGGCCCGTCCTCAGGCACGACCCAGAGGATGCCGGCGTTGCGCAGCATGACTGTCTGGAGGCCCTCAAAGCGCTCCGCGTCGACGCCCGCCATGAGGCTGTGCCGCGGTGAGTCGATGACGATGTAGCACGGCTCGTCGGCCGGGTCCAGCTCGGCGAACGGCCTTATCTCGGCCGGACACCCGAAGCGGTCCACCACGGCGTCGGCGACGAGCTGGGCAAATTCGACCTCCTCGTCGTCCATGAATGGGCCGACCACGACCACGCCTCGGTCGTCGGTCCACTTGCCGGTCCGGCTCGAGCAAATGATGCTCATGGCCGGCGCCTCTCCCGCCTCGGTCAGCCCATCTCCTATATGGGCGTCGACCCCCGTGAAGCCAGAATCCCGTAGCAGGCGGTCCCATACGTCGAGGGGCATGAGCGGGCCTTCGTCACGGTCGCGGTAGGCGTCTTTGGCGTACCACCAGCCTGGCAGCATGACAAAAGGCAGCATGGCCGCCGCGTGGCGGTTGGCCTCGAGCAGGAGGACGTGCCCGCGCGGTTTGAGCAGCTTGCGCACATTGGCCATGGTCACCGCCATGTCCTCGGTCGCGTGCAGCACGTTGGCCGCGATGACGACGTCGTACTCTCCGAGCTCGAAGCCCTGGGCGACCGGATCCTGCGTGACGTCGAGCTTCTTGTACGTGATACGCTGGGACCACCGTGCGAGCTTGGCGCTAGCATTCTCGAAGAAACCCGACGAGATGTCGGTGTAGGTGTAGCTAACGAATGCGGGCTCGCCGGGCTCCCCGACGGCGGGCGAGAGGGCCTCGAGGACGGGCAGCGTCGTGCCTCCAGTCCCCGCGCCGATCTCGAGGATGCGCATGTTGGGCTCGATGTCGCTGAAGCTGGCGAGCACGCGGCCAAGCACGCGGCTCAGATGCCCGTTGATCTTGTCGGCCTCGTAGTGACGCGATAGCAGCCCGTCCGCTAGCATTAGCTCCAGCGGCTCGATCTCGCCTCTTAAGATCGGCACGATGTTTTCACCCACGCGGACGAGCATCTCGCCGCGGGCGTCGGCGGACGCGGCTTTCCCACACAACACCGCTACGTCTTCCGAGGACAAGGCGGCAGCTTGGTGGCTAGCTGGAGCACTGTCGCGGTACCGCCTCCCCCATTTGACGAGCTGGGCGAGATGGTGTGGCATCTCGGCAGGGTCTTGATCCATGGTCGCGTCCAGGCCCTTGTGGATATAGTGCCAGGCAATCTGCTCAAACTTGATCCACTGCGCCGTCTCAGCGTCTCCGTCGAGCTCGCCAACGCCCATCATTCGCTTCGTCAGCTCCCCGGTCGACAGACAGTCGGGCCGGGGCAGCAGCTCAAAGGCCCAGCTGCTGGGGAGGCTCGCGGCTGGGTCAAGGTCCTCCTCGGCGGATCCGATGGACCGGAAGGCGATGGACTCCCACTCGGCCACGGGGGTAATGCTTCCGTCGGCCCCGCGTGCAAATGCCGCGATGCCGATCGACATGCGGCCGCCCTTGACATCGTACGCCAGCAGACGCGTGACTACGTCGATGCGCTGGCCTGGGGTGGACGGGATGTTGTTGGAGATGCGGAAGCGGCTGATGTAGTTGGGCATCTGCGCCGGCTTCCGTCCGTCCGCGGTCACCTGGAGCGGCCCGCCGCCCTGCAGGAAGCCGTCGAGGGTGGGCGGATCGACAGTCACGGGCGACCCGCGGGGGTCCGCCCCATCCCAACTGTCCGCGTGCACGTCGCGCAGCTTGTGCTCAAGCAGCGTGTAGCCCCGACCCTCGAAGAAGCGCTCCGTGTTCCTAAAGGTCGGGCCGAACCGCGTCGCGCGCGCGGCCGACTTCTCGTAGGCCTCTTGCATGTCGTGCTCTACCAGGCCCGACGCACCGGCTTCGACGATGGGCAGCGACGCCCTGAAGGTTGGCGTGTCGGCAGTCATCTCTGTGGTTTCGGGCACGATGGTACCCTGAGCGTGCACGACCCAGCCTCCCGACGCGGACCATGTCGACACGTCAAAGTCCCAGGCCGAGGACGAGGCCACCCCCGGCCCCGTGGCCGAGGGCCAGATGCTCGTCGTCATGTCCACCGTCTCGTCCTCGTTGATCTCGAGGCGGGCCCCGACGTTGACGTCGCGGATCAGGAACGCAGCCGCCGGCTGGGGCCCCAGGCACCCTCGCGCGGCCTCGATGGCGCACGCGATATAGCCCGTCATGGGGAAGACGACGATTCCGGCCACGGCGTGGTCCCTGACCCAGGGGAACTCGTCAAGCGTGAAGACTTGGCGATACTGCCGCTGCCGGCCCCCGCTGGATGGGAGGATCCGGCCGAGCAGGTTGTTGTAGGGTCGGCCCGGGAATATCTTCTCGCGCGTCGCCCGCGGGCACATCTCATAGGTGGCCGACTTGTTCCACGCGTAGGCGGGCACGCCGGTGACGACGTTGGAGTTGTGCGGGCCCGTCTGGTTGACGTCGCCAATCCGCAAGGGTGTCCCCAGCACGAAGAGGTTGCCGGCTAGCTCCATCAGCGCAAGCCCGGCTTCGGTGCCGCGGACCAGCGACGGGAGGTAGGTGAAGGGGGCCGACGGCTGCGCCTTGGCCCCGCCGTCGCGCCGGCGCTGCTGCTCCAGCAACTCGACCGTTTGCTTGATGGGACTCTTCAGGGCCGCGTGCGGGCCAATCTCCACCACCAAGCTGGGGGGAGCAGCCGCCTGGCCCGTCTTCGTCTTCGTCCGGCCTGGCGTGGTCATGAGCGTCTGGATCGCGCTGGCGAACATGACGGGACGGACCAGGTTCTGCACCCAGTAGGAGGCGCCCACGGCGTGCTCGACCTTGCCCGTGACCGAGGACACGAACAAGGGGCGGTCGTCGCCCTCTTCCGTCGCTGACGCCTCTTGGGCCTCGTCACAGTACCCCTTGATGGCGTCGAGGTAGTAGTCGGCAACGTCCTCCATGTGCTTGGAATGGTAGGCCATCTGGATCTTGAGCCTGCGCGCAAAGATCCCAGCAGCGTCTGCGGCCTCGTGCAGCCTCTCGATTGCGGGCACGTCGCCCGACACGGTCACGCTCTTGGGGCTGTTGATGGCGGCCACGGTGGCGTATCCGGCGGCGGCGGCGTGCTCCCTGAGCAGCGCGGCGGCCTCGTCGGGCCCGACGCCGAGGGCCAACATGGCGCCCTTCCTGTCCCCGCGCTCGCGCGACAGGCGGGCGGCGGCGAGGCCGCGGAAGTAGGCGACCCCCACTGCGGTGCGGAACGAGACGAGCCCCGCCGCGAAGGCGGCCGCGATCTCGCCGCTCGAGTGGCCGGCCGCGGCCGCGGGCTCGACGCCCCACGAACGCAGCAGCGCCACCAGCGCCAGCTGCACCGCCGTGCAGGCCGGCTGGCTGATCTCGGCTTCGTGCACGCGCGACCCGCCGCCCGCGGCGCGCGCCAGCTCCTCGCCCAGGCTCCACGGCGCGCCCATGGTCCGGAGGTGCGACTCGGCCCGGTCCAGGGCGGCCGAGAAGACCTTGTAGCGCCTGAGGCCGGCAGCCATCTGCTCGTATCTGTTTTTTTGGTGGAAGACGCTCCGTCAGAACTAACATTTTATACACATATAGGTAGAAAAGAGAGAGAAGACGGAGTTGACTTACTGTGCTCCCTGGCCGGTAAAGACAAACGCGATGGCCCGGTCTCTGACCCGCGCGGGCTTGACGCTCGAGAGCTTCTCCTGGAGGCCCTCGACCGAGTCGGCGACGGCAAAGGTGCGAAAGGCGTGCTGCGTGCGGCGCTGCCCGAGCGTGTAGCCGAGGTCCCGGAGGAAGACGTCGTCGTCGGGCACCTCGGCCTCGTCCAGGTACTCGCCGAACGAGGGCAGGTAGGCGGTCAGGCTTGCTTCCGACTTGGCCGAGAAGACGAACAGGCGCGGCTGGCTGGTTTTCCCGACCGCACCGTGGCCGTTGGCGTGGCCGTTGGCGTGGCCATTGGTTTGACCATCAGTGAGACCGTTGGAGTGGCCATTAGTGTGGCCATTGCCGTGATCGTTAGTATGGCCATTAGTATGGCCATTAGTATGGCCGTTGGTATCGCCGTTGGCGTGGCCGTTGGTGTGACCATTCGCAGCATTCTTGGTGCCGTTCACTCCGTTGGCTTCTTTTACACCATTCAGCCCATCGTGCGAAGCGATGGGCCGTTCAGGCGCTTGGTCGAAGATGATGGCAGAATTGCTCCCGCCGAAGCCTGCGAGCATCCACCCACTCTTGTTAGTCTCAAGTTTCACCATCTAATCTTGATACATTGCCCCCAGAGTACCCACCAAAGTTTGTGACAATGATGCGTCTTGGCTCGTTCTCGGGCCAAGGGATGGGCACATCGGGCACCCTGATCTTCTCCTTGTCCTGGATCCTCGGGTTGATGGACTCGAACCCGGCCGTTGGAAGCACGACCCCATGTTTTACCATGAGGATGGCCTTTATCATTCCCAGCATGCCGCTGGCTCCCTCCAGGTGCCTGACAGTGAAGGCGAGTTAGGATAAGCCTCCAGCTCGGCCAACACCCAGCGACATGGACTTACCCAAAGTTCGACTTGACAGAGCCGACGTAAATAGGATTTTCGGCCGTTCGGTCCCTGGCAAGCACCGCCGTAAAGGCCCCAGCTTCGATGGGGTCACTAGAAGCCGGACCAGTCAGCAGCTATCTTGACATGACAGACGGCAAGAACGGGAGAACAGCCTACCCGGCAGCAGTGCCAGTCCCGTGGCCCTCGACCACGGGCGTGTCGGAAGGGTCCAGGCCGGCGGCCTGGTGGGTCTCCCAGAGCAGCTTGCGGTGAGCCACGCCGTTCGGCATGGTGATTCCCTCGGACCGCCCGCCGTGGTTGCAGGCCGAGCTGCGGATCACGGCATGGATGGGGTCGCCTGCCTCGAGGGCGGCGTCCAGACGCTTGATGAGCAGGCATGCCCCGCCCTCGCCACGGCCAAAGCCAGCTGCCTTGGCATCATACGAGAAGCTGCGTCCCTGTGTCGAAAGCGCTCTGTTTGGTCCCGGGGTTTACAAGGCCATTTTGTTTTGTCAGTCAAAGCTCGGATTGGGGGGGGGAGGAGAAGTGAACTAACCCAGTCTTCTCGAGCGCGAGCCACGTGCCTGGGCCGAGACTCAGGGCGGAAGCACCCACAAAGGCGGCGTCGCAGTCGCCGTTGCGGATGGCGGAGCAGGCCTGGTGGGCGGCGTAGACGCTGCTGGCGCAGGCGGCGTCTAGCACGATGCTGGGGCCGCTGATGTCGAAAAAGTACGAGATGCGGTTGGCGAGCATGCAAGGGGCCAGGCCGGTGGCGGTGAAGGTCTTGGTCGCGAAGACGTCGTCGCCCATGCGCTCCGAGTACTCGTGCAGGCCGCTGCCGACGAAGACGCCGACGCGGCGGCCGGCCAGGTCGGCGAGCCCGTACCCGGCATCCTCGGCGGCCTCAAAGGCGCACTCGAGCAGGAGGCGGTGCTGCGGGTCCGAGTTGCGCGCCTCCTCGGCGCGCATGTTGAAGAAGCCCGCGTCGAAGGCGTAGACGTCGCCGGGCAGGAAGTGGGCGCCCTCGGCGTGGTACACGCCCGACTTATCGGCCCCGGGCTTGCGGTACGCCCACTGGTCGAACCGGCCCGCCGGCACCTCGGACCAGGCCGAGCGCGCCTCGCTCAGGTAGTCCCAGATGCCCTTGCGGCCGATCCCCGGCGCGCGGTAGGCCATGCCGACCACGGCGATGGGCGCGTCGCTAGGCATGATGACAACAGCGTGCGTTTTCTTGGGATCTCGGATCTGTGGTGGAACCCAGGGGTGGTGCGACCCAAGGGCTAGACAATATATGGCGGCCCAGTTACCGCGATGTACGTAGGTTTGGAAAAGTACGGTACTAAGTCGCTATATTGAATATATGATCCCGTCGTGTTTACAAGGATCTGCTAGCGCTCACAGTCTCCCCTTGAGCCTTCTTTCCTGGAGAGCTGCTCTTATATACCCGACTGTCACCCAGCGACAGCCACCCACACGAACCCCACGGTTCTGGATTACCCTCTAACCAATATTGCTCTTAGTGCCTTGGTGCCTCTTCTCTTCTGCCTTTCCTCAGTACGGCTGTGTAGACCTTTGGGGAGCACATCCCAGCCCCCAGATCTGCACCAGAGCCATGATGTGTATCATGGGCTGTTTGTGGAAAGCGCTAAGCAACGTGCACCACTCTCTTTCTGCCTGAAGGAGCGAGATGTCGGGTGTTGCATTCACATCCCCGCGACGAATAGAAGTGCCCAGACGCTATCTGCAAGGCCGCTGTGGTGGTTGCATATTACAATGCAACACATCAATGTTCAGCCCCAACCGAGTGCATGCATCTCCGCGAAGAGGGGGGGTTGCAATATCGAGGCGGAGGCGAGTCCGGAATTTACTGCACGGGCAGTCCGGCCATAAGGCGCTCTGTGATACACACACACACACACACACACACACACACACACACACACACACACACACACACGACG